CCTAGCCAACCGTTTCTTCAAACAAGGAACTGAAGTGTCACCAAGGGAAATTCCCACTGCTCGGTTCCCTGGGTGGGTTTCAGGTTTTCCATCGCCGGGCCTCTGGGAGGAGAGATCCTGCTGGCACATGCACCATTAAGATGCTGTGATTTTCAACCTGATACTTTGATTCCAGGGAACCAAAAAGCCACATTCACTATAAATTTAACTTATTAGGATGTCTTCCCACATGCTAATGTTTTACAGCAACTTTATTAAACATGAGAGTCACCCAGGCTCCAGCAATGAGCAGGACTTAATGAAGACATATTTCCCGTGAGCTCCTGGCCTCCCTGCATCGATCAGACATTTTCAGCTGAACCTAAATTAACCTGTAAATGAACTGATTTGCATCCATAAATCCAAAAGAAAGGTACCAGTGTGGGGTGTTTGAGATACTTAGTCTCCATTTCCCAATCTCACACAATTCTCTTGTTAAACTAAATTATCCTCCTCTCTACAAACTATTTTCATTTTTATTAAAACAAGACAAAAGGGAAATCTCAACCACCTAGGGTAGATATTTCATAACTCGTTACAATGCCTTAAGAAGAAAAGAATCTCTGATCATCCTTCTTAGGAAGAAAACCAACAGGACATTGTTTAGAAAGGTACCAAAAATGACCTAAGTTTGGGTGATTTTGTCATTTCACCTAGACTGCAATCCTGGTTTACATCTAGTTCTCGCTGAAAAAACTTTTCCATTTTGACAATCAAACCAAAGAAGTCTGGTCAACAATAAGTTTTATCTTTATCAGAAAAGTATACTTACTCAATATTCACATTGTGCCACACTCTTTCATACATTACCTTAGCTAATCCTAACCATAGAGTCACATGAAATGAATATAATTTCCACTTTATAGAAAAGGAAAGTGAGGATATTTAAGTTTCCTGGATGGCAGGAACCATGTCTGGTGTCTCTGCATTCCTAGCACTGAGCTCCTAACACTGAGCTCTCAGCACTGAACATGCAGCCTAGGACACAGCTTAAGAGACTACCATATACTTAAGAATGAATGAAAGACTAAGGGAAAGGAAAAGCAATTTGGAAAAAATATGCAATCCAAATGCTGCTCTAATCCCCTAACTGAAACCAGTGCCTAGAACACACCTGCACACTGCAAATAATCTACTTGACCTTCACAGGTTTGTTTCAAAGGACAATTTATTGTCTTTCCAATGTGTAGGCCACAAAGATAGCATCCACATTTGGCTACAGACTCCACAGGGCAGGGCCTGGTCCTATTTCACTTCTTTTTCTCCCACTCAGCACCACACCTTGCACAGGTGGGCATTTAATGAGCTGAGCAATGACAAAGGTCATCATGGCCTTCAGCCATAAAGGATTAAATAGAACACAAGGTGCCCACAGCAGCCAGAAGAACTGGTCCCTGAATTATTACATCCTCTCTCCAGCCTCATTTTCCTCTCTATACAATGGGAATAAAAACAGAACATACTCACAAGTTTTCATTTATTTAATAAATATTTACTAAGTATTAACCACATGCCAGGCACTCTGCTAGGTGCTGGAGCCGTAGTGAGGAATGTGAACAACACAGCCTGACTCATGGAACTCACAATATCCGTGGATGTCGTGAGACTTCTATGACAAAAGGACTTTTACAAACTTCAAAAAACTATGCCATTACGATGCATTGCTTCTCCTGTGTTCCCCAACTTGGTTAATGGCATCACCCTATAACCACTGTCCAAGCTGTAAACTTGGGAATTGTCCTGAATTCCTTCTTCATCCTGCACACAGTCCTTAATCCATCGCCCAGCCTCTTCTGATTCTCCTTCAGAAAAGTCTCTGACATTATTACTTCTCATCTAGTTTTCCATGCTTCTACACTAGGCGCCTTGTTCCCACCTGAATAATTACAAGTCCCCTTGCAATAATGATAATGGCAAGCATCTATTGATCACTTACCATATGGCAGGCATTGAACTAAGAGCTTTGCATGCATAACATAATTTAATCCAATAAGGTAGATACCAGTGCCCTTATTTATAGAGGAGGAATCTGAGGTGCACAGTAACCTACCCAAGGCGCATACAGCTGGTGACAAAGCTATGGCTCCAATCCCATCTGTGAGATTCTGCCCTTAACTATTCTGGATCCCTGCCTCCAGCCCCTTCCTGGCTGGCTACACTCCTTCTTTTACGCTGCTGCTGTTCCTTCAAATATCCAAGCTGATCTGTCTCTTCTGCTGTAAGACAGCCAATGGCTCCTCACCACCTCCAGGTCAAGGTCTACAGGCCACAGGCCACTCCCATGTTAGCTATCTGCTGTTCCGCCACCCTCTCACAGCTCCCCCAACTCTTTGCTGACCCACCTCACATCTCTCTCCTCTGCGAAGCCTCCTGTGCCCTCACCCTCCAGATAGGAACCTTCTCCTCTTTAGCCTTAGCCCCAAGTATACACTCATGTTTCAGCACTAACTGGTATGTTTCCTTCCTTCCCTCCTCCCTCTTCTCTCTCTCTCTCTCTCTCTCTCTCTCTCTGTCACACACACACACACACACACACACACTCACTCTCAAAAAAGACAAAACAAACAAAACTACACACTGTCAATCCTGAGTCCCTGGAGGGCAGGCACAGTGTATTTTCATCTCTGATTCTCTAGGTCCCAGCACAGTATCAAGTCAGTCTTAAGTGTCTTAAGGTATGTGGTGGTGACAACACCTCAGCACTATCCCAACAAGCAGATCAGACCTTTGCCCCAGAGGACACTAAAATGGGCAGCAGTGCCTGTCCTCTCAGGCAAACTCAAGAAGATAGACTGCTTTCAGCAAAGTTATTACAACTGAGATTGGTCCTCCATGGTCTGCTGGAAGCCTCTCTCCAAGCCTCCTGAAAACCAAATACAATCACCTCTAAAACTGAAGAAACTAAACTAGCTCCGGATCAAAAGATCACAGGAGAAATGCCCTCTGATGGGAGATGAGGTAAAACGATGCCCTTCTCAACCATCCTGCAAAGAGCAAAGTATTCCAAGTACAGACTGGTAAAAACAATGACTCTAATTACTATGAACATCAGAGGATCCTGACTGAGAATCATCCAAGAAAAAAGCTAGAGACAGCAAAATCTGACCTGCTCCCCACCTCCAGAGCTACAGCTGGAGGCCAGGCCACAAACAGATGACTACGGCTGCCTTCTCACTGGTCTCCCTGCTCCCACCCTCACCCCCTCCACTGGTCTGTTTTCCAAAGAGCAGCCAGATGGTGTTTCTAAAACTATTATCAATGATTAGTACATGCTCCTCCTGCATAACACCCTCCAACAGCTTTTCATCCACTTGAAATAAAATCCAAACTCTTTACCACGAAGTTACTTCCCACTCCCTTATTTCATACCACTCTCTCCTTCAATGACTACATGCCAAAAACAGAGGTCTTCTGTTTCTTAAAACAAGCTGACCTCTGGGCCTTTTCCTATGCTCTTCTCCCTGCTTGGAACGCCCCTCCCCTAGACATTTACAGAGTTGGTTCTTAAGGAACGAACGTACCTTTTCAAAGAGGACTTCCCTTACCACTCTATCTAAAACGGCACCCCTTCCCATCATTCCCCATCAGATTTCTTCTCCTAGCACATCACAACTAGACAGTATTTCTTTCATTTATTTTCCTCTCTCTGCCCTTCTACCTCATTAGGGTGAAAGCTGTGTTTTGTTCATCCTATGAATACAGTGCGTGCAGTAAGCACACAGAAAGAATTTCCAGAGGATTTTCTGACTATTGACAGAGAAGCATCCTCAGGATGAGCTATTTTGTTCTGTTAGAATGACGAAAACATCTACTTAGCCCCTACTATGTGCTGGGCACTGTAAATCCATGATCTTCCTTTCAGAGAGGTAAATTAACTAGCTCAAGGTCACAGGGCTAGGACTACCAGACTTCTGAGTTAAACAACTTATTTGTACAGTCCCTCAATGCCTCTCACCTTTGCCCTTCTTAGGAAAAGGGTCTCACGTTATCTATGGTTCACTCTCATGTTGCCATAACAAGAAAAAATCAAATATGTTTAAATTACTTTACAGTTATTGAAGCATTTTCACATTCACCTCATCTGACTATAAAGCATTTACTCAGAAAGACAAACAACAAGTAACGTGCCTCAGGGCTCAAGAACCCCTCGCTCAAACACAGCAGCGAGGCCTGGGGAGGAGTCTCAGCCAATGGAGGAAATGAATTCTTATTTCTGGTTTTAAAGGGATGGGGAAGCAGTGAGTCACAGGGTGAAGGCTTGGACTCCATGAAAACTCTGGTAACACCTGGCTCTGAAGCAACAAGAAGTGAATCACTGAACTGGAAGACACTTTAAGCCTCATGGAGGCCAAACCCTGGCTGATAGTTGGGGGGAAAGGAAACAAGAGGAAAAGTAATCTGTTCAAGTTCACTCAGCAAGTGAACAGAGCCAGAACCAGGGGTCTCCTCTCCCCCAGGCCCCTTCTCTCTCCATCAAGGAGGCTTCTCAAGGAAAATTCTGAGTCAGGGAGTGGAAAGAGGCCAGGGGCAGCTCATGGACTCCATAGAGGGGTAGGGGTGGGACCAGGAAAGAACAAGTGTGAGGATGGGGGCCAGAAATTGTCCAAGGAGGAGGTGCCTGGGAAGGTGGGTGAGGGCCGCCCAGAAGGAGGAGGAGGAGGCGAAAGAGAAAGGAACAGAGTGAGGGCGGGGTGTTGTGAAAACAGGGTCTGAAGGGGCCTAGTAGAGTGGGCAAAGCCTGAGGGGGAGAGAGCTTGGAATGACAGTCTGATGGTGGAGGAGTCCAAGGCTCGGGTAGATACTGAAGGGAGTCAGACTGGGAGCGTCCCATACCCAGAAAGGCACGGAAAGGTCTGACGGGGCAGATTTCCCGGATCCGAGGAGAGCGTAGTGCGAGTCCCACGAAGGTGGAGTCCGGGCCTGGGCGCTGAGGGGAGTATGAGGGGGCCGGGCCGACTCACCGCGCTTGTTTTTGGTGCCGTGCTTCTTGGCAGCCGTCAGCTCCTGCTCGATCTTCTTTTCCAGGAATTCTTGTTTCTTACTTAGCATCTCCTCCGTGTCCCGCAGCCGCTGGATGGCCTCCTGGGGGGTCGGGCCGCCCTTGCCAGCCTTACCCCCTCCCGCCCCAAACAGCTTTCCAAACACCGACATGGTTGCTGCTCGCCGCGCCGGCCTGCGCCGTCCGTTCCGGCTCGGCTCGGCTCCAGCGCCCGCTCCCGTCCCAGCCGCTCCCAGCCGCCGCAGGCCTCTTAGCCGCCTGCGCCCCGCAGCTGAGCCCGGCCGCGCCACCTCCCACAGGCCCCCACGCCCGGCCGGGCCGGCGTCAGGGAAGCGCGGCGCTACTACAACTCCCGGTAGGCAACGCGCTGCTTGTACTTCGAATCTAATGGAGTGGGGCGCGTGGCATGCCGGGAGGCTATAGTCTTCCGGCTTGAGGCGCTGGGCGTTGCTATTTTTGGTCTGCCTAAGGTCAAAGGGCGAGGCGGCATGCTGGGAAATGTAGTGTCTTTGGGAACCCGCTCCGTAGGAAAAGGGCAGGAAGAGAAATAACAGTATTTAACGAAACAGTAATTAACATTATGAACATTCTAGGACGTAGGCATCGTGAAAAATGCTTTATGTACATTATCACATTTAATTCTCACAATGCTATGACAGATAATACACCTATTTTGTAGGAGAATAACCAAGACTATGAAATTGAGTGATTAACTTAATTTACTATCCCCATCTTTGCATTTGCTGTTCCCTCTACGTGGGATGACTTTGTACTTTCAATTCACCTAATGGACTCTTCGAAACCTAGTAGAGGATAATAGCCTTGGAACTGGAGTTAGATTGCAAAGGTTCAAAACCCACTTTGAATAATTTCTTGGGCAAGTTGCCACCCTTATTCTGTGTACCTCCCTTGCGGAAATTGTAAACCCGAGACGATAGCAGGACTATCTTCAAGCTTATGTAAGCTAAGGAAGGTCAAATGCTTACTTAGCATAGGCGCTCAAAAATGTGTATTCATTTCTACATATTCTGGGTCATCATTACGCACAATAATTAAATCAGGAGGAGACCCAGAACTCTCAAAAGTAGCAGAAGTATGTAAAAAATTTCCCTTTGCATTTCACCGGCCCAGCTGGATGTGGGGCCACATTTCATTGTTTTCCCATCTTCTTGACTGCTAAGAATCACTTCAGCCCTGGTTGGTGTGGCTCAGTGGGCTGAGTCCCAGCCTGCGAACTGAAAGGTCATTGGTTTGATTCCTGGTCAGGGTACATGCCTGGACTGTGGGTCAGGTCCCTAGTTGGGGGAATCACACATGGATGTTTCTCTCCCTCTCTCTCTCCCTCCCGTCCCTGCTCTCTATAAAAATAAATAAATAAGACCTTAAAAAAAGAGTTATCACTTCATCATCCATGAGCAGTGAGGCTGTGAGTAGTAGCCAGTACTTTCACCAAGTCCACCATTCTAATTTGCTGCTTCCAATTGCCAATGAAGAAAATCATGACTTCTCAAAGACCATTTTTATCCCTTCTTGAGCCTCTCAAATATGTGAAGTTGCTTGGGAACAGAGTTTCAAATAAACAACAGCTTAGCTCAACTTTTTCTCTATTATTTCACATGAGTCTTGTCTCTTCCCCAGACTATTGATCTATATGTGAATAAAAACCCACCTCCAATGTTGCTGTTTTTGTAATCCGTCACAGTCTCAGCCTGCATATATAGGTAGCCGTCCTCAGAGGATGGGAGAGTTCATTTCACCCAACTTCCCATGACAGAAGAAAATTTTCAAATGTGAGAGACATGCAAGAATTCACAGGAGCATAAATTGTAAAACATAAGTCACACTTGCGTTTGTTGTATAATTGAGACATTGCAATGTTTTTATCAAAAGAAAAAAAAAAAGCAAGGAGACTTCAATAAAGCCACCTTATGGGTACAATGACCTCTCCACATCTAAGCAATCTGCCCTTTTCCCTCTTATCTGTCATGCTGCAACCAGGCATACAGGTAGCAAAACACTTGCTGGGCTTGAGCCGTGACTCAAAGACTATATAAATAGGCAGACCCTGCAGGCCTTACCACCATCAGTCATATCGCAGGCGCATAAACTGAGGGTGATAGTGAAGCCTCTGTCATAACTTTGGGAGCCCAGAAAAGCATCTTGGCTCCCAAGATGTTTTAAATCTGATAACAGAATGCTCAGATTTAATCTTAATTACCACCCCCCATCAGTTGGTGTGGGCCACTTGGATTGCTGGGTGGAGAATTTTGAGGCTGCATCAGGACTATTTGTAATAGTACACTGAGAATGAATGCAGAGAGATACACACACAAACCCATAAATAAATGAAGCATGATGGGCCTGGGAGCAGGTATAACCTCCCTGAGGAACAGGGCTGGAGGGACCTGACAGAACCTAAGAGGGGTAAGTGGGGAGTGGGGGGAGACTGTGCACTGGAGGGGCCCCTGCCCTTGAGTTTTGGGCGTTACAGGACCAATGCCATACCCATTCATCAAAGCATGCTCAGGCCACACAGCAGGTGCTGTGCCCTAGAGGGCCAACTGTTTACTTCTCAGTGAGGCTTTTCAGGCCATCACATACAATTTTGCAATTTGCTTCTCATCCCACATTTCCAAAACCTCTACTGTCCTCTATTTTTTCTTTTCTACAACACTCATCAACTTCTAACATATTATATAATTTGCATATTTACTTTGTTGTTTATCTTCTGCTTCTTCCACAGGGAATCTCCACAGATCACTGTTTGGTTTACAATGCATCATCAATGCCAGAACTATACTTAGTATTTAATAGGTGCTCAATAAATCTTTGTAAAATGAATTAATGGATTGAGGTAGACGTTACCTGGGGGGCAGAAGAACTGGGTCTGGACCCTTTCTTGCTATGATGAAATCTTGGATAAGACCCTTTCCTTTTTGGGCCTGTTTATTCTGATTTTTAAAAAAGGCTCAAGACTAAAGTTGGGCTTCTGCCTCCTGCCTCAGGGTTCTGTGCCCAACCATAAACCAACCACCCTAGGCGAGTAGGGGGTCACTCCCAAACCGGAAGTGGAATCTGCTAACCTCCCTGACCGTTCAGGTCCTTGAGAATCCATGAGGGTCACTTGCTGGCAGCCCTGGGGTTTGGGAGCACCTGTAATTGCCACTTCCACTCCTTCCTCCCCAGCGGAGATAAAACTGGCCCAACCAGTTCTCCTGGGCCACACAGGATACTTGCTCTGTCAACTGAGACTTCTAAGCCACCGCCTCTGTCATCTGTCCCAGATATTTTCAGCTCCCTCTTAAAATGGAAGTTTCCTTTATATCAGACATTAACTTCCAGGGCTTTGGGTCAGCGTTTCTCAGCCTACATGGCAGATTCTTACTGGGAAAAATCTCACCCTTGACCTCTGCAGGATAGGAGAAGGGGATGGGTAGAGTGGGCCTCATTCTCTCAAAGTGCTGTTGTTGTTTGTTGAATGATTACTCATTCAACAAATATCGATCAAGCAATTCCTGGGCAGTGCTAGGCACTATAAAATTATCAGTGCACAAACAAAAGGCCTTGTCCTTGTGGACCTTTTGTTTTTAATGAAGGAAACAGACAATAAAAAAATGTCTAATATAATGTCAAGGATGATGAATAAAAATGAAGCGGCCCTGACCTGTGTGGCCCATTGGGTTGGGTGGCATCCTGCCACACAGAGAGGTCACCAGTTAGATTCCCTCTCAGGGCATGTGCCTGAGTCGCAGGCCAGGTCCCCAGCTAGGGGTATGTGAAAGGCAACCAATGAATGTTTCTCACATTGTTTCTCTCCCTCTCTTTCTCCCTTCCTTCCCCTCTCTCTAAAAATAAATAAATAAAATCTTTAAAATATTTTTAAAAAACGAAGCAGTGTAAGGAATGAGAGTGTGACGGGAGCTATTTTAGACGCATTGGCCAGGGAGGGCCTCTCAGAGGGAATGAATTTTGGACAAAGGTGAATGGAGTGAGAGAGCCAGCCATATGAAAATTCAGGGGAAAAATCACTGTAGAAAGAGGGAACAGCAAGTTCCAAGGCCCCAAGGCAGGAACTAGCTTGTCTGATGGAGGAGCAGCAAGAGGGCAGGTGTGGCTGGAGAGAAGAAAAGAGCGGTAGATGAGGGTAGCATCATGTAGAACCTTGAAATCCACAGAGAAAACATTATAGTTCATTCTGGGAGAGATCAAAAGCCACTAGAGGATTTTAAACAAGAAAGTGGCACAATCCGATTTAGGTTCTAGAAAGATCCCTTGGGCTGCTGTCAAGAAAATGGATCATGGTAGGGGAAATTAGGGAGGCCAAAGGGAGGGCTGTTACAGTTACCCATGCAAAAGAGGTTGGCAGCCTGGACAGGGTAGTGGTGGCCAAGGAGATGGACAGCGGTTGGAGCCCCAAAGTAGTTCCAAATAAAACCCCAGTTCACGAGAGCAGGTGAGGGCTTTAGCAATCCTAAAACAAGGCAGGAACTTTGGAATCCTGGGTTTGAAGCCCAGCTCCACACATTCTGGCTGAGTCCTTGGGCAGGCTGCTACACTTCTCTGAGCCTTGGTTTCCCCATTTGTAAACTGAGCATAAAAAGAGCTTACTTCCAAGGGGTGTCTTGAGGACTTACTGATAGGTAAATAAGGCATAGAACACAGTGCTTGGTGCTTAGTAGACAGTAAAGTTAGCCACAACTCAACTCCCCACATTTATTGGTAGAGACATTGAGACCAGCTAGCTGAGAGGCAGAGGCAGACAGAGGACTGGAAAGGGAAGGAAGAAAAGGAAACAGGACTTACAGGGTTCCCCAAGTCACATACCTACAAAGTCCAGAGAGTAAAATGGATGAGTAAAGTGGTCCAGGAACACAAAAAAAAAATCATATGATCCTCTATAGCCATCTTGTTTTCCCACTTTGGAGAGACATGGGAAATGAGAAATAATTCTCTAAGACAAATCAATGTAAGTACAGTTAGTAGTAAGTGACATTTAGCTGCAATGGGACACAACAGTGAAGAATAACTATAGACATATGGAATGCATGTGCCCACCGAAAGGGCCTGGCTAGCAGCTTTACCTGACTGCTGCCCCACCGTGAAATACCCCAATTTTAAATTTAGAAATCAGAAATCCAGACTTTTAGGTAAGACCTCCCAATTTTAATTAAATTTCCTAATTGCTTCTGAGTATAGGAACACAGTAAATTTTTATATATTGATCTTGCTATTATTTCAGTGTACTTGCTATTATTTTACCCTTTCTGACCCTTATACCATTTACTCCTTTTCTTGATTTGTTGCTTTGGCTTGGCCTCCGTCAAAATGTTGGTGTCATGATGGAAGGCATCCTTGTCTTGTTCTTAACACAGAGAGAATGCATCTCACTTTTCACCACTGCAGTAGGTTTTAAATTTCATTATTTCTAAATGTTGGCTCACTTTTTAACACTGAAAAGTAAACAAAGTTTCTCTGTAGGCTGGAATCAACCTATGAGCTGCCAATTTGTGATCTATACCTGAATTCTCTCTCTGAATTGTGACAACTTCATTGGGTAGGTACAATTTATTCTCCTCATTTGACATATGAGGACAGGGAGGTTCAGACAGGTGTAGTGCCTTGCACAGTCACACAGCCAGGAAGGGGCAGGGCCAGGATTCAGGAGCAGGGCATCAGCTCTTCCAGATGCCAAAATCTGTGGGACTCTGGATGTCTAGGACAGCTCCTTCACACTATATTCTGTCCAGTACCTTGGGGCTCTGTAAGAGAACCTGGGGTACTGGGTGATCTTTGACTAAGAGTGTTCCCCTCTTGGGCTTCGATATTCCCCCATATGTCAACCTAGGAAATGTTCAGCTATGGGAACCTCAGAATTGCCCTAGCCTTGTTCCCTGTAGTCCAACTCTGCATCTGTTAAATGTCATACCTGATTTTGATATGTTCTGTGACCTGGCTCCACCACCTACTGCTGCATGACTTGGGGTTGCTTAACCTAACTGAGCCTGTTGCCTCATCTCAGCTGTAAAATGTGATTAAAAACATCACCTACTTTGAAGTGCTTAAGACATGCCAAGCACAGCATAAGTGCCTAATGCACATTAATCCTCATGATTCTGGTAAATGTGCATGCATGTGTACACTGGCAGGAAGAGGCAGAAATATAAATAGTTGTATTAGGATGAAAATGCGGTTTTTAACATTTCCTTTAATGTCACAAGTTTTAAAAATGTTTACTGCCTCCTATGACTCATCCATTACATAGAGAATAAAGTTCAAATTCCTTAACCCAACATCCAAGGATCTCTGCTTCAATATCAACCCATATTTCAACAGAGCAAAGTGGCTAACATCACATGGAGACAAGCCTCCCCAGCCTGAATCCCAGCTCTGTGACTTACTAACTGTATGAGCTTGGGCAAAGAACTTTGCCTCTCTGTGCCTCTGCTTCCTCATCTGTAAAATAAGAAAAGTAACAATTCTCACCTAACGGGGCTGAGGTAATATGAAATAAAAGGCTTAGTATAGTGCCTATAATACATCCATGTGGAGGCTTGAACATGTCAGCAATTATCATAATCTACCCACTGCATCCAAATCTCTGGTCACCCTGGTGCATTCACTGGCACAGGAATACAACAGGCCTTCCATTGTCATACCTTGAAGTCATTGCTCATACCTTGCCTTCCCCTAACTATCCATGTGTGAAAACACTCTGTATGAAGGCCCAGCTCAAATGCCACTGCCTCCAAAGAGACATCCTATCTTTATCAATCCCTCCTCTGACTTTTATGAGGGCTGGGTACACTTATAGCCCTCACCCCTCAGCTGTGCACTACCGCCTCATTTGCCCCTCCCACTGCGTCCTACCCGTCCTGAGGCTGTGGTTAAGTTGGGCTTGCTCTGAGCTCTAGCCCTAGGCCCCAGCACTGAAGTCAGAGCAATGTGTCAGCCCTTCAAGGAAACTAATGTACCAAACTGAGTCCAACAGTTCTCCAACTTCCTGCCCTGTCCCTTCTCGAGCCTCAGTTTTCTCTCCTGTAGCTGAGGCAGTGTGGCCCAGAAGGGTGATTGTGAAAATAAATGAGGAAACTCAGCCAAGGCCCCTTTTCTCTCTCCCTGCCCACCAATGAGCCTGGTTTGCTCCGCCCTGGACTGCTGGGGATGGGGAAGGGAACGCTGATGCAGGGGCATCTGTGGCCACCCAGAGGCCTGCTCAAGATGGACCTCTGGCTCTAGTCAGAGTTTCTGATTCCAAAGGGTTTGGAGGCGAGACCCAAGGACCTGCAATTTTAAAAGCAAGCAGAAACTCCCGCTGGGTATTTCCAAGGGCTATGTTCTGAAATAGTCATTCTGGGAACACAAAACCTCTCCATGGCTAATGGGGCAGCACAGTCCTATGTGACGGTCCATGAAGCCCTCAGCCCCCACGCACTTTGGAGGGGAGAATTCTGCCACATAGGGACTGCCAAAGCTACGGCCTGAGCCACGTGGGTACACATTTTGATAAAAACATTTATTGAGCACTTTCCAAGTGCCAGGCACTATGTGAACCCTTTGCATATTTCATCAGGCCAGATCCCCATGACAGCCCTATGAGGTAGTATTGTCATAAGCCTCACTGCACAGATGAGGAACACAGGGCTTAGAGAGGTGAAGTGACTTACCCGAGGTCACACAGCAAGTGAGTGATCGCGCTTGGATTTGGAGCCAGACCGGGCTGAGAGCTGCACTCTCACCACGTCATTCGAGTGCCTCCTAAATGCCTACATCACAGATTCATGTGGGGATGCTGTGAGGAACCGTAGGTAAAACGGAACAGCAGATAAGGGCCCTGACCATGTCAGGCTGCCCCGCAGGCAGCCCAGAGCGGGTGGGCAGGACTACCCTGTCTTCTTTGTCAGGCAGCCCAACCACAAGCCTGGACCCAGCCAGACCCTGGGCCGCTCAGGCTCAGCCATCTATCTTGCCATCGCCCCTGCCTGGGAGCCACAGGCAGCCCTGCCCCAGGTCCCAGAATGCTACAGAGCTTTCCAGAAGGATAGGGGATACAGCAGGGTGGTCACGGCCAGGGTTTATAAGTGACATTCCGAAAGGTTTTCCGCTGACAGCTCGCTTCCACTGGGAAGGATCTCTAGACGGCCCCAGAGGCTGTAGACCCAAGGGTGAGCGTCAGGCTGGGCCATGGAGCAAACGCCACGGGTCCATCACTCCGTGGCCTGGATGTAGACAGGCACAGCAAGCATGGCACAGGGGCCGTCAGCCCCTGCCTGCAGCTCTGCCAGTGCCAGGTTGGGGCCCAGGCCTTCGGCATGCCCAGGCACTACCAGCTCAGGGTCACTGCCCACCGTGCCACCCACTACGATAGAAAGCACGGCGTCTGGCTCCGAGAAGGGCGGCTTGCCTGGGGCAGCCTCGGGCACTGGCCCAGTCCCCGTGTCCTTCAACTCCTCCAGCCCCAGTGGGTCAGGCATGGGGGTCACCGCCTTGTGCCCACCACTGCTACCACTGCGGGGAGCCGCCCTCCTCCGGGAGGGTCTCCGGGCTTGCAGGTCCTTATCCTTTTGGGGGCCGAGGCGACAGCGGTGATCCTTGAGGTATTTGTGGCGGGAAAAGCCCTTGGCGCAGCCAGCACAGCGGAACTTGTAGTTGCCCGTGTGGGCACGCTGGTGTTCGGCGAGATGGGCGCGGCGGCTGAAGGACTTGCTGCACAGGGCGCACTTGTGGAGCTTCATGCCTGGGTGGGAGGGGAAGTCAATGAGAAGCGCCCGGACCCTTTATTCTGCACTTGGAATAAAACCCAGTCCCTTGGCTTTCCTACAAGCATCTGTGCTACCTCCAGTTCTCATCTCTCACCTCCTCCCAGCCACTCAGTGCCAGCCACACTCGCTCTTCCCAAATGCATCGAGCTGGTTCCTGCTTCCCAGCCTTTGCGCCTGCTGTTTCCCTCTGCCTGGAACAGTATGTTCAGCCACCAAACCCTGGCTAACTTTCCCAGGTCCATCATCTCTCTCCTTTCTGGTCTGCCTCTCTCATGCCAGCCCCCTAAGACCATTCCCTACAGGGCAGCTAGTGACAGCTCCATAAACCACTTAAAGGATCATGATATTCCCTGCTCCAAAGCCTTAAATGATTACCCAAGTTTTCCACAAAGCCCCACGCAGTCTGCCCACCCCTGCCCCTCTTTGCACCATCCCCTTCCTCCCCATGCTTTGTTCTCTGAGCTCCAGGCCTCTCTCTGCCTTTCCTTGTCTCAGACACCCCGAGTCCCATCCCTGCCTCAAGGCTTTGCATTTGCTGCTCCCTCACCCTGGAAGCCATTTCCTGGCTCTTTTCATGTCACCTCCTCTCTTCACTCTCTGCCCCATCACCCTATTTATCTCCATCTTTGCACTCAGCATACTTTGTTGCTACGTACTTACTTGTCTGCTGTTCATTTTCGATCTCTGCTACTAAATCAAAGCTTCCCTAGGTGGGCAGGGTGGGATTCTGCCTGTCTGATTCCCCCACAGCACGCCCAGTGCCTCACACATGGTAGGTTCTCAATAGTCACTCACTGAATAAATCACTGGTGTCTCCACGTGCAGATGGAGTCAACTCCAGCCCACACTCAGCCTGAGCCATAGCCCCCTCAGCTCTCCCGGCTTAGAGAGGGGCGGAGATTTGGCTGAGGCAAGTGGCAGTGTCAAAACTCAAACCCAGGCCTTCTGTCTCCAAGTCTCTGATCTACTCTGTTTCCAAACTTTCTTTAGCCACTAAATCCTTTCTGTAAAGCAGTGGTTCTCAATCAGGGATGACTCTACCTCCTAGGAGACTTTTGGCTTGACTCCTGGAGACATTTCTGGTTGCCTCGAATGTGGTCTTGGGAGATGCCACTGACATCTACTGGGTAGAGGCCAGAGATGCTACTAAACATCCTGCAGTGCACAGGGCAGCCCCCTACGAAAACAAATGATCTGGCCCCCAAAATCAATGGTGCCAAAGTTGAGAAACCCTGTTCTAGAATGAACAGTATGTGGAAAGCCAGCCACACTGCTCTGGGGAAGCTTCGTGAAGACCCCAAGTAACTAAGGAGTGGTGTGGAGACCCCTGGATCCACACCCCAACTGCCCAGCTCTGCCGAGAAGACCAAAGAATCTTCCTGGCCTCATCTTGGGCCCAGTCAGAAACTGACCTCCCTCCACCCGATCCACACCTTTACCATACTTGGAATCTCTCTGATTTAGTTATCTTCTCTCAGGTCAGCTTCCCCCTCAGCCTGGCGAACTATGTCTGACTCACTTCTGAGCACCCCAAGGACCCTAACATAGGCCTGGCTCATGGCTCACATGAGCAAAAGTCTGTTGGCTGGGATGTACCAGACAGGGATAATAAGCCCCATGGGATGTGTCTGGGGAGCCTGCCCCAGGGAGCTTAAGCTGAACCAGACCCTCCCGGCAGGTCTGAGAGCCACTTACCAGAGTGGGAGAGGATATGAGCCTTCAGCTTATCTGGTCGGTTGAACTCCTTACTGCAGCCTGTGTGTGTCCTAGAACACAGAGCCACCGGTCAAGGGGTGCTCACCAAGTTCAGGACCCTCTTGCTGGCCTATCTGCTAGCCCTGGGCATGATGACCCTGTTTATCCTAGTGGTCAGGCAAAAAGGCAGGGTGGGGAGTGAAGCCAGTAGGGGGGCCCCCGGACAAGGTAAAAGGAGGGAGCCTTCAGTCCTCAGACCTGACTGACACCTTTCTGTCCCACCACTGGGTAAACCAGCACCCCCTCCACGTCAGTCTCTACTCACAAGAAGGGGCATTTGTATTTCTTGAATGGCTCATGGATCAACATGTGTCTCTTCAGTTTGTCTTTGCGGTTGAATGCGGACTCACACACTGAGCATTTGTAGGGCTTCTCACCTGTAGAAGAAGGCGCAGACAATGGTGATGCAGATCCCATGACATGGAGCCTGAACATGGGGTTCAAGGATTCCTACTAGAGGGCAGCAGCTCCTCTAGAGAAGTGGCCTCAGAGAAAATAGCCACTCTCATTCCTCATGTCCTCCTTGGTCTTATTTTGCCAAGAAGAGGGAGCCAACTGAGATAGGGTGGTCAGGAAAGAACTCCCTGAGGGCAACGTGTGAGGTGAAACCTGAGGTATAAGGGAATGAGCCATGTGGAAATCTGGGAGCGAGGGTCCCAGACAGAAGGCGAGGAGGGGGCACTGAGGGTGTCTGTGTAACAATAGGGATGCTAGTGTGGCTGGAACTGAGTAGGGGGATGGAGAATGAGGCAGAAGATGAGGTCAGTGAGGCTTCCTGGCCCAAGAGGGAGGACCTAGAAGGCCAAGGAAGGATTTCAGCTTTTACTCTGAGCCAGATGAGAAGCCACCGGGGCGGGGCGGGGGGGGGCGGGGGATGTGGGGCGGGGGGGCGCTGAGCAGAGGAAGGACAGGATCTGACTGAAGAGTTTTATAGGCTCCCTCCGGTTGTGTGTAGACAATAGACTGAAGGGGGTGGAGAGGGAGAAAGGAAGGATGCCGGTACAAGAAATGGGCAAGAGGTCAAGTACAGGCTATGTTCAGAACGTGGAACTGGCAGCCCTTGCCAAGGGATTGGCTGTGGCGTGTAAGAAAGGAAGAGTCTAAGATGAGACTAAGGTGGGTCAAGTGACAGGGTGGGCAGTCATGGCATTTGGTGAAATGAGGTCCTCCATGGGGGAGGGAGTAATTACATCTTATCCAATTGGATCCTTTCAATTAACCACCAGGTAACTACTACTATTCCATTTTATAGATAAGAAAACTGTAGTTCATGGTCTATATCTAGTGGTTGGGGGAGCTAAGATTCTAGCCCAGCAGTGTGATCCAGAGACTGCCTCTGTAGCCCCAGACTGTCCTGCTGCAAGACCACTGGGGGTGGGGGCAGCTCTCCTGTGACAGGGGTCAGTCAGGGGTCACAACCTGCCCTTAGGAAAGGGCTGTTGCTGGGCCGTTTGGATTTCCTGCCTTTATTTCCTCTCAATTCTCCCTCTGGAATAAATAGAGTTCTTTTGAAAAATACCACCGTCAACCCAGTGATGAAGGAAATTCTGGTCCTTACAAGGGAAGGCTCTGTAGTCATTAGAAAGATTAAGATCATCTGTGTTTCTTGATCTGGAAGCCTCTCCTAGACATATTGCTAAGGGGAAAAGAAAGCTGCAGAATAGCTTAATACAATCCCCATTTTTGTGAGGAAAAAATACAATCCCCATACTCCAAAAGAGCCCAAACCATATATGTTTGTATATACTCAGAATATGCAGAAAGCAGAGTAGGGGATGGTACATGCCAAACTGTCCACAACAGTTAGGGTTCGAAGAGGGAATTTAACATTTGACTTTATGTACTTCGTCTGTACTGCTTCCATTTTTTTACAATAAGCATGTATTACTTTTTTTTCCAAGATTTTATTTTTTCACAAAAAGGGGAAGGGAGGGAGAAAGAGATGGAGAGAAACATTGATGTGAGAGAGACAGCCAATCAGTTGCCTCTTGCACGTCCCCAACCAGAGACTGGCCTGCCACTCAGGCATGGGCCCTGACCAGGAATTGAACGAGCAACCTTTTGGTTCGCAGGCCGATGCTCAACCGACTGAGCTACACCAGCCACAGTGCATGTATCACTTTTGACTAATAATTTTTAAGAGGTAGTAGTTTGGTAATACCTGTCAAAATTACCAATGGATATACCCTCTTTCTTCCTTTATTGTAAGATATACCTAATATAAACTTTACCATTTGAACTATCTTTAAGTGTACAGCTCAGTGGCATTCACACTGTTGTGCAACCATCACCATCATGCATCCCCAGAACTTTTTCAGCATCCCAAGCTAAAACTTAGTACTGCATATACATTTTAACCTAGCACTCCCACTGCTAGGAATGGAATATACGTTGCAGGTGTACTACCAAAAGCTTGCCAAGGGACCCACACAGCATTGTGTGTACAAACTAATAGCTGAAAAATAATGTGTGTCTATCTATAGGAAGCTGGTTAAATGAAAGAGCGTAAATGCAGAATACTATGAAGCTGAAAAAAAGGTGCTATAGAGGATAATCTGCAAGGTATATTGATAAGTGAAGAAAAAAGGTACATAATAGAATTATATTACATGTTCATTTGTGTGAAAATAATGATGTAAAATAAAACCAGAATGATGCAGGCTATGCCACTAATAGCTATTGTCTTTGGTGAGACGAGCTGTGCCCTTTGGTAGGAGTATTTTTCAAACTACAAACTGGGAATCACAAGCTGTTGGTGGTTATTTTAACAACTAAAACTGAACAGAAAGAACTGTTTTGTGAAACTTTTGTTTCAGTATATTCTATCTATATAGATGTGTTTCATGAATTGCAATATAAAGTGTATTTTTTACCATAGGTCATAGTTAAAAAAATGGAGAAGCATTTGGATTGTCCATCTGAAGTGAAAGGAGGGTTTATTCTCATTATATATGCTTTTGTATTGTCAGGGATTTTCTCCTAAGGTTTCTTCAATCTTTTGATCCTTTTCAATAAAAAAGAAAACAAGAATTTTTCATCTAATTAAAAAAATTATAAACATTAAAAAAAAAAAGCCATGTGTCTAGACTGGGGAACCAAAGAGCAGGGGTTTTGTGCAGATTTAGTGCTAATTCTGTGGTAAGAAAAGCGCCCCCACGCCCAGGGCCTCCAAAGGGCCTGAGAGAACTGACACTCAAGGGCAGAGCCGAAAGAACCCCTCCAGCTCCCAGAGGCTGGTCTCTGCTCTGGAGGTGGTGGGAACCCCTTGATCAATTGAGGAGGCAGGTTGGTAGGGGGCCAAGGGAGAGATGGGCGGAAAAGAGGGCAGGAGAGGGATGGGGAAGAGGGCAAAGGAAAGCTAGAGAGGGGTGGGAAGGAGAACAAAGAAGGCGTTGGGGATGGGGGAGGTGGAGCAGGCCGGAGTTGGTGGGGAGCTGGGCACCCACCTGAGTGGATGTGAGCATGCAGTTTGAGGTAGTGCTCCCGCCGGAAGAACTTCTTGCACACCTGGCACTTGAACCGGCCCCCACTGCCATGTGTGGGCAGGTGACGCCGCAGGTAGCGTTCGCAAGTAAACACCTGGCAGAAGAAAGGAGTCGGCTTCAGGAATGACTTACCGGCCCTTGCCACAGCGAGCTCAAGTGGCCCCGAATTTCCAGCCTTTCCTTATGGAAGTAACCTTCTTCCTGCTGACCAGGGGTCAGGGCCCGCAATGTCAGGCACGGCACTTAGAACATACAGCTGCCACTACTCACCCACAAGTCCAGTCAAAACATGCCTGTTCTGAACTTCTGCCCAGGCTGTTTTTTCTACCCAGAGGGCCTTTCTATCTTGACCTGACAAACTCCTAGTCACCCTTCAAGACTTAACTCAGATGTCACTATTTCTGTCAAGCCCTCTCTGACTTCACATTGCCACACCAGGCAAAGTAAATTCCACCCTTGAACACAGACCCAAAATTTTAAAGTCAGCATTTAACCCACTGAATTACAGCCCTTTGCTTACATGGGCTCTCCAAGAGGACAGAAGGGGGCTTGTATTCCCCACCACAGGGTCTGAGACAAATGACTGACAAGTAAAAGAATAAATGAAAAAAATGAACAAATAACTAAAGAAATGAATGAAAAGGTAATAAAGAACCAGAAAAAACAGAAGCCATTCATTTTTTTTTTCATTCACATGGTACAGAGAAGTGGTCAAGGGCACAGATCCAATGGCCCCAACACTAATTAGCCCTACCATTTCCTAACTGGGTGACCTTTCTGTGCCTTGGTTTCCCACCTATAAAATGGAAGAATAAAAATATGCCTCTCTCCTAGGGTAAAATGAGTCAACTTGCTTAGAGTGCTCTGAACAGTATCGGGCACATGGTTCTTGCTCAATTAATGATACCTTTTACTTGGATCACAAATTCCAAAGCTCAAAACTAATCTACACAATTAGAAACACCTACAACTAGGTTGAAGCAAAACCAGGGTTGTCCTGGAAAATCTGCCATGTAAGGTTGTAAGAAAATGAACAGAACAAAGAAAATAAGTTAAACACCCCAAGGGGCTATAGTCAACAAAATCCAGACTTTAGAGAACTCCACAGGATGAAAAAACAGGGGAAAAAGGATCAATGATGTGGGGAACCTATATATTAAAAGAAACTTTCTTCATATCAACCAACTGCGATATATAGACCTGATTTAAGCAAACAAACTTGACAAAAATTATGATGTTTTGAGACAACTGGAAATTGGAACATGGCCTGGATATTTGATATTGAGGGGCAGGCTTCAAAGAGGCTCTCCAGATTTGCTAAAAGGAACCAATAATCACAAGGACAATAACAGGAAACTGAGGGCTGCTGTTCAGATGCTGGGCCTGGGCCTAAGAGAGGCCTCATCCCATGTCAACCCAGCATGGCCTGGTCTGGCCCAGCTCAGTAGCAGTCCCAGATGGCCACGTGTGGTGCATGATGGGTAATACGGGCCAGGCAGAGCCTTACTCTTCAAAGATGAAGTGCCATCTGTGGAGATAGCACCAAGCTTTGCCTGTATGTAGTAGGATGGGAGTAGGAGGAGAGGAGGGGAGAAGGAAAAAGTGAGGTTTTCAGTCCACCACCTCTTGCCCATTATTGTTGCAGCGGTACCCACCTTTTGGCAGTGCGGGCAGGGGAAGTTGTGAGTGGCGGTCTGTAGGTGGTGTTCCAGGGCCTCAGGGGTAGAGTATTTGTTGACACATTTGACGCATCTAAATAGGAAAAAGCAGAAGTGAGAGAGCAGTGTGTGGGAGCTGGACTAGCCCAGCAGGCCCAGGAATCAGCCACTCACCTCCCCCAGGGTCAACAGTAGAAGGCAAAACCCTGTATTTAATTCATCCTCACATTAGTCTACTCTTCTCTCTAACCACTGTCTCCATCCTAGTCCAAGCTGCCATCTGCCATTCTCTCTCACTGGGACATGTGCAGTAGCCTCCTCAATGGCCTCCCTGTCCCACCCTACCCTCTATAAGGTCCATTACCCACAGGGGAGGCAGCAGTGCCTTTAACAACCAAAATCAGCCCTGGCTGGTACGGCTCAGTGGATTGAGTGCCAGCCTGTGAACTGAAAGGTCGTCTGTGTGATTCCCAGTCAGGGGACATGCCTGGGGTGCAGGTCAGGTCCCTGGTTGGGGGCATGCGAAAAGCAACCAACTGACGTTTCCCTCACACATTGATGTTTCTCTCCTTTTCTCCCTCCCTTATCCTCTCTCTGAAAATAAATAAATAAAACCTTTTAAAAAAAGATTAAAAAAAATAAAAATCAGACCATGACACACTCTTACTTAAAAGTCCCCATCTTGGTCTAGAGACCCTACTGGCCTGATCCGCTTCTACCTCTCAGAGTTCATCTTTATCCATTGCCCAGCTCGCTCACTCTGATCTAGCCGTCTGGCCTCCTTAATGTAACTCAAACACACCAAGCCTGATCCTACTTGGGGCCTTTGCACTTGCTGTCTCTACGATTGGAAACACTCTTCCCTAAATCTTCCCCTGGGTAGCACCTTCTCATCCTTCATGTCTCAGCTCAAATGTCACTTCCTCAAAGAGGCCCTCCCTGACCACCCTGTCTCAAGTTGCCTTCTGCCAACCCCCTTCCTATTATATCGCCCAGATTTATTTTCTTCTTAGTATTTATTACCCAGAATTATTTTATTTGTTTGCTTACTTGAGTATTATCTGTCTCCCCTACCAGCCAGTGGGCTCTGGAGACAGGGGCCATATCTGTCCTTTTCACAAACTGCTCTGACCACCAATGAATCCGTTACATGACAAGGATCCAGGCCTGGCTCTTTCCCTTCTCTGACCCTCAGTTTCCCCATCTATAAAATGGGGTGGGAATCCCAAATTGTCCTGCCTCCGTGTTCATTCTTAAGACTGTCATGAGAGCCCTGGCTGGCGTGGCTCCGTGGATTGAGTGCCAGCTCTGCAAACCAAAGGGTCTCTGGTTTCATTCCCGGTCAGGGCACATGCCTGGGTTGCAGGCCAGGTCCCCAGTGGGGGGCAGGCAAGAGGCAACCACACATTGATGTTTCTCTCCTTTTCTCCCTCCCTTCCCCTCTAAAAATAAATAAATAAAATCTTAAAAATAGGCATGTTCTTTACTGTAAACAGTCTTTATATCGCTGTGGCCAACATGTGTTCAAAACAGCAGTTGCAGGCCACAAACCTGAAGAGGACCCCATTGTCTCCCCACCATGAAAACATCTGCCAGCAAATAAACCCGTTCATGATGCAGTACCAGTGAGTAATTTCTAAGGTAAGTAGGCAATTAATGCCAAAAACAAAAACATGGGCCCTGCCATCTGTATACCAAGGCCACCATGGGAAACCGTGGGCAGGCTGCACCCATTGAGGGGGCCTAGGGGACACTCTTAGACCACATACTGAAAACAGGCTAAATGCCTCCGCAGCAAGTAAGAAAGAGGAGGTGGGGTGGGAAAAGAGCTACCAAAAGGGCAGGAACCTCCAAGCTGGTTGGAGGAGAGGACCGGGATCACACCAGCTTCAGCGGTAAGGAGCCATAGGTTTGCGTGGGAAGTAACTTGAAGTTAAAACTCCCTGCCAGAAACATTACCCTAACTAAGTCATCCAAGGTGATACCCCCGGAAATGGGGTAAGGCAACGTCATGTATCTCCTGATAGACTGAGAAGGGCACAGCATCACCTTGTGGTATTCCTGCTGAAGGTGCCAATCTTGGATCTAGATAAATCCAAACCAAAAGCATTCCACAGAATAACTGGCCTATCTATACTCTTCAAAAATATCAATGTCATGAAAGACTAAGACAGAATGAGGACCTGTTCCAGCCCTGAGCAGACTAGAGAAATGACAACTGAATGAAATGTGTGGTCCTGGATTGGATCCTGGGCCAGAAACGAAATTTTATTTTCTTTGTCTATGAAGGATGTTAGTGGAACAATTGGAAATTTTTTAGTAAGGTCTGTAGATTAGGTAACAGAAGTGTATTGATTTAAATTCCTGATTTTGATAACTACTCCATGCCTATATAAGAGGTTATCCTTGATTTTTAGCAAATACACACTAGAGAAAGATAAAAGAGCATTATGTTGGCAAATTCTTTTCAAAAGGCTCAGAAGAGAATAAAGCAAATGTCGTAAAAAAATTAACATTTAAGAAGTCTGGGTGAAGAATATCTGTGGGAATTCTTTGTACTATTCTTATAACTTCTCTGGAAGTCTGAAATGATGACAAAATATATTGAAAAAGAACACTTCCTGAAAGCAATTGTTCATGGAATAGGGAAGTGGGCTAAGGTAGACAGGGAATTCCTTTTCATTCTATGCCTTTTTGTAGTTTTTAAATATTGCATTGTATGCATATAACAATTATTTTTTGCAGTAGATAATTAATCTTTTTTAAACCCACCTTTGCTCTTTGACCTGCAAAATCACTATCAGGAATTTATTCACAAATGCATGAAGATGTATGTCCAAAGTTGTTCCCTGTAGTGTTGTTTGTGAAAATGACAAACTGGAAATAACCCAACTATCCACAATAAAGAAAAGGTTCAATAAATTATAGCGTGCCCACATATAATGAAATACTAAGTAGCTGTTTAAGAGGATGAGGCAGGTCTTTGTGCTGAAATGCAAAGATATCCGTATTACAGTTTTATGTGTAAAAATTTTAAGTGACAACATCAAGTGCACAGAGTGATCCTATTAAGCTTCAGTCTGTTTGTCAGAAGTTGTGCAATAGGAAGATGGTGTGATAAATTTTCACCAGATTCAGTGACTGTGTTTGGGATGGTCTGACTCAATTATAGCCTGTGATATCTATATCCATATATAAACATACTTAGTACAGATATGTACCAAGAAGTTAATGGGGATTATCTTGGGCGACAGGGTTTTGTGTTTTGTTTTTGTGTGGTTTTTAAAAAAATCCTTTTCTCTGCATTGAACACGAATTTTGTAACTAGAAAAAAAAATCAATAAACCTTACTTTTAAAAGGAAAAAGTAAATATATAGCAGTAAATCTTACTTTTAAAAGAAAAAATATATATATTTATAATGGTGGCAAGCACAAATTTTACTGGAGGGGCTCGGGGAGGCACCGCAGGCAAGCCAAGGCAATGTGGCACAAAGCAGAGCAGCCAGACTGATGGGGCCTGGACCCCGGAAAATGGGACGAAGCCACCGCGCCTATATCTAAATTAAATAAATAAAAATTACAGCAATAATATTTACTGAGCACCTATTATGTTCCAGACACCATGTCTAAGCGTCTCATACTCATCTTACTTGATCCTAATAGATAAGCCAACAGAGCAGGCACCATTGTACCCTCATTTCACAGATGACAAGACTGGGGCTCCGAGTGGTTGAATGCCTTGCAAAGGTCATCCATCAGGTTTGCAGTCAAGCTGAGACTTGAGCACAGGCAGGTGGCTCCAGAGCCCTTATCATTACCATGACAGAACTTCACCCTTAGGCCACCTGGATGGTGGCCTGCCTCCCGCACCTTACTTCTGAGCCTGTAGCGCCAAGAGCAAGAGAAGTGACTGACTGCAGGCACAGGGCCATCAGCATTGGGCTCAACCCGCAGCCTGCAAACACGAGGCCAGAGCTATGAGACTTCCAAGGTCCTGGACAAAAGTTTGAGTCCCTGTTGATGTTGTGGACAGGCCACTCCTCCTCTCTGAGTGTCAGTGCCCTCATCTTCAGAATGGGGAGAATACCACTGTGGAGTGAACTATGTCCCTCCAGAATTCATACATTGAAGCTCTGAAGCCCTGACCCTCAATGTAATGGTATTTGGACATGAGGCCTTTGGGTGGTGATTAGGGTTAGACGACATCATGAGTATGGGGTTCTCATGATGAGATTAGTGTTCTTATAAGAAAAGACCAGAGAGATAGGTCACCCCATCCCCATCTCTCTCATGTGTCTATGGTATTTGGTTGTCGCAGCCCGAGCTATCTGATACAACCTACCTCCCAGGATTGTAGAAATTAATGTCCCTAAATTAGAGCCTGGCACATAGTAGGTGCTCCCTTCCTTTTCTTTGGCATCTCAGTCCAGAGGGCCACACAGCCAAAGCAACTTACAGATAATCCACAGGTTGGACAAGCAGAAGCAAACGTTCTCTGAGTACAAATCTCCCTTCCCTTGGCTGGTAAAAGCCTCACCTGGCTTTCCTGCCTCTCTGGCCCCATTTCCCAATCTCTCCCAGGGCAGCTGCCCTACATCCCATTCCATGAGTCTCAGTCCTCCTGCCAACTTCTCAATGCTCTTGTGATTTCTACAAGACCCTCATATCTTGGCCCCACTTTTTTCCCCAGCCCTCATCTAAATATTACTTCCCATTTATATTGTACGCAACAATCATTCTAAACCACTGCTATTTTATTTTATATTTCTATACTTGTTGGTCTTCCTTCTAGGAATGCACTCCACCCTACCCACTGCCAACCTGGCAAATTCCTACTCATCCTTCAAAACTCAGTTCAGCTACCTCCCACTGTGGTACTTCTACACCATGAACATGTATATATTACAGACATGCACATATATATCTGTAATAGAATTTTATCACAGTATATGGTAAAAAATATTTATACATTTGTCTCCCTAAGCAGCCTATGCATTCTAAACTCAAGATCTATATTTATCTATCTCTGAACCTCGGAAGTTCACCCAGAAATTACAGTGGTGTCCCCTTAACAGAGGTCATCAGCCAAGTACCTGCAGGTACAAGTTTGTACAAGGATGCAAAAGCCATTTAATATGAAAATATTCACTAATGACTAGAAGGAGTCCTCAAATAAATTCTTGCTTTTCACTAAAATCTGTCCCTCAGGCTGTGTGCTGGGCTTTGTGAGGTGGCAACACAGGGCAAATGCACAGCAAAATGATGGCAGGGCAAAAATGTAGGATTTCACAAAGTTACACAAGTGATGTTGGGTGTTCACAAATAACACTATCAACAAAGGAGAGTCTGGAGGAGAGGCCGGAAAACAACTGAGGAAGAAACACTCAAAAGGCTGATCACCAGAATGATAGCTCCAAAGAGGATGATTTCAGGATCTCAGGATTAAGAGCATGTGGCAAAACTGAGAAAACCCTCCACCATTTCTGCCAAAGGGGTCCTCTTTATGGCTGTAACAGAAAACTAGGGTGACACAAAGGCAGAAAAAACGACCCTGAATGAAACCTACACTTGATGCATTCCTTGTTCATTCTAAGCTTCAACTTTAACCTAAACTTTATACATTATAAAAAAAAAATATTTTTATGATCTTTGCTTTCAAGTGTGCTTGTTAATTCTTTTTTTCATTCCAAGAATCTGTGTACCATTCCAACTGTAACCTAAATTTTGTAGATTATCAGACAAAATAATATTTTCATATTTTTAGAATATTAAAAGAAAAAAAATCAAATCTTTTTTCCACTATAACAAGGAAAGACTGGTTTCCCACTTTTCAGATATTTCTTAGGATAAACGTCTGCCACACTGAAGAACGCCATAAGGAGGGCCGGCATCTTTGCTCCCACCAGTGCCGAGGCCCAGAACCCACTCTGCCAGGCTGGACCCCAAGGCCGCAGACCGCTGGGCTCCCTGTGGGAGAGGAAGTGGGAGGACACATACTTGTAGACCGTGCTGTCCTTCTTGGGGCTGTGCTGTGGCAGGAGGCTGTGAGAGTACTGGTGCACGCCCAGGTCGTACAGCGAGGGAAAGTCCTTGCCGCAGAGGTGGCAGCGGTAGCTCAACTCCTCCTGGTGGCTCTTGATGTGCTCCAGAAATGTGTCGAGCTTTGGGAACGTCTGGGCGCAGCTTTTGACCACACACTTGTACACCTTGATGGCAGACGTGGGGCAGGTAAGGGGAGGCAGGAGAGCTGCCTCCACTGCCGCCCCCTGCCCTATGGCATCTGCCTGGAACACTGCTGGTGAATGACCCTACTCTGTTCCCCTGCTTCCCCGCTGCTGGAGCCCTGTTTTATTTTGATTGGAGGGTCCTCTCCTCTCAGCCAGTCACAGTGACCCACTACCCTTTCCCCAGGCTCTGTGTGGCCTGGGTATCTTTAGAAAAAATTACCACAAATTGAAAATACAGTAAAAAGATGACATTGTGTCCTTCCAATGTCATACTAGAGTAGTGGCTCTCCAATTTGAATACACATGATAGTAACAGATTGCTAGGCGCCATCTCTAGAGTATCTGATTCAGCAGGTCTGCTGGCCTGAACATGGGCATCCCAACAAGTACCCAGGTGATGCTGGTCCAGGGACCTCTCTTTAAGAACTGCTAACAAGCCTGCCTAGAGTAATCTCACTCTCTGGGGGCATGTGCATGGTTTTGACTATTTACCACTGATTAGAATCCAGACTCTAATATTAAATATTAATTTGTACAAAACTGATCTGATGTAAGTGATTTCTGTCAGGTAGAAAAGATAACGCCAAAGGTCATGGGTTTTGTTGCCCAGTAAGAAATTAATCAGATTTGTATCTAGCTTAACAAGCTTATTTCAGTATTCCTTTTTCCCCTGACAGTTATATATAGTTATGAATATCAGTGTCTCATATCCTCTGTTGAACTGACTTTGTCATCCTTCCAGTTCTCTCATTAATGAGTTATGTAAAATCTGACTCATATTCACTATGCTCTTTACAGGAGAACTATGTTTTTAACATTTCAAAAATTATACTTTGACAAGTGGTACAAACTCCTGGTTGCCTACACAATTCTGCGTGCTTCTTCTTCCTAACAAAGTGAACCCCAATTTGCTCAGGGTGGCAACATGCCCAGTTAAAACACTGGATCTTATTTCCATGGCTCCTTTGCATCTAGTGTCAGCCATGTGACTCCTTTTTTACCAATGATATGTAGGCGGTAGTCTTTAGGGAAGGCATCATTCCCAGAACAAAAAGGCAAAAGCTCCATAAGAGAAATCCCTCTGCCTTTTGCATTTGCCCTAATTGGAATACAGACATGATGGCAGGAGATAGAGCAGCCATCCTGCAATCTTGAGAATGAAAGCCACATGCTAAGGATAAGAGAACGGAAAGCCAGAAAAAGCCTGAGTCCATGATAACATATCTGACTTGCTACATAAGCCCGACACCGCTTACTTATCGACTTGGGAAAGAAATAAAACCCTAACTAGTAAACCAGTTTCTATTATTTGCAGCAGAATAATGCATTCCTATAGGACAGAGCACATGCATTGGCCCTGACCAGTAAGAGACCTTCAAGAAAAGGTTTCCTTGCTCTGAAAAATGACACAGAAAAGATAGTCCCTTTTTGCTAATGGATAAGACTGTGTCCGGACCTAAAAAGAGTGGCCACCATTCCACTCAGGTGAGCCATCAATAGCGAAGAAGGCTACATGGTAGAGATGGCAGAGATAAGCTGAAAGGACACAGGGTCCTTGATGCTGGGTTGTCAACAGACTATACCAGGCCTGGAACTGCCTTACCATGAGTTTTCTTATGATGTGAGATGACAAACTTTTTAACTGTTTTAGCCAGTTTGAGTCAAAGTTTTCCACGATTTGCCCCAAGGACATCCTAACTAACTTCTATCAACCCCTTTGCTAGGAATCTATCATAAGGAAAAAATCAGAGATGTGAACAAAGATTTGATTACAATGATCTCACCATGGTTTTGCTTATAATAGCAAAACTCAGGAAATAATCTAAATGTTCAACAATAGATTTTTAAAAATGTAACCATTAAATGTATGCTTTTAAAAATAGTGATGTGAGATACATATTTCCCACAATTCCCTTTTCTGTGTCCCTCCTCCTGACACCTGAGATGCTGAAAGAAAAGAAGGCTAAGGGGAAGAAGGGGGCGCCAGCCCCTGCTGTTGTGAAGCAGGAGGCCAAGAAGGTGGGAAACCCCCTGTTTAAGAAAAGGCCCAAGAATTTTTGCATTGGACAGGACTCACAGCTCAGAAGGGACCTCATGTCCCTTGGCAAATGGTCCAGCTACATTCAGCTGCAGTGGCAAAGGGCTATGCTCGATAAGCGTCTGAAAGTGCCTCCTGCCATTAACCAGTTCACCCAGGCCTTGGATCACCAAACAGCTACTCAACTGCTTAAGCTGGTCCACAAGGACAGATTAGAGACAAAGCAAGAGAAGAAGCAGAGAATGGTGGCTCAGGCCGAGAAAAAAAGGTGCCAGCAAAGGGAAGTCCCCCTTAAGAGACCTCCTTGAGCAGGGGTTAACACTGTCACCACCTTGGTGGAGAACAGGAAGCCTCAGCGGGTAGTGACTGCACATGATATGGATCTCATTGAGCTGGCTGTCTTCCAGCCTGCCCTGCGACATAAAACGGCGCTTCCCTACTGCATTATCCAGGGGAAGCGGCACCTAGTCTACAGGAACACCTGCACCACCGTCACCTTCACCTGGGTTAACTTGGAAGACAAAGGAGCTCTGGCTAGGCTGATGGAAGATATCTGTACCAATTACAATGGCAGATATTATGAGACCCATCTCCACAGGGAAGGCAACGTCCTGGGTCCAAGTCAGTGGCTCACATTGCCACGCTGAAAATGGCAAAGGCCGAAGAACTGGCCAGCAAACTGGCTAGGTGTATACTGTTGAGTTTTCTGTCCATAAAAGTAATAAAAATTGTCCTTCAAAAAACACAGTGAAGTGAGAAAATACTCAGAATATAAAATTAGGTTAAAAAATTGAAAGCACAAATCTCAAGAGAATTTATGCTGAGTCAAAAAGGCCAATCTCAAAAGGTCACAAACTGGATGACTCTATTTACACAATATTCTCAAAATGACAAACTTAGAAAGATAGAGAACTGATCACTGGTTTCCGGAAGGAGGAGAAGGATGTATGTCTAATAAGGAGAGGCACAAGGGAGATGTCTATGGTAACAAAATAGTACTGTGCTGTGACTCAGTGGTGGCTACACAAACCTACAGAGGTGGTAAAATGACACAGAACTGCAGAGACACTTTATACCGATGTCAGTTTCCTAGTTTTGATATTGTGCTGTAGTTATGTAAGATGTAACCACTGAGGGAAACTGACTGAAGGGTAAAAGGGATCTTTCTGTACCATCTTTGCAACTTTGTGTGAACCGACATTTCTTTAAAAATAAAAAAGTGAAAAAAAAGCACAACTCAAAATTACATGTGTATATAGATTCTAATTATAAGTTTTAAAAATTATAGAAACTCTGCAAAATACACTGGATTTTGTATTGCATTCTTGGGAGAATGTATTGCAAGGTGGTTAATGATGTAGGGTTCGGGGTCAAATGAATCTGGCTTTGAACCCTGACTCAGTCACTTACGGGCAGTGGGATACTGGATGGGTCACTTCACCCCTCTAGGTCTCTGGATATACTGAAAATGCCTATTTCTAAGGTTGTTATGAGGTATAAATAAAATACTGAATGTAAAACATTTGGCAGGATGCCCAATATATAATAAATAGCAAATATTAACCTATATATTATTTAGACTTTTCTGAATTTTCTAATTCTATATTGGGCACATGATACCTTTATTAGGAGAAATAAAGGTTATTGTAAAAAATAAACACTGGAGTATAGTTACCATACAACCCAGCAATTTCGCTTCTAGGTTTATACCCAACAGAAAGGAAAATATGTACTCATACAAAAACTTGTACATGAATGTCCATAACAACATTATTCACAAAAGCCAAAAAATAAAAATAATCCAGATGTCTATTTCCTGATGAAAGGATAAACAAAATGTGCTATATCCATACCATGGAATATTATTCTGCCATAAAGAGCAATAAAATACTTGTACATGCTACAACATGGATGAAACTTAAAAACATTATCTCAAGCCCTGTCCGGTGTGGCTCGGTTGGGCATCATCCCACAAAGCAAAGGGTTGCTGGGTCAATTCCCAGTCAGGGCACATGTCTGGGCTGGGGCGCATACGAGAAGCAACTAATTGATGTTTCTCTCTCATGTTGATGTTTCTCTCCCTCTCTTTCTTCCACCCTTCCTCTCTCTCTCTAAATAATTAAAATCTTAAAAAAAATTGATCTCAAAGGCTACATACTGTATGACTTCATTTATATTAAATGTCCAATATAGACAAATCTATAGAGACAGAAAATAGATGAGTGGTTACCAGGGCCTGGGGGCAGAGGGTGACTGCTAATAGGTATAGGGTTTCACTTTAGGGTGATGAAGATGTTCTGGAATTAGATAGTGGTGATGACTGCACAACCTTATGAATATATTAAAACCACTAAACTATATACTTTTAAAAGAGTGAATTTTATGGTATGTGAATTATATGTCAATTTAAGAAAAAAGATTGTAATCGTAAATCCCCATAGGCAGGTTTTTGGACATTAGATTTTCTCAGGGCTTTGGGAATTTTTCTTGCCCTGGCCAGTAGCTCAGTTGGTTAGAACACTGTCCTGATATGCCAAGGTTGCGAGTTCGATCCCCAGTGGGGGCATATACAAGAAGCAAATAATGAATACATAAATAAATGGAACAAATTGACATTTCTCTCTCTCAAATCAATCAGTCAATTAAAGAATTTTTCCTGTCTCTGATTCCTTCATTATGTGATCCTTGAAATGTGGGCATCCTCCATGAGCACCACAGTGGCCTGGTAAGCTGGCCCCATCCAGGCAGAGTAGAGGGGGAAGCTTGGTCCATCATGAGTAGTTAGACAGTAGCTCAGACCAAATGAGGCCCACTTCTGTCCCTTTCTTGACCATGTTCAAGATCCCAGCACCAGCCAAGGCTCAGGACTAGGGTGGAAGTGCTCCCCACTGACTGCCCACTAGCCACCTACCTGCTCATTCTTATGCTGGGTCATGTGGGACTTGAGCTGGAAGTAAGTGCTGAACTTGCTGGGGCAGAACTGGCACAGGTAGGAGCTATCAATGAGGACCACTTGCTTGGCCTCCATCTTGTCCCCCTCATCCTCACCTGCTGTGGGCAAAGCCTGGGGCTGTGGGGCACTCGACAGTGTCTGTCCCAACCCTGTGGATAAAGCCAGGAAGAGAAGTTCACTGAGAAAAGCAAAGAATGAGGTCAGCACAGAGAGCCGCGCCACTCAGGAAGGATGTATGGAACACTGCCTGCATGTTCCACTGGGTACGTCCTACCACCCACCACATGCTTGGTGTTGGACGCTGCACTCACATTCATCTGTTGTGCATTGATGCCACCATTCCAGGTGCTAAAATACTGAAATACTTATATTCTGATTGATGAATAGCTATTGTCTCAAGTCTCCCCTCCTGGGCGTTCCCCTTGGACACTCTAGGCCTCTCCACCTTTGTTAAAAATCCTGAGTACCACTCCTCGCTACACTCATCGTGCCTCCCCAACTCCGTGTTCTAATTACACTCATTTGTCTAGTTGTCTCTCCCTCACATTCCCTGGAGACGGGGGCCTGGCATGTAGCAGGCCTCCATAAATGTTTGCTAAGTGGTTGAACCCTTGGAGCTAGGCACTGCAGGAATTTCAAAAGAAATGGAAAAAATGGTTTCTTCCCCAAGGAACTCATAAGGATTCAGAGTGCACACACAGAATGGATAAATACATAGTAGTGCTAGTTCTAACAGGGAGGTGATATAAAAGTGGCCATGTGCTGTTTGAGTAGCAAAACAATGCCTTGATTAGCTGGCATGTGGCAGGTGCAGCTCACCAATGGGGCTGCACAGGAAAGCCCCAGTCTTACACTGTCCAATACAGTGGCCACAAGTCACATGCGGCAACTAAGAACTCAAAATGTGGCCAGTCCAAATCCAGATGTGCTATAAATGTAAATACATCCTGGATTTTGGAAACTTAACATAAAAAAAGAATATAAAATATCTCATTAAGAATTTCTTTATATTACATGTTTGGGTTAAGTAAAATATATGATTAACATTGATTTATTTTTTTTTTACTGTCTTTATGTAGCTATTAGAAAATTTTTAATGGCATATGTTGCTCATATATTTTTGTTGGACAGTGCTGCTCTAATTAAACTAATATTAGGGAAAAGGTCGTTAGCTCAGAAACAAGTGATGGCTTTGATGACAATTGTACAAACTACAAAGAGCTTTGGAGATCATCTGCCCACATAGGCCAAATAGATTTCAATTTTTGATTAACTGAGAGTGACTACCTAGAGCAACATACTGAAAATAGATTCTGAGGCAGTATCCAGGCTCAGCAAAAATGATAGGTGATTGATTAGTGATATCTGTCATGGGTACAGCATTACAGTAACCCCACCCATGTTGCATATTTGCCAGGCCTCCTTTCATCTTATGCACCATTTTATAAATGAAGTAGACTGAAGCCCAGAAGTCAAGGAAGTTGCTCCAGGTCATACAGCAACAAAACCCACGAAGCTGCAGAGGAGAGGTATGGCAAGAGCGGTGTTCCCCGCTTCAACCCACCTGTGCTTTCCTCATCTTCCTGCCGGCTGGGGTTCAGGGCCATGACCTGTACAGTCACAGAGTTGCGAGAGACGGTACCACCACTGCGCCCTGGAGGCCAGACCTTGTGAGTCTGCATGTGTTTCTTGACATTAGACTTCTGGGCAAAGGCACGGCCACATGCAATGCACTGGAAGGGCTTCTCACCAGTGTGGCTGCAGGAAACAAGGCATGTCAGCACCGCTGTGTAGGAATGGAGCTGTGGCCTCCGCCCAGAAGCTCACGGCCACCAGGAAGGCCCAGACAAAACATCTAGATGTTGCTGGCCACCAGTACTGCTGGCCACCATTCTGACACTATGAGGACAAGCCCTCTTCCTGAGGCAGGCAGACCAGAGACAGAAAACCCCTGTGCTCTTGGTGATATTGCTCAGCTGCTGAATCAACCAGCCCTGGGGCTGACCTTCAGGGCCATCTCATACTGTGAGATGAAACATTTCCTAAATATTTAAGCCCATTTAAATAGGTATTTCTGTTATTTGAAGGAAAAAAAATATTCTAGCTATTACAGCACAGCACGTATCATTATTTAATATATTCCTTCAAATCAATTCTGTTTTAAATCTTAAAATAGTTTAGGACAGACTAGCACCAGAGTAAGGCTTTCTCCTTTGATTCTCCAAGGACTGAAATAAATTAAAAGGACATAACCTTCCCACTATGACTTTCAGAACTTTTCCAAACCATATCCACAAACCACCTATAATCATCTCATGTACTCATTATCACACTCTGAGAAAAAGTGAACAAGTCCACCCCTCCATAGAAGAAAAACCTGAGGACCAGAGAGGTTCCCTGTCTGTTCTTGAGCAAGAGGTATTGTGGTCAGTCCTGAGTGAGCAGACGGAGTCGTATCTGCAGAGCCCGGCAGCCCTTGCAATCCACCGTTTCTGCAGAGCTGAGGACTGGGGCACCCCCCATGCCTGCAAAACCCCATCAGTTCAAGGACATTTCTCCCCCTACCTCACCCCATCTGGGTCTCCCCCATCATAGTGGGAAGGCCCCACAGCTTTCAGACCCCTCCCACTATTCCTGGAAGAGAAGAGGGAAAACCACCCTGACCTGGACTAAAGTTCTGAGAATCGTGACAGGACAGATGGGCGTTGGTCACCACCCAGGCTAGGGTGCTGAGGAAGGGGACTTGCTTCCACTGCAGTCGGCTCCCCAGCCAGGGCTGCTGGGAGCCACCTGCCTCCACCACGCCTGGGTACCTTCGGATGTGCTGCTGCAGGTCGAAGTTTTTGGTGAATGACTTGTCACAGTACGAGCACTTGAGTTTCTGAGCCTTTGGTTTCCCTGCAGCTGAAAGACAAAGTGGGAGGAGAGGGATGGTGAGGCTGGGGGTACAACTACAGATGTGAAGAGCAGCCTCCGGCCACTCTATTCCCTGGACCTGGGGCTAGAAATCACAGACCCTGGGAGGTCTACACTCAGAGACAGGCAGGGGAAGAAGCATAGGTGAGCAGGAAAGCCCAGGACATGCTCTAGCTGGGAGAGCAGGACAAACCCCTCAAAGGCTCCCCTCTGCCCTAAGATTAAATCCAATCTCTTGGCTGTGGCCCACAGGGCTCTGCATTCTCTGCTTCCTGCCAACCTCTGTATTCTCTCCATCCAGCTACAGCAGACTCCTTGCTAACCTTGAAAGACCTCAAACATGGCCCCACCTCAGGACCTTTGAACCTGCTATTCCCCCTTGCCTGGTACAGTCGTCCCTCAGAGAGCCATAAGGATGTTTCCTTCTCATCCCCACGTGGGTTAGTAGCACCGTTTTCTAGCCTCTCTCCAATTTCTCAATCATAATACCCTGTTAATCTCCTTCCTAGACTAGCCCATAAATATTTATTTATTCCCTGTCTGTCTTTCCCATTAAACTGTGATAACTGAGTATAGGAAATCCTGGACCAAGATGCTAGATCCTTAATGCCTAAAACGAAGCTCAACATATATTTGTGAAAGAAAAGCAGCATGGAAGTAGTTTTCTGGAAGGCTCTCAAAAATTCTTAATTCCTCTGCCCTCCTCACCTCCCAGCACTTTCTGACACTGTCCCCAACCCCATACTTAGCATCTCCAAAGCAGTGGCAGACAATTGCTATGTGCCTGCCTAATATCCATTCTCCCCTTCTTCTTTCCTCTCAAGTGCTCCACCTAAGAAAAACATAAATGATCCTGGCTGAATGAGACATTCCCCACCCTGACCAGTGTGGCTCAGTGGGTTGGGCATAGTCCAGCAAAAAGAAAGGTTGCAGGTTCAATTCCCAGTCAGGGCACATGCCTAGATGGGGCGCAGACAAGAAGACAGCAGATCAATGTTTCTCTCTTGCGTCTATGGTTCTCTCCCTGTTTCTTCCTTCCCTTCCCCTCCCTCTCTAAAAAAAAAAAATAAAACCTTTAGAGAGACAGAGAGAGAGAGAGAGATTTCCTGCTTTCTTTGCTGCTAGTTTTGCTCATGTGACTAAATTTTAACCAATGAGATGTAAGCAAAAAGCATCATGTAGAACTGCTAGAAGCTGGGAGATGCCCCCTTTATCCTTGCTGCCTCGAATATGAAATTGATGACTGGGGCTCCAGTAGCCATCTTACACAATGAGGCTCCCTGAAAACAGAAGCTAGGCACTAGGGGTGCTAGAGCAGAAAAATAAAAAAAATGTGGGCTCTGGTGACGACATAGGCACATGATCTGATTGCCTACTTCTGGCCTTGCTTTGCGCAGGAGAAAAACAAAATTCTATCATTTTGAAGTCACTCTTATTTCGGAATTTTCATTACAGCAGCCAAAATTAATCCTAACATGATAACAAGGAAGACTAGAACTAAGCAGCCTGTGGAAAGGCCAATGCTGAGGAAAGATGCTCAGGCTGTGGGCCCACCTTCTGGGAGTCCACTGGCACCTTTGGCCCGTCGGGTCTTCAGCACCGGTGGGGAGTCAAAGGTGGCCACCGTGCCCCCAGTGGCGCTGGTCATGGGGGCAGTGGGGTTGGGTCCTTTTGGTTTGAATCCCTGTTTGCCGGGGCTGTACACTGGGGGGGTGGAGTATACTGGAGCCTCCACACACTGGTTTGGCACCTAGAAGGACAGCAGAGTCAGGGAAAGAGCTCTGGGAAGGGAGAGGAAAACCACCCCAGCCAGGAGGACCTTCATGGTGGCCCTGGCTGACCTCAGCCACTCCCCACCTAGAGTGCCATCCTAATTCCGCCACCTAGTTCAGTCACCCCAGTAACTCCCAAGACCCCACTGAACTTCAGGAAGTCAGAAAGCTAGAAGTAGCCTTGGAGCCAGGTTGCCTAGGTTCAAATCCTGACTCTGTCATTAATTTAAAAAATAATCTAAGAGATGTTGGATAAGTCTTTAAACTTCTCTGTCTCAGTTCCCACATCTGCAAAATGGTACTAATCATAGTATTCCTCTTATGGAGCTGTTGTGTGGATTAAATGAGCTAACAAGAGCTTAGAACAGTGCATAGCATATGGTAAGTATTCAATAAATATTAGCTGTTGTTATTGATATTATCAATGTTATTGTAGATTGTTTGCACAAAAGAACCAGGAAATTAGAGGGTCTGTGCCCCTACCAGCTACCCCACTTCTTACCTGACCCTGCCAGACACTATGCCAACAGGCATCCCTCAGCTGAGAATTGACGATGAATTCGGAGTCACTCAAATTTAGTTAACATTAAGCTAACATCATGACACTAAAGCACTGTGAAGACTCTACCTGTTCACTCACCTATTTATCATTCATTGTCTTTCTGGGTTAGTCCATCCAAAATTAAACTTCCTATCCATCTCTTCTTTATCTTTTTCCTTAGACTCATCATTATGTAATGTTATGTATTTTATTTATTAATCTTGTCTGTTATCTGCCTACTTCCATGAAGGCAGGGACTTTTTTCTTTTTCTTTTTTTGCTTTGTTTACTGCTCTGTGCCCAGGGCTACAGCAATGCTTGGCACAGAGTAGACACTCAATAAATATTTTTCGAATAAATGAATTCCTTTATGCATGTATGGGGCATCTGATTAGCACCAGATGCTCCTGCCAGATCTTCTCTGTTGGCCCTTGGCACCATTTCCACACCCTTCATGTTCTCCCCTGAAATACAGGGATGGGAAGCTTGAAGCCACATTTCCAGACTATCTTGCCAGTATGGTTCTGAACACAGATGAGGTTTTACCCACAAGAAGCATGAGATGTGGAAGGCAGAAGGGAGGTGGTAACCACTCTCCAGCAACTGTGGTGAGAGAGAGGCAGATATAAGCATGAGTTCTGCAGTGGCTGGCTGATCTCTACATCTCCTTCCTGACAACGAGCCCCAAGGATGGCAGGACGGCTGGAACATCAGCAACAGAATCCTACCATTTCCTCACTTCCGGGCACAGCAGCAGTGCCCTGGTTCTCAGGGCCAAGCAACAACAGTTACTCTGAAAACCAGTTAAGCCCACCAACCCCAACTTTTTTTCCTCTAGCCCTTCCATCAGCTTTGTAAGCACCTGACTTCCTATTTTTAATCCCTCTGCCATAAATATCTAGAATGGTCTTTATCTTCCTATCCGATACTGCACTCAATAGATATTTGTCACATGAATGAATTCACCCATCATTCAGGAGCAATTATGTGACTGCCACTGGGTTAGCTCTCATTATCCTCAACAGCTCTCCAAGAGGAGTTCCCATTTTAGAAAGGAAACTGAGCTCAGAGGGCCCTATTTCAGATCTACTAAAGGCCAGGTACACTGCTAAGTGCTAAGGATGCAAAATCAAAGAAGATGCAGGCTCCGACCTCAAAAAGCACCCTCCTCTACATGGAAAATAAAAAGTGGAAGCTCCCCCAATGCTGGCCCCTGTGCCTACCAGGCCATCATCCTCTCAGCATCTTACTGACTTAACTTTTCTTTTTTTAGTTCAACAAAGTCCTTAGAGAAGCTTGCTTTATTCTCCCAGACTAGGGCAAATTTTGCAGACCCTCAGAACATCACATGGCTGGTGGTGGAATTTCCCCCCTGGTCTGGTTCTCCTTACATATAGATGCTCCCTGACATGGGATGTCTATATGGCTGATTTTAGGTTGACTCTGAGATAATGTGATCTGAAGTACAGGCAGGCTCTCTCTGTTACAGCTCCTAGCACTGCTGTTTAGGAAGATTCTGAATTCTTATCTCCTTGAGAATAGACTGCCTATAGCTCAGAGCTCTTCGGCAGGGAGTTACTATGGTATACGTGGGGCACCGATTGCATAATGGCTTCCATCCTTTACCTCTCTCTGTACCCATGCCCTTTGCAGCATGACTGTGCAGCTTTTCCCATTAAAACATGGCATCTATTTCCTTATTTTTAAAATCTGAGCCGGCCTTGGATGTGTTGCAGCCAACGAAAGTGACCCTGTGTCACTTACAAGCCTAAGCCTCAAGAAGCCTTGAGCATTTCTGCTTGCATTATTGTATCTGCACCACTGCTGTGAGAGCATGTCTGGCTAACCTGCAGGAGGATGAGAGATGTGTGGGGAGAGCTGGGTCACCCTACTCCTCCCACCCCAGGCCATGCTGGAGCAGCTGACAGCCAGCCAACCTCCAGACACGGGGGAGCCCAGCCAAGACCAGCAGAGCTGCCACACTGATCACCATAGATGTGAGAACAAGAAACAGTTTTTGCTATATACCACTGAAGTTTTATGGATATTTCTTACAAAGCCATAGCTGACTAATATATCTAGCTAGTTAAAAAAACATAGGAGACATACAGGTAATTTTGGGAATCCTCTCCCCCAAAACCAAGTATTCTCGAACTGTTCTGAGCACTCCCTGAGGGCGGTCTGGATTTATGCTACACCCTCCACTTCACACCACTTTCTCATGGTTTGCATTTTACATTTCCAGCTGTGATGGCTTCACTAAAGTCTCTCTCTCCAACAATATGGGCCACTCCAGGATCTGGTTTGCAAACCCCTGCCATGGTATCTCCAGCACAGTGTCTGGCACACAGTTGGTGGTCAGGAAAGGTCCAGGTTACCCATAATGACCATGACCAGTTTCCCCCACTCCACCCCAACCCCTAGTCTCTGCTCACCTCAAGGGGTGGGTACGGCTGCATTCCCAATGCCTGGATCTCCACTGTTCCACTTCCAGCCAGGGGTGCTGTGGCACTGTACACCTCCACCACACCAGTCCCACCGGGGTTGGGCCGCCCGGGGGGACCCAGGCTCTGAGGTGGGGGTGGTGGGGGTTGGGGTGGTGGGGGTGGGGGCAGTGGTGGAGGGGGCGGAGGGGGTGGCGGAGGCTGGGCGAGGTAGCCGGGTGCAGAATGCATGCTCAGGCTGCTCTGAAATCAGAAGAGAAAATTAAAGTGTCATAGCCTCTTGACTCCAGCTGTCTTGTTTATCAGTAAGAAGGACATTTGCCTTAACTATGTGGAAAGAACAGCCACACACAAGGCAGCTCAGAGGACGGCGCTGATGGGGGACATGGAAGCAGTGGGGGGAGAATTCAGAGGAGCCATTGGCCTGGTGCTGCTATTCCTTTTCTTTATGAAAGTCAGCACAAATGGCCCAGCTTGTGCAGGAACAAGTTCATAAGGCAGACCTAATGCTGCTGTCTCTAGAAAGGCTTGCTTGTAGGACTGGCTCTTGACTGGCCTCTGAGAACCTGCCCCGTAGATGGTTCCCTACGTTGATAAGGCTCTTTTGCCTACCCGGGGCATGAACCATACTGTATCAACTTGCTTAGACTGTCTGCAAAAACAATGTGATTTATGGTGAACACCTCCTTCTCATCTGGAAGTCTGGAATTCTGATCGCTATGACTGGGTGTCTGTGACCAATCCCTAATAAGAGCCTGAGCCTTGGAGTCTAGATGTGCTTCCTCGGGCAGAAATGCCACACATGTGTTGTTACTCTTCACTGCTGGAGAAAGAAGTGTTTTGTGCAGCCTCTCCCTGCTTCCTGCACCTGGAGTTTAGATTCTAGCTGATAGGTCTTGTTTCCCTTCTGACCCTGCTAAGTATCCTTTTGATGTATAAACCTCAGCCATGAGTACAACCATCCTGAATCCTGGGAATCTTTCTAGATAGTCTTCAAATGGTTGGGTGGCTATGCACCCCTAAAACATAGGCATTGATTCTAGAAATTTAGTCTACAAATATAATCAAGCAGGTGGGCAAAAATATCTACACATGGATATTCTCCAGTAGTTTTTAGAATAGCAAAAAATGGCAATGACCTACACATGTTCATCCACAGAAGCCTGACCAAACAGAGGATGATCCATCCACATGATGGAATCCTTTGCAGCTGTTTAAATGATGATGCTGAGCAGTATTTCATAAAGGGTACTCCTTAGCCCTGGCCCGTGTGGCTCAGTTGGTTCGGCATCAGCCAGCAAAGCAAGAGATTGTCGGTTCAGCTCCCCGTCAGGGTACATGCCTGATCTGCAGGTTTGGTCCCCAGTTAGGGCACATACAAGAGGCAATTGGTCAATGTTTCTCTCTCACATCAATGTTTCTCTCCCTCTCTTTCTCCCTCCCTTCCTCTCTCTCATAAACAAATAAACAAATAAATAAATGATGCTCCTTTTAACTGTTCTTCTTTGAGTTCCACAGTCAAATGTTTGGGAAAAATCTGGGATGACAAAATCAAAAGTATTTCTAGCCCTGACTGGGGTGGCTCAGTTGGTTGGAGCGTTGTCCCATACACCAAAGGGTAAGGGGTTCAATTCCTGGTCAGGGTGCATATGGAAGGCAAACAATCAATGATGTTTCTCTCTCTCATCGATGCTTCTCTCTGTCTCTCCTTTTCTCTCTTTCTCAAATCAAATATATATTTTTTTTAAAATCAAAAGTATTTCTTTAATGCAGGAAAAACCCAGGGAAAAGCAAGGGAAGATGCAGAATGCCTCCAGAGGCTGCTTTGATCAGAGATCCTTATTGTATTGGAAAATCCCATAGAGCCAGCATTCCAAAGAACTTTTTGGGAAATACTGATTCAGACTTATAGATATAGGGAATGAGGTTAAACAAAAGGCAAATCCCATAGAGCCAGCATTCCAAAGAACTTTTTGGGAAATACTGATTCAGACTTATAGATATAGGGAATGAGGTTAAACAAAAGGCAAAGTAAGAAAAGCAAGTTCCAGAACAGTGCATGTAACATGACCTATTTATATAGGTGTGTATACTATAAATAAACAGGAGTGGGCAAAAGGAGGTTTACAGTTGTACTGTGACAGTCTTTTGAGTTAATAATGCTATTATTGTAGTAATAATAACCTGCATGTCACTGTCCAAACAATTGTAAACCTACTTTTGCTCACCTTGTATTTTTTTTTAAAGCTATTTCTATTTTTTTGTATTTTTTTTTAAAGCTATTTCTATTTTTATGTGCATTCAAGGAAGTCAGGAAAGCCAAAATTTTTAGAGTGTTTTCTTTGAGTGGAGGGAACATGAGTGATTGACTGATTACTTTCTTGACTTTTATTCTGAAAATTTCAAACCTACAGAAAGGTTGGAAAAAGAATGCATAGAACACTCTTTATACTTCATCTTATTCACTCAGTTGTTACCATCTTGCCACATCTGCAATATGCGCTTGCATATGATACACACATACACACACATATATAGTTTCACCAAGCCACTTAGAATTATGGTAGTTATAGACACCATTACACTTTGTTCCTCAATACTGTACTCAGATGCATCTCCTAAGAACAAAGATATTCTCCTATATAACCACAATTCAATCATCACACTCAGGAAGTGAATATTAATATAATACTATTATTTAAAATATTCAAATTCCTCCATATTCTTATTTCCCCGATAATGCCTTTATGGCTTCCCCCTGCTCCTACCCACAACCCAGGACCGAACCAAGAACTGCACATTGAAGCTGGTTACAATATCTCTTTACTTTCCAGATTATGAATTATCAGGTGTGTTGTTTTTTTTTTACTTTTCTTGTGTATTTTTTAATGTTTTTCTAAAGACATTGAACACTTTTGTTAAGAACAAAAACTTTTCTTGTGTATTTTTTAATGTTTTTATAAGGACATTGAACACTTTTGTTAAGAATAAAAAGAAGTTAAAATAGCTGACTGTGGCTATGGAAATGCAAAGTCACATTCTAGGTCACCACTAATGTGGCAGCTTCCCCACCCATAGCAGGGCTGGGCAAGGTATGGCTGGCTGTCCTCCTCAGCATGGGGGAGAGCTGGGGCCAAACCCCCTTCTTTCTACAAGACTCTGAATCTGCAGGAGTCAACATGCAGGCTGGAATCAAGATCCTGTAAGAAGGCAGTCCCCTCCTTACCTGCACAGGTGGGGGGCCCGGGGGCATGGGTTGGTCCAGGGATGTGAAAGCCGACATGGCAGACATGAGCATGTCATCGCTCACCAAGATGTTCCCCTGCACCAAGGTCTGGATCAGTGGGGATGGGGGCACCGTGATATATGTAGAGATCTGGAGAGAGGAAGAGAGAGAGAGAGAAAGGAAATGAACATGTGTGAGGCTCTGGAAAAAAGCAGAGGGCATGATGAAAAAGATCTGGATTCCGAAGTCCCACAGACCTGAAATCCATTTCCACCTCTGATGCTCCCTGCTGCTGTGTGACCCTGGGCAAGTCACTCCACCTCTCTGAACCTCCATTTCCCCATCTATCAAATGAGAAGAACAAATCACACCTCCCTGTAAAGCACATACCTTGTGACCCAGCAGTAATACTTTCTGGCATCTATCCTAGAGAAACACACACGTCCACAGGGAGTTCATAAACAAGAGTATTCCGCATAGTGTTGTTTCTTATAACCTTGATGTCTATCAATAGGGGAATGAATTTTAAAAATACAATATAGTCTTGAATAGAATACTATATAGTAGGTAAAACCTAAAACAATACTACTATATAATTCCTGTGGATACTTGAATTAAGTATGTGAAAGTATCTTAAAAGCTTGAGAAGAATATCCATCAGTAGTTACCTGGGGGGAGGGGAGAGGAATAGTGTCAAAAGTGCCTTGATTTGTGACACTTTTTTACAAAGGAGAAGGGAAACACGTATTTTTTGCAAACATACAAATGAATAATAAAAATAATACTATGCTCTCAGGTTAATAGTGAGGATGAAAGGCAGACCTTACAAGGGAGCATCAAACACGCAGTGGCTGCTCCCCTCAGTAGATGGAAAGGGTGTTTTGATTTGTTTACCCGTTGCTTTTCTTTACTGGCAGGCCCTGGGCATCTTCCTAGGTTACCTGTCTCTGTAGAACCTCTAGGGACAGCAGTGACTCAGTCTCTGAACCCAGAATCCCTGTTCAAACAGGATGTCTTTAGCCAAGCAAGGACAGCCAAGGCAAGTTAGGAAAATGTCCCACGTTATGGCCAGGAAAGGCATTATAGACTTTGGCTTATCTGTTTTTTACATCGTCACATGCGTTAGGCTGAAATGAAAAATGGGAAATCGTATCCATGTCCACTCAAGCCACTTAGGCAGGGAGATTCACCTTTGTCCACAACCAACTGCTTGTGTTTTGAAGTTATTTCCTTGTTCAGAAAAGAACTGGTTGATTCTTGTTTGTGTCCTGACTGAGGATGGAACCACAACCCTGGCGTACAGGACAATGCTCTAACCAACTGAGCTACCCAGCCAGGGCCTGAAGGCTTTTATTTTGATGACAGGAATTATGTCTACACAATGGATAAAGATAATGTTTTTAAGAAATAAGGAGCCCTGGCCAGGCAGCTTCAGCTGGTTAGTGTCGTCCTGAAATGCTAAGGTTGCAGTTCAATCCCTGGTCGGGTACATATGACAATCAACCAATGTATAATTAAGTAGAGCAACAAATAGATGTTTCTCTGTTTGTTTCTTCCCCACCCAGCCCCACTTCTGTCTCTCTAAAATCAATAAATAAAAATTAAAAAAAAATAAGGAGACAAGTGGAAGTCAGAGGGAAATTTGACTCCTGGACCTGGCATCCTGAGACACGCCCAGCTCCCTTTATGAGGACTCTTTAATCCCTCTAGGAGTCCCCACCCCGACTCTCTTTGCTCCAGAATTGTATTGCTGACTGAGGACTCTGGAAGCTCCTCTAGATACCTCCAGCCTGACCCTCTCCCCTGACCTCCAGACTTGTGTACCTGTCTGCATCTTCACCGCCTCCACTTACAGGTCCAATGGGCATCTCAAATCCAACATGCCAAGCCCAACTCTTGACATTCCCCCAAATCTTCTCCCAGGCATTAACAGCAACTCCAACTCTGGAGTCACCCTTGATGCCTCTGGATCTCATGCCCCACACCCAATCTATCCACAAGCCCTGATGGCTCTGCCTTCAGAATATTTCCAAAATCTCATAATTCTCATGACCTCTGCCACCTCCACCCTCTGTCTGAATTTGCACAGCAGCCCTCTAATGGGCGTCCTGGCTTTCTCTCTTGACTGCCACCAAAACCTATTCTCTATACGGCATCTAGAGTGACCCAGTTAAAGTGTAAATCAGACCCTATTCTTCTTCTGTTCAAAACCCTCCAATGGTTCCCATCTCTTAGAGTAAAAGTCCACAAGTCCCACATGATCAACCAAGATCCCCTTGCTGTCTCTCTGACCCTATCATCTCCCATCCTCCTCCTCACTCATTTAGCTCCAGCCACTCTCACCTCCTTGATGGTCCCGGAATAAACCCAACACATGCCTGCCTCACGGCCTTTGCACTTTCTGACCATACTTTCTGGAATATTCTTCCCCAAACTGGCTGCTAGACTCATTCCCTCACCTCCTTAGGTCTCTACTGAAATGCCACTTCTTCACAGAGCCCTTCTCCAAGTACTATGTATAAAAAATGGCAAAAATTCCCACCCCTGTGTTGGCATCCCCTATCTCTCTGCATTTAACATCCTGAAAAAAACATATCTCTACAAATTTGTTTGGGTACCATTCATCTCACTCGACTCTGCGAGGGCAGTGACTTGGTCCGTTTGTCCATCACTGTATCCCTAATGCCTGTACGGTGCCTGATGCATAGTGAGTGCTCAAAAAAAGACTTGCTGAATGGGTGACTAAACAAACAATTGAAAGTACCTGGCCCTGACTAGTGTGGCTCAGTGGATTGGGCATCATCCTGCAAACTGAAAGGTCACCAGTAAAATTCCGGGTCAGGGCATGTGCCTAGATTGTGGGCCAAGTCCCCATTTGGGGGTATTGCAAGAGGCAACCAAACAAATGTTTCTCTCCCTCTCTTTCTCCCTCCCTCCTCCCCTCTAAAAAATAAATAAAATCTTTTAAAAAGAAATAGAAAGAAAGAATACCTGGCGATTTGCAGGAGGCGGGGCCTGCTGGACTGCTGTGGGCGCTGCTGAAGGCGTGTAGATGCTGTTGGTGGCCAGCGAGACAGTGGCCAGGGGCGGGGCGTTCCCCTGGCACTGTTCCCGCTTGTGGGTCATAAATGCTGGCAGTGAGTTGAACTGCTTCTTACACTTCCCGCAAAGAAAGACATCCTCATCATCTAGGGGTCACACCATAGAGTAGTGTGTAGGAGGGGGATAACAAAAAAAAGCAAGAATAAAGGAGGGGCATTACAGTAAGAAATGGAAGGAAACTTGAGTCTGAATCAGAACAACAGCATTCTGTGATTCCATGTGTGTGGATCCAATTTTAGGAGCTTTCAATACCATACAGCACCTGTGGGAGTATCCAGCCATGTGCATGAAGGTATTGAAAAATTAGAATCAGGAAATAGTAAAGTGGGTTTGCTTTAAAGTTGAGAACTTCAGATTCTTTATCCTGCCTGAATTCACTCATCGGTCACCAAACAGACCGCGAGATCACACTCCTTGGTGACTTTGCATCTCGTTTTCCCCTGTCAAGCTGCCTTAGTCAGACCAATTCATTCTACGAAGCTCAGCTCAGCTGTCACCTCTTCCAGGAAGCCTTCCTAAAGCAGTGGCCAAAGTTCCTTTCTCTAGACCTGCCTCTCATATCACACTTTCCCATCACCATGAGACTGTTAGTCCCCTAAGGGAAGAAAATACATTTTACTTTTCACCATAGCTGTGATGTTTCCTGGGCACATAGAAGGCCCTCAGTGGATGTTTGTTGAGTGAATGAAAAACTAAACGATTAGCTACCCCCATTACTGAGGGTCTACCATAGGCTGTGCACTGTGCTAAGCATTTGACATGCTGTGGCAGAAATGTCTAATTGTCCTTAGATATTCATTATCAACACGAATTTTAGTTGGAAACATGGCTGTCTATTAAAGACTGTACTTCCCAGATTTCTTTGCAGCTATACATGCCATGTGACTGAACTCTGACCAATAGGTCAAGAAAAGAAATATAATGTCTATGCAACTTCCTCTTAAAAGGAAGGGGTATGAATTCCTTCTTTCTTCCCTTCATGTTGGCCGGAATGTAGAAATGAAAGTGAGAGACTGGAGCAGCCATCCTAAACAGCTTGTTGAGGGCAATACGGCCACAAGAAAGGAGTCTGAGTTTCACCATACCCACCCCAAATGCCCATGAGTACCTCATGTAACAGAAAAATAAATTTTAATCTTGTATAAACCACAAGACACTTGATCTCTTATTATAACAGCTACAAACATATCCCAAGTATCATCACAAGATTTCTATGAGTTAGGACTATTATCCCCATTTTACAGATGGGAAAACTCAGGCACAGAGAGGTTAACTCACTTGCCCAAAGTCAGAGCCAGGAACTACAGGAACAAGGATTCAAACCCAGGTGTGTATCTCTCTGTTCCCTGTGCGGTTCCCAAGTACTCAGATATGTTTGTGGAATAAATAATTGGACATAGAGACTCACATAGGCTCCAAAAGAAGTTCTTTGCCCTCTCTGTGTCTTAGGGACATGGCCTGTAAGTTAGAGAGATTTGTGCTCAGCCTGCTCTTTCCATAGAGGGGTGGCCGAGAAATGACTTCTGGGTCAAAGGTACACGCACTGCCAAGCATCAGGGCTACTAGCCCCTCCAGCATCATGATCCCCACATTCACTAAGTGATTCAAAGAGAATGTCCTTGGAGCTAAGCAGAGAAAGGCATTAGCCTGAAGATCCAGGCTGGAGGAAGGGGAGATGGTTCAAATACCAGGCATCCTGGGGACCATGGGGGGGGCAGTTCCCTCCTGCACCGCTTCATGAGTACCACTTGTTTTTCATGGGTAAGCCATTCACCCTTCCACTGGTGAACCTGAGCAGATACTCACCCAATGGCTGGATAGCAGGGGGTGCACTGACACTCTGGCCTGTTGGATCAGGGACTGCTCCTTGGCCATCCAACAATGACTGGACAGCCAGGACAGTCTGATTGTCCATTCCTGAAGAAAGAAATAAAACCTCTTTGGAAGGAGGGCCCAGCATCCTGCTCTGACTTCACCCTTTCAAGCCAGACTCACTGTAAGCCTACATGGCAAAGACAACTGGCTGTGCCTGGATATATACGCTCTCCTACTTCCGTTGCAACAGAACCCAAGACTTGGGCTGAAAACATGGTTCCAGAATAAAGATTACACTTCCCAGCCACTCCTGCAGCTAGGGAATGTCTAAGTTCTAGCCAATGGGATGCATATGGCAGTTTCTGGGAAGTTTTCTTAAAAGCTTCCTGGTATGTGACCCCCTTCTTTGTCCCATCCTCCACCCTGCTTCCTAAAACAAGAATACGGTGGTAGGCCCTGGATGGCATGGCTCAGTAGACTGAGCGCTGGTCTGTGAACCAAAGGGTCGCTGGTTTGATTCCCAATCAGGGCACATGCCTGTGCTGCAGGCCAGGTCTCCAGTTCAGAGCGTGCAAGAAGCAACCACACATTAATGCTTCTCTCTCTCTCTTTCTCCCTCCCTTCCCCTTTCTCTAAAAAATAAGTAAAATCTTAAAAAAAAGAAAAACAAAGAATATGATTGTGGGAACTCTAGCCACCACCCCAGATCATGAGGAAAAGGGCCATATCCTAGGGATTGCAAGGCAAAAAAAAGTGGAAAAATCCTGGGCTCCTGAGAATCTTGGAGACCACAGTCACACTCATAGCTCTTGATTGTCTTCCTCCTAACTCCCATATGACAGAAATGACCTTCTAGCCTATTCAAGTCACTCACAGTTTGTGCTGCTTTCTTAATCGTGGCTGAATCTAACCCAAGTGATACAGACCCTCTGAAAATCATGTTACCAAGTCTTCATCCACATCCCAAAAATCCTACAAATCTGTTTGCACTCAGGTGTCCTTGCTTCCCTTGTTTTCCAACTCATGCTTATCTTTTTTATTCCGCAATAAATAGCATAATCTTAACTTGTAGTCAGGGGATTCTTGAGAAGCAGATTACTTCCATGTTTTCCAATTAGTTGTCACTGTTGAGGTTCATAGAAGTATACTTGTCCAGCCATTTCACTAGCTGGAGGACAGGCCTAGTCACACCTAATAGGACACCTAGGCACAATGCCTTCCTCCCAAATAACGCAGAGGGTGCCTCCTTCTTTCTGTCTCCACAGCCGATGCTCTCTCTCCAATCTTTCAGCTCTTACCTAGACTCCTGCACCAGCTTCTAACGGCAATACAAATTAGAACCGTTAGCTCGTCAGCCAAAGTGAACCCATACTTTCCCCTGTCACAATGCAGGCTGTGTTCCTGCTGAGGCTAGCCCTTCTCTCCATCCCTTCCTGCTCCCTCAGAAACCACTCGCCACCAACTAACCCTTTCCCATGATCCATGACACATGCTCAGATCTCTCTAGAATGCCCTCTCTTGAACCCATGTTCCCATCTCTCCTCTTTTCAACATCAAGCATCTGATGAGAGCTGCCTCACACCCTCTACGTCTGCATCCTCCTTCCCCAACTCCATTGGGGCTTAAGCCCCACCGTTGCACCGATATCACTGAAGACCATCTCGCAGCACTGGGCATTTCTTCCTGAAACTGCCTTCTTTGGCTCCAGGATACCACTCTTCCTGCGTCCTCTCCCACCTCTCTGTTCATGCCCTCTCGGCCTCCTTTACTTTCTGCGTCTGCTGTCCATCCCCCAAATGTTTCTAATTTGAAAGCTTCCTTCTGTCTGGACTCTCTCGTCTTTCCCTCTTATACTCTCTGGGCAGCCTCACTCACCCTCAAACTAGTTCTCCCTAATATTGCAGTTCATGCTTCCCTGAATGAGCTTTAGTAAATCTTCTACTGTTTACGCAAAATTGTATGTTAGCATTTGTGTGCAAATCTGTACATGAACATGGATAGTTTCATTTATAATAGTAAAAAACTGGAACCAGTTCAAAAGTCCTTCAGTAAGTGAATGGTTAAACTGGTACATCCAGGCATGCTCTCCTTCCTGGGAACACGCCCATGCCTTTCCCTTTCTCCTCTTCTTCCCCCACAGACGTGCATCTCTTAAACTCTAAGAAACCCCACAAGACTTGGAACCAGAGAAGCTACGGGCAGTGGGGGCTCATCCGGAGCTAACCCCTGAGTCTGTTCCCAAGCCCCCTTTTCTCTGACTCTCCAATGAGCTGAGAGTGTCCCTGCCTTGGCTTACTTCTTTCCCATAATGTTTCTAAAGAACCAAAGCCGCCCCACCTAAGCTCTCTCCTGTTGCTTCTTCTATCCTAAGCCCTTCCTTGTTCCACTGTCTCCAGCTTTAATAAATGTACTCTCAAAATGTAAAATAAAAATAAAAAAATTTAAAAACTGGCAGTATATCTATACCAGGGAATACTACTAAGCAATAAAAAAGAAAACTCTTGATATAAACAACAGTATATGAATTTCCATGAAATATCATGAATTTAAAAAAGCCAATCTCAAAGGTTATATATTATGTGATTGTATTTACATGACATTCTTTTCTTTTTAAGATTTTATTTTTTGAGAGAGGAAAAGGGAGGGAGAAAGAGAGGAAGAGAAACATTGACTGATGTGTGAGAGAAACATTGATCTGTTGCTTCTCACACACCCCTAACTGGGGACCTGACCCACAACCCAAGTAAGTCCTCTGATTGGAATGGAACTGGTGACATTTTGGTTTGCAGGCTGGTGCTCAATCCACTGAGCCACACCAGCCAGGGCTATGTGACATTCTTAAAATGACAAAGTTTTAGAAATGAACAGACCTCAGGGATGGGGGCAGGGGTGGGGAAAGGGGAAGGAGATGGATGTGGCTAAAAAAAGGGCAATATCTAATAGTGATGGAACTGCTCTGTGTATTGATTGGTTGTATATGATAGGATAGTTTTGTAAGATATATTGAGGAAAATAGGTAAAGTATACATGGGATCTCTCTTATTTATTTATTTATTTATTTATTTAAAGAGAGGGGAAGGGAAGGAGAAGGAGAGGGAGAGAAACATCAGTGTGTGGTTGCCTCTCATGCACCTCCCCCTGGGGACCTGGCCCGCAACCCAGGCAAGTGCCGACTGGGAATTTAACCACCGACCCTTTGATTTGCACTCAATCCACTGAGCCACACCAGCCAAGACTCTCTGTATTATTTCTTATAACTGCATATGAGTCCTCAGGAAAAAAATTATTTCAAAATAAATATTTTAATTTAAAAAATACTGCCTGTAACCCTGGCCAGTGTGGTGCAGTTGGTTGGACGGTCGTCCCGTACACCTAAAGGTTGAGGGTTCGGTCCCTGGTCAGGGCACATACCTAGGCTGTGCATTTGATCACCAGCTAGGGGTGCAAATGGTAGAGAACCAATTGATGTTTCTCATATCAATGTTCCTCTCTCTTTCTCCCTCTCTAAAAAAAATCAATAAACATATTAAAAAAAATACTGCCTGTCAAAACTATGGTGACAATAAAAAGATCAGTGCTTGCCAGGGATTGCGGGGGAGGAATGAATAAGCAGAGCACAGAGGATTTAAGGGCAGAAAATACTCTGTGATATCATAATAATGGATACATGGCATTACATATTTGTCCAATAGCATGTACAACACTGAGAGTAAACCCTGAGGTAAAGTATGAACTTTGGGTGATTATGGTGTGTCAATATAGGTTCCTCCTTGGTAACAGGTACCATCCTGGTGAGCTATGTTGGTAGTGGGGAGGCTATGAATGTGGGGGGTCAGGGAATACACAGGAAATATCTACCTTCCTCTCAACTTTGTTATTAACCTAAAACTGCTCTAAAAAACTATAATCTTTTTTTTTTTTTAAATGCTGCCTATCTAAACTGAATTCCAACTGCCCTGCCCGAGTAGCTCAGTTAGTTAGAGCGTTGTCCCAACACACCAAATTTGTGGGCTTGATCCCTGGTCAGGGCACATGCAAGAATCAACCTGTAAATGCATAAATAAGTGGAATAACAAATCAACATTTCTCTTTCTCCTCCTTCTTCTCTCTCTAAATCAATAAATAAAAAATTAAGTAAATAAAAATAAACAACTCAAACTAAATGTGTCACCACCTCCCCTAAGTTTGTTCCTCTCCCAGTAATCCTCATTGATAAGAACAGGGCACCACAGTCCACCCAGCCACAGCCCCGGGGGTACCCCTTGATTCTTCCCCTCAACCTATCAATCACCCCTCCCTCCTTGCATTTCTAGTCCTTCAACAAATCTAGCTATTCTGCCTCCCAGTATCATTCAGATCCACTTTCTCTCCATCCCCACGGCTGTCCCCCTGGCCCATGACACCATCGGTTCTCAGCAGGACAACTGCAGTCAGCTCACTCACCTCCCTGCTGTCACTGTGGCCCCCTCCAGTCTGTGCTCAGAGCAGCCAGGGTGAACTTCATAAAACATACATCACATTGTGTTGCTCCCCTGCTGAAAGCCCTTTCTTATCTCCACACTGAATCCAAGATAAAGTTCACAAGCCTCATCTCGAGCTGCTTGCCCACATGAACTTCTGTGAGTCCCAGAAGACCCAGAAGACCTCTCTGTACCCGCAGAGCTTTGCAAATGTAGTTTGCACTGCCTAGGTCATTTCTAGATCCCCACAGTTCTGCTGCCCTTCCTCTAGCCCAGCATGTATCACACTGTTCTCAGAACTGACTTTTCCTTTATTTTCTTCATCACTCAATGCACAAACACACTTTTGAAATAAAAATTCAAAGACAGGGGAAGCCCATGGAACATGGAGAGAAAATAGGCCTCACCCCATTCTACTGACCTCCTGGAAGGAACCACTGCTGACTCCTGCCCTCTACATCCCTCACCATCATAGCAGTGAAAGCCAGCTGAGGTTATTTTCTTTTACTATTTGTATTTTCTACTATTCTATAATTGCTAGGTCTATCATTTCTGTCTGGTTCAATGAGAATTCCCGAAATTGAGCCTTACCGATAGGGGGAGGGTTACACGGCATTTCAAGGTTGAGAACTCTGATCCTCCAAGAAGTGAAGATACATGACTGATACCTCCTGGGGAGTTGCAGCGCTCAAGGTCTCAGCCACATACCATTAGTCCCGCCTACTTTCAGTCTGTACTCTTATTACAGGTATACTCATCCTATCACATCCCTCCAAGAACATCTGTGGGTTTCTATCCCCTCAACATCAACTCTTTGCCCTGACCCTGAAGTCACTGAGGCTTCCTCCAAGGCTTCCAGCAGGCCCTTGGTGTTTGCTGTCTCCAAAGCCCACAATTCCCTACTCCTGAGGCCCACGCCCATTTTGGGATCTTGCAGAGGACAATCAGTCGGCCCCCAGTGTTTACTGCTTTAGGTCTGGGAGCATCAAGTTCCAGCCAAGCACACCCTTAGCATCCATCCTTCAACGGTTTTAGTTTATAAAACTCTGCACCCCAGGACGGTGCACAAACTAGGCCACTGATGTTTGCTGGCTTCGTAAGCACCAATTCCCGGTCTTGCAAGCAGGTGGTGACTATCCTTTTCTGGTCTGAATTTGAGACTATGTCACAGCACGAAATACACAATCTATGCTCAATACAAGTTCGTGGTCAAAATGCCTGGCTTGGCGGCGCCGGCCCCAAAGCCCTCCCGTCGCACAGAAGTTCCCACACCACGGTCAGCAACAAGAGGCCACCCTCTCCGCGCAGCTCCAGGCCTGACCAGCCCCACCCTCCCTGGCTGTTCCCTCCAGGAGAGCCCTCCCGCACCCGCCCGCAGCTGGTGCTGTTCCGGTCCGAGGCCCTCTCCCCGCTGGGCCAGCCCTCCCTGGCTGTTCCGGTCCCGGTACTCCCTCCCAGGGCTTTCTCTCCCCTGCTGTTCCGGTCCCGGGGCCCGCCCCACCACTGAGCCTCCTCTCCGATGCTGTTCGGTGTTGTGACACCCACCCTACCCCACCCCACCGGCAGGCCTCGGTTCCCGCCGCTGTTCCCGCCCGCGCCCCTCCCCCGGCTGTTCCGGCCCCGGCGGCCTACGCCCCGCGGCCGCCACGCGCCCTGGGCCCAGCGCTGCGAGGGCGCGGCGGGAGGGGGCGCAACGCGGAACAGCCGCTTCCCCCGGCACCGCCGTCGCTCACCCTCAAGGGCCTCGAAGATCGTCTGCGCCATCTTGGAGCCGCCGCCGCCGCCGCCGCCGCCGCCACGGGAGCCGAAGCGGGGCTACGCGAGCATTGTGGGAGCCGCGGCGGCGGCGGCGGCGGGGCCGGGGCCGCCAGGGGGCGCCCGGGAGCCACCGCTGAGCCCTCAGTCTTGGAAACCCGGCAATCGTCTGCGGGACCCCCACGTCCCGGGGCTAACCCAGCTCCGCCTCGGTGATCCAGTGACCAGCGCATGTGGACCCTTATCCCCGCCTCATTTGAACCCTCCAGCTTTGCACTCCGACCCGTCGCCGCCACACCGCACCTGCCTTTCTCTCCTCTCCTTCTCACACACGGCTCTATTGCACGTGGGACCCCCTCAGCTCCACAGTACGGACCTTACTTATTCCCACTGCACATTAAATCCCCCACTTTTGCAACCCCTCCTCCCACCTCACCCGATCACCCAGTTCTGTCACAAGGACCTGCGATTAACACAGGACCTCTGCCGCAAATGTGCAACAAAGAGTCGCATCCTTGTCATAGACTTCTCACTCCCTTCTCCCACAGAGAGCCCTAGCTCTGCCTCTTGGGAGCCACCTGTGACTCCCATCTCAGCCTGGTCTTAATCCCTCATCATCTCAAAGAGTCCCCGGTGGCTTAACCCCTTATTTACACTTTTTGGGGAATCTTCATTCCCTCTTCACACAGACATCCATCCCCGAGTGGGACCCCGTTTCTGTCGCATAAACCTCCAATACCCGCTTCAGCAACTTTCAGCCCAACCTCATAGATCTCACAGGGATCCTCCCGCACGTCCTTCAGTCCTTGGTCAAACACACCCATCTCTCGTCTTTTCCTGTGCTTCCGCCGCTCTTGAAGGCTTTCTATACATCAAGTCTTATAATTAAGTCCATGAATACACTGGTGCATTTCCGTGGAGTCAGGGGTGGGAGGAGCAGACGAACATTAAATCTTTAATTACAAGGTGTGATAGTGGTTTCGGAGATGGACACTTGGACACCAAGAAGGCGTTGGGGAACTTGTGGGGGTAGGGGTAGAAGGAACGAGGGCGGCGCCATCAATAATGATTTCTCCCCTGAGCCAAGTTCTCCTACAACGCGCTACCATAGATTTGACTCTAAGTGTTTTCATTATGTTATAGCCTCATCCAAAGCAATAAAAATTACAATTTTTATTTTCTTATATTCACTAAATAAATGTATAAATTCCTAAAAGTAAAACAAGAACAAAAACAAAAGAAAAGAAAAACACTTGTTCAAAGTTCCTCTGTCCTCCGGAAACACTTACCAGCCACTGTTACAGTAAGTTGCCTCACAGACCCTCTGCTTACACGTGCCTCAAAGCTGACTTCTACACCAGTAAACTCTCCGTCTTGCCCTGAACACTACAACTGTACTGCCCACCACTGCTCCTCCTTCCTCTTCCAGTCTCCACCTTGCACAATGAGCTCTGAGCAAATGTCCCCCACAGAGAACCCCCTCTTCTTCCAGACTCCATACCCCACCCTCTTTTCTGGGAACCTTGGAGACATAGGCCCCATCTCAAGTCCTAAACCACCCTTCTCAGTGCCTCTCTGGCAGGAGTAAGGCCAGCATTCCCTCCTCCCTGTCTTTCCTTTAACATCCCCATTGATCCAATGGCCTTACATCCTCCTCGTCTCTTCCCTGAAAGAGTTTCTCAATATAACTGTTCTTTGAAAAGAATCATTCAAGTAATATATTAGTACATTCATATTCATTTAATTAATTTAAAAAATATTCAATACCTATTGTGTGCTAGCCACTATTCTACATGTTGAGGACACATCCATGAACAAAAACATACACATCTTTGCCTTCATAGAGTCATAGTTCAGCAGGTGAGATGGGCTGTAAACAAGGGAAAAAAACGGGGAATGATTCCACGACTTTAATTTTTTTTTTTCTGGGAGGAGGGAGCCTCCTTCAGACAGGGTGGTTAAGGAGGGCCTCTCTGAGGAAGTAGATGGAGAAAAGGGAACAAGAAAGGCAGAGCTTATTAGTTGTATCATCTTGGGCAAGTGCAAAGGCCCTATGTTAAAAATAAAAGGAGCCCAAGGACTGTAAAGGGAGGTATGGGTATAGGGGGATGAGGAAGGAGAGATGAACAGGGCCACTGGGAGGCACTGGACAGTACAAGATTCTACCAATACAAGCCCTGGAAGCTTTCCATGTATTTTTATATATCCAGATGCATATACAAATAGTTGATTTTTATCTGCTCTTTCCGGTCTTTGCACTTGCTGTTCTCTTATCAAAATGTCCACATTGGCCTGGCCAGTGTGGCTCGGTGGATTGAGTGCCCGCTTCCTGATTAGGGCACATGCCTAGGTTGCGAGCCAGGTCCCCGGTTAGGGGCTGTGTGAGAGGCAACCAATCGATGTTTCTCTTGCACATTGATGTTTTTCTCCCTCTTTCCCTCCCTTCCCCTCACTCTAAAAATAAGTAAATAAAATCTTTTTAAAAAAATGCCCATCTTCCACCATTGTTGGAACAATAGAAGCTTGCCTTCGTACCCCCTCTCAGCAGCTTTCCCTGAGTTCCCTGGATGATATCGCATCCCTGTCTAGATATTTTAGTTTCTCACAGTACTTGGTACTACCCCTGACATGTGATAATCTTTAGCCCTTGGAAGTTTGCCTTTTCTCTACTCCCACAATAGGGAGCCCTCTGAGCAGAGGAGGTGCTTCATTCATTCTGATTGGAACTCATGCCCTGACACAGAGATAACCTGGAAATGTTTGTTGACTGACTATTTGACTGATGGGACAACTAAATGAACTTCAGTGAGGTTCTCCAGCAGGTTCCCCAGTCAGGATTCCCCTGCTTCAAACGTTCATCTCCTTACCTCCATCTTTTCCTCCACTAAAATCTATCTGTCCTATGTCCCATTCCCTCAGGGCTAGCTGGTTGACGCTGAACCAAATCCAATCATAACTTTGAGATTCTTGGAGTAAGAAATGATGGTTGTTATGGGCTGAATAGTGTCCCTCCAGAATTCATATGTTGACATTCTATGTGTTCATACCCTAGTACCTCAGAATGTGAGAATATTTGGTGATTGGGCCTTTAGAAAGGTAATATTGAATGAGGTCATATAGGTGGACCCTAATCTAACATGACTGGTGTCCTTGTATGAGAATATTTGACAACATATACTGAATGGAGACCATTTGTGGACATGGTAAGAAGCTTGCCATTAGAAAGTGAAGGAGAGAGGCCTCACAAGGAACTAAACCTCCAACACCGTGATCTTGGACTTTTAGCCTTTATTGTGAGAAAATACATTTTTGTTGCTTAAGCCACACAGTTTATGGTATTTTGTTATGGAAGCCCTAGCAAATTAATGCAGTGATAAAGATAAAAGACTCTGGAGCTGGGAGACCTGGATTCCGATCTTGACTTCATGACTTATGAGCTATATCATCTTGGGCAAGTTACTTTGCTTCTCTGCATCTCAGTTTCCCATTTGTTAAGTGGGCATGATTATAGTTCCTACTTCATAGGCCTGCTATGAGAATGAAATGAAGCACGTGACAAACAGTTCCTGGAACACAGCAAGAACTCTGTAAGTGCTTGCTAAGTAGATAACTTTGATTACTTGGGTAAAATGAATAAAAAGGCTTTTCCCCAAGGAACTCAGAGTTAGGTACAATTCAAAAGGGCTTTTAAGGAATAAGTATTCCAATGCGGCAACTCTTTACCCCAGGCTTCTTGAGGGAAGAAACTTATTTATCACCATGAGAAGGGTTTAGCCAAAGATAGCAGCCAGGAGGAACTTGCTGATCCAAATAGTTTCCAAACACCCTCTCCTGATATTGGACCATGTGTCAGGGCTTGGTGCCTAATTTTTTATGGGCATATTAGGTGATATATCTACAAGTTCTATTTGGGTCCTTCTTAAATTTTCCATATTTTAAAATTATTTTTTGTTCTCTGTAGCTATTTTCTAGCTTTAAATCTTATGTGTACAATATTTAAAAACCTGTGTCTGTGAATTATAATACCTCAGGTCTGTATTGATCTGTTCTTCCCATTTCTTGTGTCTCATTTTTCTTCTTCATGAAGTCTTGGGTGCCTGGTTTTCTCTATGTGCTGATAATCACCTTGGAAATTTTTTTGTGGTGGTTCCCTGAAGTCAAAGATAGATGTTCCCTTCTTCACAGAGATTTTGCATTTGCTTTTGCCAAAGGTTTGGGGCCACTTCCAATCACTTATCACCTCATACCAGGTTCCCAGTTCATGGCTTGAGATTTCTTGGGCTACGGGATTCTACTCCCTAGAGTGTGAAATGACATGTCAGTGGTTACAACTTCCCAAAGGAAGAACTTTAAAAAAATTCCTTTCCCTTTTCCTTCAACTGCTCTTTTCAGCACCAAGGCAATCTGTTCTGAACTCACTTGGGTAGTAGAGTAGGGTGCACAGTCGGTTCATGTCATATGAAACTTGAGGGTGAGACACTTTGGGATCTTACCTTAATGAGAATAGATTTTTCTATGAGACTCCCCACCTTGGACAGGCTCTGGACTATCAGTTCTGTCTCTCTTGCCCTATGTGGTTAATGAACTGAAACCTGCAGTTTCAATACTGGATGCCCTCATGTCATAAGTAGTTTTGGACCTCCAATAATCCAATCTTCCTGTTAACTGGTTATCAGCTTTCAACCAATAATTGTCCTAGGCATTCTCCAGGCTTTTAAGCATTTCAGTGTTTTTCAGAGGATATTTTTATATTTTATTTAACAATGCCACTATTTTCAGAGGAATGATTGCTTGAATTAACCAGTCCACAATTACTGAAAAGAAAAGAGAAAGAAAGAAAGGAAGAAGGAAGGAAGGAGAGAAAGAAGGAAAGAAAGGAAGAAAGAAAGAAAGAAAAAAGAAAATCCAGTTTCAACAATAAAATGAGTCCAGCATAATTTTGCCTTCACTGACCTCTGACATCATCCCATGACACTGATCTGGGCAAGAGTATCAGAGATAAACACTGTTAGAGTCAGTAGCCAGCTAGGCTTCAGGTAGATGGGGAACCATTAGCTGATAACCAGAGGGTTGGCTGTGGGCAGAGGGTTCAAGGTCCTGATACACATTCGTCAGAAGCATGGACAGAGGGACTGACAAATTAGGTAATAACCAGTATAGGATCCACTGGGGATACTAGACATAAAGGGCAAAAATGATTAAAAAAGAGCATGTGTATGGCCTCAAAACCTGAACAGCACAGGCATACGACCATCCCCTATTGGCAGAGATGTGCCCATGTGTTGGGCAGAAACAAACTGGCAGGAGAGGAGGAGCCAGGAAGCTGGTGGGAAGTCCAAGCGAGCCTAAAAACTCTAAGTCTGTAGCTCACCGGGGCACTCAGTTGGGTATGAGTCACCTGCTTCAAAATCTCCCATTTGTACTTTTCCCTTGCTAATAAACCTCTGTCTACTTTGCTATTCCTTCTCTCAAGAAAACAAGAAGCGAGGTCCTCAGAATACTATCATTGTTCTAGTGACACTACCACATGGCCCAAATACTACCACTCAATGTGTAGCTGTTATCCAATGACAACTCTACAGAGTGACATTATACATAGATGTCACTTATCAATGCCCTTGGAGATGACAACCCAAACTATATTACTTCAACAGGCATACACCGGACACCTACCATGTGCTAATTGCTGGGGTTACAGCAGAAAACAAGACAGAGAAGGTTTCTGTCATGCTGGAATTTACATTCTGGTAGGGGCAATGGATGATGAACGTGATAATTTCAAAGAGTGAAAAGTTCTATGAAGAAAATAAAAGAGGACAATAAGTCAGGGAGAGAAACGTTGATGGGTTGCCTTCCATACGCATCCTGGCCAGGGATAGAACCTTGAACCTAGGCATGTTCCCTGATCAGAAATTGAGCCGAAGACCTCTCGGTTTGCAGGAGGACGCTCCAACCAAGTGCTACTTAAATGGGATATCTAGGAAGTCCTCTTGGAGGAGGTGGAATTTGACCTGAAACTTGAAGGTTGAGAAAGAGCCAGCCATGGGAAGAACTGGGAGTGATGCATACCAGGTAGGGAAATAGCAACTGCAAAGGAATTGAGGCTGGAGATGTCTTGGAATGTTCAAGGAACAGCAAGGAGGCCAGTTTGGCTGAAGGGGAATGAATGCGGGGACAAGTGATCCGACAGGAGTTTAGATAGGGAAGCAGGGCCAGATTATATAGTCTTGTGGGCAGTGGAAAGGAGTTTGGATATTTTAAGGATAAATTGAAAATATTGATGGTGCCAAATGATCAGGTCACTATGATCACTGTTTACCCAATCAGAACTGTTTACCCAGTTCTAGGGAGGGCGGCTCCCCTCTTTCGGAAAAGTTTGGAAACTCTTAGGTGACACTTTCCAAACGCAACGGAAACGTGCTTTCTGATTGGAAACATCCAGGCGTACGATTCTAACTTTCCTTGGGTCGAGTCGGAAGGCGCCTTTTGGTTGGTTAACAAGCTCTCCTTTTCCAGTCAGACCGCTCCCGGGGAGTGAGCGTGCGTCGCATTCCTCCTGTGAGTTGAGTGTGCTCTGTTAATTGGCCCTTCATGTCTAAGTGACAGAACACAGAGCCTATAGTGTAAAGATGCGGTGGCGACGCTCTGAGCTGCTCGGAGCGGAGGGCGTTGCAGCCGGAACCGTGACTATCGGTGCTCGTCGGTTTTGGTATCAGTGTTCCACCCCCGCGCGATACGCTCGCTATGGCAGCTCCGGCGCCCTTGCGGGGTCTTCTCCTGGCTGTCAACACACTGCTGCGCAAGCGCCGCTACCACGCTGCGTTGGCCGTGCTTAAAGGCTTCCGGAACGGGGCTGTGTGAGTGGGGCCGTAGGGTCCGGGTTGAGGGACGGGCCCGGCTGGGGTCAGCGGCGCTTCTTCCCGTCCCGGCGCTGCGGCGTTGTGTGCCCTTGAGCAGCCGCGTGTCTCTCGGTCTCTGTGTCCACCATCTGCGCTGTGGGCGCTGGATTTTGGGTCTCGAGCGCCTTCTGAGCCAGGGCTTCCACTACGCTTTTCCTGGGTACTTCGTGCTATGCAGCCTGGCCCTCTGCTTGACCATCTCCCATGCCAGTCTCTGTATTCCCTCCTTTGGGTCATTTCCCTTGCCTGGTGCCTGGAGGGGTGCTCGGCCTCCTTTAAACCTCATGCATAATAGCTATCTTGTATTGAGAGGCTACCGTACCAGAACTGGGGATGCAACAGAGAACAAACCCAACAAAGATCTCTGTCTTCCTGGAATTGGCATCGTAGTGGCACCCTGGCATGGTGATTAAGGACAGTGGACTACCTCAGTTTGAATCCTGGTGTCACCTACCCGTGTGGTCTTGAGCAAGTGATTTAGCCCCTCTAAGTCTCAATTTCTATAAAATGGGGGTGACAATAGTACTTACACTGTAAGGGGATTGAGTCCATATGTGTGTAATGCCTAGCACAGTGCCTGATATATGTGTATAACTGTTGGCTGCTATTGTTATATTCACACAAATTCTTCCTGGCTCACATTCCTCATCTTTTTCAGGTCTCTGTTTGTGACACCTCCTCAATGAGGCCATCCCAGAACTCCCCATTTTCTTCCCTACTTAATTTTTCTCCGTAGTACTTGTCACCATTTGACATTAAATAGTTTACTCATGTATCCCGCTTTTTTTCTTTTTCTTTTTAATGTATTGGGGTTACACTGGTTAACAAAATTATACAGGTTTCAGGTGCACAATTCCACAAAACATCACCTGTACACTGTATTGTGTGTTCACCACGCCTAGTCAAGTCTCTTTCCATCGCATTTCCCCCCGCCCCCCGTACCCTCCTCCGTCTTCCCGACCCCCTTCATGTATCCTGTTTATATATTCTATCTCTGACTAGAAAGTGAGCTTCATGGGGACAGACATTTTTATCTACTTTGTTCTTTAGTATATTCCTAGTAACCGTAGGCTTTCAGAGTTGTTGAGTGAATGATTAAGTGTGCAAGGTAAGAATTGCCATTGTTCCCATTTTCCAGATGAGAAGACTGTGGCTCAGAAAGGTAAACTCATTGCTCATGATTGTGTTACTTGGTCAGGTTCTGAGTCAGGATACAAGCCCAAGGATGCCTGACCTCAACACTAGGCTCTTGGCTTCCATGGGCACCCAGAGTTTTAGGCAGAAGTTGATTCCTGCTGAGCCTAGCCAGATCATATCAGCCATGCCTTGGTGTAACTAGCGTAGAATTTTCCCTGAAATAACATCTGTTTCCCTTTGCAAAGCTATTTGCAGGACAAAGCAAGATTGAATAGGTGTCACACAGGTCCTGGTACCAGCGGGCATTGCCCAATACTGGCTTTGTGTACCTGTTCCCACCCAACTCTTCCTGCGATCTCAGGAATCTTTTCAGCCAGGGCAGGCACTTGCTAAGGTCAAGCCCTTGGACCCACATCCCAGTTCCTTCATTTCAATGCGGGGTGCCCTTCATCTCGTCTGGCTTCAGTTTCCTTCTCTGTAAAATGGAAACAAACTCACCTATACAGGGATTCTCTAAGCAGCGATCCCATTACTGGCTAGTGCTAAGACACCATGCTCATGTGTAAGGATCTGGAGTCCAAGGGGGCAGACTGATCATTAAACTCTCCTGGCAGTACCAGGTGATCCGGAATGCTGTACAGAAGAGCTGATGGTTGATATTTTGAAGGCTGAGTTGGAGTTTGCCAGAGGGAGAAGGGCATCCCAGGTGGAAGGAATGATTTGAACAAAGGCACGGAGGTAGAAAAGAATGTGCCGTATATTTAGGGAGGCACCTGGATGACTGAGGCATGTGAGCTTTATAAAATTTAACTCATTTTCATGGTCCAATCCTGAATATATCAGTGTGCATCTCTACAAATAGGAACGTTTTCTTATATGGCTGAATTACCATGATTACATTTAATAAATTAATATTAATCCTATAATGTTGACTACTGTCCAGTCAATAGTCAAATTGACCCAGTTGTCCCCCAGATTTTCTCTACAGCTAGTTTGTCCAGACCAGGATCCTCTAGGACACTATATTGCATCTGCCATTATGTCCTTTAAGTCTGTTATTTTATATTTTTTATATAATTGAGTTTTTTAAAAAAGATTTTATTGTTTTTAGAGAAGGGAAGGGAGGGAGAAAGAGAGGGAGAGAAACATCTATGTGTGTTTGCCTTTTACACGTCCCTTCCTGGAGACCTGGCCCACAGCCCAGGCACGTGCCCTAGACTGGGAATCGAACCTGCAACCCTTTGATTCACAGACTGGCACTCAATCCACTGAGCCACTTAAGCCAGGACTATTTTTTATTGAATTTATTGGGGTGATGTTGGTTAACAAAATTATATAGGTTTCAGGTTTATACTTCTACAATATTTTTTAAATCTTTAAATCCAGAGCATCCCTTTTTTTCAGCATACAGAGTAATTCTGTGAACGGTAGTAACCGGCTCCCCCTGAGTTTGAAGACTTTGGGAAGGGGTCCTGGCAGATGTAGGGAGTTGGGGGCACTGTTCTACTTGTGTCTGGGGTATAAGGAAGGGTTCTTTCAGTTCTGGTCACCTGGAGGAGACTGAGGGCTTCTTTGTTCAGAAGAGAAAGAGATGACTTTGGAGGAGGCAGGGCGAAGAGCTTTCTAGGACCAGGATGGAGCTCCTGCCTGCTGCAGGGCAGGAAGGAGGATAAGCATGGCCACCGCAACAACACACTGGCTTTAACTTGGTAGCATTTGCCTTTTGTCAGTTTATTTTTTAGTAAGGTAACATTCACAAAAGGCATAAAAAGTTAAATGCTAGGAAGTTCTACCCACCCTGTGCTACCATTACTTAGTCCCCCTCCCTCGCGGTGACCCCTGTGTCCAGCCTCATGTCTCCCTCCAGAGATATCTGCATAGACAAGTACATACATTCCCCTCCTGCATCTTTTAAACAAGTTTTATATCAAAATACTTTTAGGTTTATAGAAGTATTTCCTCATTTTTATACAACTTTACATTTTATACACCTTACTCTAGGGACCCTGCAGTGCACATAAAGCCACCTTATTTTATTGCTGTTCAGTATTCTACTGAATGAAGGGACCATTATTTATTTACTTACCAATAACCCGCCCCACTATGGATAGACACTGATTTTGCTTCCAGTCTTTTGCTGTTTCAAACAAGCCTCTGGTGAACATTCACAGATACTCATATAACAATGATACATGGCCTGTGACCATTGTTTCAAGGATTGTTAGACCTTGGATTTTTAGACCTTGGAGCCTGGTTAGATCAGAGCCTGGCAGCTGGAGAACTTGGTGGGGGAAAAGGAAGTCCAGGAAAAAAGAACAAGAAAGAAAAAGACATTAACAGTGGTTGAACCAGGAACTTTCCCATGTGCTATGTCCCTACCTGCCAGAAGCAACTCTGAAATGGAAAATACCTTTTACTGATGAGAAAAGAGCAACTCAGAGAAGTTAAATGACTTACCCAAGTTTACACAGCAAAATGTGGCAGGACTCTGACACCAAATACTATTTCCTTTCTATGACCCCCTTTGAACCTAGATCTAACTCAAAAGCTAGCATTATTCCCTGTCCCAAAATGATGTTAGAATTGAGGATGGGGTGAGGATAAGGGGTCAAAGAAATAGCCCGGGGGAAAAAACTGATACAGTGATGCTACAGTGATGCGGTAGTAACTGTTTTCTTTTTGTTTCAACAGCTATGGAGCCAAAATCCGGGCCCCTCATGCACTCGTCATGACTTTTCTCTTCCGGAGTGGCAGGTACCCATCCCCTCTGCACACCCTTCAAACTGGGAGAGAATGTGGTCAGCCCTCAGTGTCAGGGCGCTTGTAGTAGCTTCCTAGCTGGGTCTAGCCTGTCCCCACTACCACCCTCTAAAGTACCACTCTGATTCTATTATCCCTGCTGGAAAACTCTGGATCACACTCCCTCCAAAGAAGCCCAGTTTCCAGGTGTGGCCTTTAAGGTCCTCTGCAGTTTGGCCTCAGCTGCATCCCCATCCTAGTCCCCCATGTTCACCCTGGGGTGCCGTTGGCACATACGACTTGCTGTCCTTCCATGCACATGGCACGTGTGGTTCTACCTCCACACATTTCCTCACACAGTACCCCCTGCCAGGACTGCCCTTTCCTCTTCGCAGGCCATACCAGTTCTCTGAAGGTCACGTCCTCAGAAAACCATCTATGACCTCCCTTCTTTGCTGAGATTTCTTGGCCTTCCTCTCATCTCTTGTGTTTTCCCTCAAGGTACTTCTTAGAAACCACCTTGTGATCTAGTTTTTAATGTGGTCTCACTTGGAGCTTGTAAGACTCATACATGGAAAACTTTTGGCCCAATCCAGCTTCAAGATTTTCTCTTTTTTTGTATTTTTACTTTGTAAATTTCTTTTTGTTTTGGTTTTTGTCCTCCGAATTGTTTTCTTAAAAGATTGAGCTCAGTCATTCATTCAGTAGATATTTATTGAGCATATACTGTGGGCCAGACACTGATTTAGGTGCTAGGATACTGCAGTGAACAAAGCAGACAGGAATCACTGCCCTTGTGGAGTTTGCATGCTAGCAGGGGGTGGCAGAAGGAAAAGCATAATAAATAAGGAGAGTATATGTTAAAAGGTGATATGGGTTATGGGAAAGAAAAATTAGAGCAAGGAAAGAGAGGAAGGGGATCAGGAGTGCTGGAGTAGGGGCAGAATTAAATAGGGAAAGCCTCAGTGAGAAAGCGACATTTGAGTGAAGACTTTAAGGAGATGAAAGAGTTGGCCAAGTGTGTGTTGGGGAAAAGGGGGTTTCAGCCCAAGGGAATAGCCAGTGCAGAGGCCCTGAGGTGGGATCATGCCTGGTGATTTTGAGGAAGCTGGAGCAGAGGGATTGAAGGGGAGAGAAAAAAGAGGAAGTTCACAGGGTCACCCTGTCCCACTTTAGAGAGGAGTTGGGCTTTTTTCTTTAAGTGAAACAGGAAATTGTAAGATTAAACAGGGTGTGCTACTGTTTGACTTGGGTTTTAATGAGGTGAGAGTGAAGAGTCTGCTGCCAGATTATTTACAGATTGGAGTGAGTGCCAAGGGCAGAAGTCAGTGTAAAATAGGAAGCTGTTACAATAATTCAGGTGAGCAACACTGGCGACTTAGACCTTCGTGGTGGTGGGGGGTGGGGGTGGGGGCGGGCGTTTAGGATTAGTTGTCAGATTCTAGACACAATTTAAAGGCAGGATTAGTGTTCACACTTAAAAACTGGGAGATCTAACATATCCTAGAACTGGCAACACTGGGCCCATGTTCCTGTTGGGAGAGAACCAGCTCATTCCTGGCTATACCTACTCACCTGACAGATTTCCACAGGTCCTGTTAGACCCACTCCAAGATTCTCATTTAGCCTCGAGGACACTTGGGTTTACTGTTCTTTTATATTTATTTTTTTTATCGTCATGCAAGGGTATATATATATTTTTTAATTGCTTTTAGAGAGACAGGAAGAGGGGGGCAGGGGGAGAGAGAGAGAACAAGAACATTGATGTGAGACAGAAACATCAATCGGTTGCCTTCTTGTATGTGCCCTGACTGGGGACTGAACCTGCAGCCTAGGCATGTGCCCTGACCAGTGAGGGAACTGTCACCCTTCCACTGTATGTGACAACGTTCCAACCAACTGAGCCACGCTGGCCAGGGCTGGATTTACCATTCTTGAATTGATCTCCCAGAGTACACTCTGCCCTTCCTGTGTTTTCCTCACTGCCTCTGAGTGGTTTAATTTTAAAGGATAAATTAACTCCCTCCCCTACGTAAATGTTTGTTTCTCTCAGGACAAAGACAAAAGTTAACATGGCCTCCCTCCCACCCTGCACCCCCTTCATCCTTTGCCCACACATTGTCTGCTCATGTTTCTTCCTGTTCCTTTACTCTCCACTCACTGTCCCTCCTCAGGACCTTTGCTGATGCCTTCCCTGGGATGCAGTTCCTCCTTACTCTTGATGCCTTATCCTTCAGATCCCAAGATCATCTGTTGTCATAGTCAAAGTTCGACCCTTGCTTTGTGATTATTTGTATTTCCCTCTCCTGTTAGATCTTAAAACTCATGAGGACAGCAAGCAGATCTTTCCCGCCCGTCCTGGATTGTATCCCCAGATCTAGCATGAAGTAGGCACTAACTCCCTCATTCATTCATTTCCTCACATGTTCACTCCAAAAAAATATTTATTGAGCACCTACTCTGTGTCAGGCCCTGTTCTGTGCTCTAAGGATGAACAAGTCAGTTGTACACACCACATTCTGGTACCTTCCACTGGGATGGGGCAGGAGTGGGGGAGATAATAAATAAGCATATAAATGTCAGGTGGTAATAAGACCTATGAAGGAAAAGAAAAGTAGAGTAAGGGGACAGATGTGATGGTCATTCTTTTATGCAGGGTGGTCAGAAACAGTCTCTCTGAGGAAGTGGCATAGAGTAAAGGCCTGAATCAAGTGAGGCCGTAGCCCCCGGGACATGGAGGGTAGAGGTTTTGGGCTGAGTAAGCATCAGTCCTGAGCAACTTGGCTTGGTTTAGTTTTGCATGCCCAGTGGGTAAATGCCCTCTGAATGGCTGGCCTGCACTTATGGTGGCTCCCTGTGTTTGTGCAGCCTCCGAGAGAAGCTTCGGGCTATCCTGCAGGCCACATACACCCACTCTTCTAACCTGGCCTGCTTCGTGTTCACCTACAAGGGGCTCTGTGCCCTGCAGTCCCGTGTGCAGGGCAGGACCTACCAGGTGCACTCATTCCTGGCTGCCTTCATTGGAGGCTTTCTGGTGTTTGGAGAGAACAATAACATCAACAGCCAGGTAAAGATCCTCCCCAGGGATGTGTGTGGGGGCCTCCTGGGGGAGGGGTGGGTTGTGGTTCTGGTGTGAGTTGCAGATGGGAGGGGGTCAAAGAAGATGAGCTCTTGGATCCCTTCTAAGTCTGAGGGTCTGTGATTCACCAGTCCCTCTGTGACCTTGGGAAGGTCACTTCTCCCTCAGTTTCCTCATCTGTAAATCAAGCAGCTTGTTGAATTTTATGATTCCCAAAATCATTGTGCACTGCTCCCTGGGGCAACGGGGTTTTTTTTTTTGTTTGTTTGTTTTTTAAGAAAACCACTTTGACCCTGGCTGGTGTGGCTCAGTAGACTTAACTCTGACCTGTGAACCTAAAGGTCGCTGGTTCAATTCCTGGTCAGGGCACTTGCCTAGGTTGCCGTCCAAGCCCCTAGTTGGGGGTATATGAGAGGGGACCGATGGATGTTTCTCTCCCTCTTTCTCTCTCCTTTACCCTCTCTCTAAAAATAATAAGTAAAAATGAAAAAGAAAATAAAGAAAACCACTTTGCTGTGAAATGAAAGAAGAAAAATGACCCTAGAGTATGATTTTCATAAAACAAAATTTATTAAAGAATTGCCTTTTATTCTATGACTCGCTTGCCCCTTTTCAGGGTTAAAATTCTGTTTTTTGGGTTTTTTTTAAATGAAACTAAATGCTGTTTATTGTTTTAAAGTCCTTTTGCAAAATGACAAGCTGGCAGCCCTTCTTGCCTCCTTCAATATTACTAAATATTCTTTTATTTAAAATTATTATTAGCTCTGGCTGGTATGACTCAGTGGACTGAGCGCCAGCATATGAATGGAAGGGTCACCAATTCGATTCCCAGTCAGGACAAATGCCTGGGTTGTGGGCCAGGTCTGCAGTTGGTGGTGTGCAAGAAGCAACCTATGGATGTATCTCTCACACGCTGATGTTTCTCTCCCTCTCTTTCTCCCTCCTTTTCCCTCTCTCTAAAAATAAATAAATAACATTTTTTTTTTTAGAACAGGGGGTTAAGTGGGGCAGGGGAGGGTAACAGGAGAAAATTGGGGCAACTATAGTACAACAACAATAATAAAAAAATAAATTAAAAATGAAATTATTATTTTTCATTCCTCACTTGAAGATATGTTTATTGATTTTGTTTTTTTTAGAGAGAACGGAAGCAGGGGAGAAAGAGGAAAAAAAGAAAAAGAAAGAAAGAAAGAAAGAAAGAAAGGGAGATAGAGAAACATCAATGTGAGAAACATTGATTGGCTGCCTCTTGTACACACTCCAACTGGGGATTGAACCTGAAACCTAATTTTGTGCCCTGACTAGGAATTGAACCCATAACCTTTTGGTGTATGGGACCATGCTCCAGCCAACTGAGCCACCCAGCCAGGGCTAGATATTTTTAAATTATAAAAATAGTTTTATTTTTACATTTAAAAAAATATAGACTGGGCAGTTTCTGTGTACTGGGCACACTTCTAGGTGCTTAGGATTCATGATGATAAAAGTAGAAAATAAGTTGAAAAGAAAGTTTCCATCCCTCTCCACTCTCTAGGGACAGTCACTTTAACTGTGTCTTGTGTAGCTCTTCAGAAATTGTCTGTGCTTATGTCAGTGTATGTATCAGAAGTTTTCCACCAATGAGATCATACTGTTCTTCCCTACTACCATCACCGCCCGCTCCTCTCCCCCCGGCCACGGAATGGCGTATAGTGAAGACCTTTCTTTTCAGTGCTTCACCCTTTTTTACTATCAGAGCTCTCCACAGCTGGGTGGGTTGACCAGCCTGATTTTACCATTCTCCTCTGGATGGACATTCAGGAGGTCTGTAGCCTTTTACCATCACACATGCAGTCCACATCTTTGTATGTCTTCTTGCACATGTGTTGGTTTGTCTGGAAGTTCCTAGATGTGCAATCGTGGAGTCTGTGGATATGAGCATTTTGTATTTTGAGGAAATTTCCTCAGTTTTGTATTTGTTAGAAATTTCACTTCCAAAGTCTAAGAATCCTGGTGACACCATCTCCTTCACCCTCCCCTTCTTTCCTTGATTTCTGGCAATGACTGTTCTGACCTCCATTTCTAAAATTTTGTCATTTCAATGATGTTATATATGTGAAGTCATTACAGTTGTAACTTTGGAGATTGGCTTTTTTCACTCAGCATAATTCGCTGGAGATTCATCCAAGTTGTTGTGTCTGTCAATAGTTCATTTCTTTTTATCGCTGAGTGGCATTCCATTCCATGGATGTACCACAGTTTGTTTAAACATTCACCCCTGGAAGGATATCTGAGATTTTTCCTGCTTTTGGCTGTTAAGAATACAGCTGCTAAGAACATTCTTATACAAGTTATTGAGTGAGCATTAGTTTTCATTTCTCTGGGATAAATGCCAAGGGAGCAATTGCTGGGTCAGATGGTATGTGCATGTTTAGTTTTATAAGAAACTGGCAAACTGTTTTTCACAGTGACTGTACTATTTTACATTCCCATCAGGAATATACGCACGTGATCCAGTTCCTCCACATCCTAGCCAGTATTTGGTTTATCACTTTTTTTTTTTTTTTTTTTTTTTTGGCCATTTTGATAAGTGTGTAGCGACATCTCCTTGTGGTTTTAAATTTGCATTTCCCTTATGGCTTAATGAGGTTGAACAGCTTTACATGTGCTTGTTTTCCACCTGTCTAACCTCTTCAGTGAAATATCTGTTCCTGTCTTTTGCCCGTTTTCTAATTGGATTTTATTTTTACTGTTGACTTTTGAGTTTTTAAAAATTATATTCCAGATACTAATCCTTGTCAGATATTTGTAAAAAAAATATTTTCTCCCAGTCTATTGCTTTTCTTTTCAGCCTTTTTACATGGGCTTTCACAACCAGATTTTTTAAACTTTTTAAAAAAAACTTTTAAATCATGTTTATTCTATTACAGTTGTCTCAGTTTTTCTTGCTTTGTCCTCCTCCACCCATCCCACCGCCGCCCCCTGCTCCCAGTCAATTCTGTTCTCTCTGGTCACTTTCAGTCTACTCCATGTTTCCATGCCTGTGGTTTATTTTGTTTGTTAGTTTATTTTCTTGAATAGATTCCATTTGTAGGTGAGATCATATGGTATTTGTCTTCTACCGACTGGCTTATTTCATTTAACTCAACATTCTCCAGTTCCATCCATGTTGTTGCAAAAGGTAGAAAGGAGTTCTTTCTTTTGTTTTCTTTTGTTTTCTTTTCTTTCTTTCTTTCTTTCTTTCTTTCTTTCTTTCTTTCTTTCTTTCTTTCTTTCTTTCTTTTCTTGAATGCAGATTGATTTTATTTTTTTAAATGTCAAAATCCATTATAAAATATTTAAAAATTTAAATCCATTATAAAGTCTTAGCATTTAAAACAACATGACACCAGCACAGAAATAATCAATTGGTCAATGAAATAAAATGAGCATTCTAGAAACAAACATATATATATCTGTCTAATAATGTAATATATGATTAAATTGATATTTCAAATCAATGGGGAAAATAACGCTTATTCCACAAATAAGGTGCATAGACCACTATTACTTGAGATAAAACAAATATAGAGTCCAATTTCACACATTATACAAACAATATTCAGGTAAGTTAAAAATCAATATGTGAAATCTAAGGAGTTTTAGGAGAAAATACAAACTAATATTTTTCTTACCTTGAAGTAAAATATTCAAATCCAGAAGCTATAAAATAAAATATTGACAATATGACTATATTAAACATTTAAGACTATACAGTAATACACATATAAAAAAGTTAAAGGACAAGTAATAGAATAGGAAGGTATTTGCCACACATCTAAAAAAGGGTTAAAAGTTTTTTGTTTTTTTGTTTTTTTAGGGAAAAAATTCAACAAACCTTTAATCAAAAAAATGGATAAAGAATACCAAAAAGCCATTTAAAGATTTTAAAAAATAATAGAAATAGGCAAGAAGCATATAGAAACAGGTTTAGTTTCAACAAATAATAAAGAAACAATTAAAATAACACATCATTGTCACAATCAGATTAATAAGTATTAAAAATATTGGTAATATCAAGTATTGGTGACTGTGAAAGGAACTGGGTATTCATATATTCTTTTTCTGCATCTTCTTAAAGCAGTCCCTTTAGCATATTTTGCAGTGCTAGTTTGGTGTATTCTTTTAGCCTTCTTTTGTTTGGGAAACTCCTTATTTCGCCTTCCATTTTAATTGAGAGCCTTGCTGGGTAGAGCAGTCTTGGTTGCAGGCCTTTGCTTTTCATGACTTGGAATATTTCTTGTCAGTCCCTTCTGGCTTGCAGTGTTTCTGTTGAGAAGTCAACTGCTAGCCTTTCTGGGGCTCCCTTATATGTTACTACCTCTTTCTCCCTTGCTTGCTTTAGGATTCTCTCTCTGTTTGTCTTTGATATTTGCCATTTTAATGATGATGTGTCTTGGAGTGGGCCTCATTGGGTTCCTTTTGATTGGGACCCTCTGTGCTTCCTGGACTTGTGTGACTTTTTCTCTCCTCCAATTAGGGAAGTTTTCCATCATGACTTTTTCAAACAGGTTCTCTATCCCTTCCTCCTCTTCTCCTTCTGGTATCCCTATTATACGGATATTATTATGTTTCAGGTTGTCCTGCATTTTTCTCAATGCCTCTTCATTCTTTCTAAGTCTTTTTTTATTTTCTGGCTCTTTCTGGGAGCTTTTTTCTACATTATCCTCCAGCTTGCTGATTCGATCCTCTGCTTCATCTAGCCTGCTTTTGATGCCTTCTACTGTGTTCTTCAATTCAGAAATTGTATTCTTCATTTCCTCTTGTCTCTTGTTGATAGTTGCTATGTCCTTTTTCATGCTGATATAGTTTGCAGTAAGTTCCTCGTAGTTTCCCTGTAGTGTTTCGTAATTCTCTCTGAGCTCACTGAGCTCATTGAGCTTCCTTAGATCTGTTGTTTGGAATTCAATACCTGATAGTTTACTTGCCTCTATTTCATTTAGTTCTCTTTGTGGGGATCCCTACTTTCCCTTCAAGTGGGAGGTGTTTCTTTGCCTTCCCATTAATTGTGAGACTCTTCTTTTTCGCTTCTGCTTCTTAAGTTGATCTGTCTTGATTTCCTGACTTTGTGGTGTGAACTTCTGTGGTAGGATAATGTTGTTTTTTTCTTTCTGGATCTGCCTCTGATGATGTCAGATGTTGACCCTATCTGACTTTAGACAGTCTGTTTGATACTTCCGGGAATCTACTGTCTGTGGCTGTCTCCTTCAGTTGTTAATCTAGTCACTCTGCACTCAGCAGGCCAGCTTAGACAGCTCATGGTGAGGCAGAGTCCCTTCTCAGGGCGGGGTTATTGGGTCCTCTCCTGCAGCTGCCACTCAGGGAAGTGGTCTGCCTGAGCAAGATGGCTGCTGCTGTATGGGGGATGAGTCAGCACTGGGATCCCGCTTGCTACTCTCTCTGTTCTCTCCCCAAAGCTCCTTTCTTCAGTCTCTCCTCAAGTGTCTCTAGACCACTCTGTGCCTCCTTTAGCCAGGGATCTACTCTCTGTGGCTGCCACTCTGCACTCAGCAGGCTGGCTTAGACAGCACAGGATGGGGCGGAGTCCCTCCTGGGGTCCAGGTTATTGGGTCCTCCTAACACTGTTGCCACTCAGGGGAATGGTCTGCCACATGGGGGATGAGTCAGCAACGGGATCCCGCCTGCTACTCTCTCACTTTTCTCCCCAAAGCCTCCTACCCTAGTCTCTCCTCAGGCATCTCTAGCCTGCTCTGCCCCCACCTTTGCCGGAGACCAAGGTAAGTGGCTGCAAATAAAAATTTATGCATTGGCCCTTTAAACAGCTCTTTGCGTCGCCAGCCACCTGTCTCTGGCAGAGAGCAACCCTGCCACCTTTCACAGTTGGTTGTTATCTGTGTACTTTCTGGGCTCATGCTGTAGGCTGGAAATCCCCACTTACGGTTTAGACCCAGCTCTTCTTGGGGATCCATCCGGCCATTTCAATATCCTTCTGGTGCTGCTGCCCGTTGGCACCCCGCCTGCCTTCTCGAATCTCTGCCACACTCCTTACCAGTTAGATTGTACTAAAGATGATTCTTTTGTCTGTCCGAGGTAATAAGGATCCTCTCTTGTTATTGTTCAATTGTTTGTTCCAGGTAGTTTCTCCACAGTTTAGTTGTAATTCCAGATTGGTCCTGGGAGGAGGTCAGTGTGACTTCCACGCACTCTTCCGCCATCTTGATTTGCCTTGATTTTTTTAAAAATTTTGATGAAATCCAGTTTATCAAATTTCTTTATGGTGTTTTTTTGGTGTCAAGTTATTTTTTAGTTATGAACCATGTAAATATAATTATTTTACAAATTTTTAATAAAAATAATAAAGGTAAAATCAAGTAATATTAAAATGTCTGAAGACTTCAGACATTTTTGTCTAAAATGATTTGGTACTTCAAATCATCTTGCACACCAACTTTGTTTTTGTTTTGTTTTTTTATAGAGAGAGAGAGAATGGGGGGAGAGAAAGAGAGAAACATTGATTTTTGTTGCTCCACTTACTTATGCATTCATTGGTTGATTCTTGTATGTGCCCTGACTTGGGATTGAACCTGCAGTCTTGACGTATCGGGACAATGCTCTAATCAACTGAGCTACCTGGCCAAGGCCTGCATATCCACTTTGAAAAAACACCGATCCATGCTTGGGGGTGGGCAGAGGGCTATGCACATCCATAATCCCCTGTCACTCCCTCCTTGCAGATCCACATGTACCTGTTGTCACGCGTCCTGTTTGCCCTGTGCCGCCTGGGAGTGGAGAAGGGCTACATTCCCAAACCCAAGCGGGACCCTTTCGCACTGATCAACGCAGTAGTGTGGGGCCTGATTCTGTGGCTCTTTGAGTACCATCGGCCTACGCTGCAGCCCTCACTGCAATCCTCCATGACCTACTTATATGAGGACAGCAATGTGTGGCACGACATCTCAGATTTCCTCCTCTACAACAAGAGACGTCCCTCGAAGTAACGCAGCCCTGAAGTGCTTACAGGGGCTTCTACCCAAGTAGGCTCTAGGCGGTGTCCAGCTGTGGCTTGAGATTGGCTCCATGAGTGAAACCTCCCAGAGGATCCTGCTTTCTCAAGATCATGGCTCTCAGACTCTAACTTTTATTATCCCAGGGTTCCATTGTGCAAAGCAAAAGCACCAGTTTTCCGATCCTATTAGGTATTCTTGAATGGTGGAACGAGTGGCTGAATCAGGCTTGAGGAGCTTTGGGCATGGTTCCAGCTGTGCTGCCGGCTTCTGTGAGACCAGGGAAAGGTGCCCCCACCTAGGCCTCAGGGGTCATGGAGCTCAGAGGAGGGCCCTGAAATCTCTTTCTGGTGGGTATGTTCTTTGACTGTTATGCTGGTGGGCAGTGGGGTTTGCAAATACATTTTCACAAAATATTTAGTTTTTTTTGGTCTCAGGTGTTCTGTTGGAGAAGCTCTAGAGTTCCACTGTCCAATAGAAACACAGTGACAGTTGTATATGTATTTGAAAATTTTCTAGTAGTCACATTTAAAAAAAGTGAAAAGAAGCAGATGAGATTAACTTTAATTATCTATTGTAGCCCAAATTTCTAATATATTATCATTCCAACATAAGATTAATATGAAAATTAATTAGATTTTTTACATTCTTTTTACTTATACTAAGTCTTCAAAATCAGGTGTGTGTTTTGCACTTACAGCACATTATCAATTTGGACTAGTCCCATTTCAGGTGCTCAGTAAGTAGCCACATGTGGCTAGTGGTGACAATATTGAACTATACAAATATAGAACACTTCTATTATCACAGAAAATTCTAGTGGACAGTGTTGCTATAGAGCTAGTGGGCATGGTTTTGAGTCCCTACTCCACCACTATGTAATTTTGAGGGAGGTTCTCTCCCATAGCCTGTTTCTTGTAAAATGAGGATAATTGTACCAATACCCAGTGTCCACATTAGGCTTATGTAACTACAAGTGCTGCTACCACTACTAATTACTTCAATTTAGTGAACTCCTACTTCTTCCTAGGTACTTTACACATATTATTTTTAATCCTTACAACAACCTTGCAGGTCTGTATTTTGATTTTCATTCTACAGATGTGGAAACCGAGAATCAGAGAAGGGAAGTAACTTGCCCAAGATATACAGCTAATATGGTAGCCCTATCAGGGTTTGAACCCAGATCTATCTGATTGCAAAGCCTGTGTGTTTTTCAGTGCCTTATTTAAAGATTTTATTTATTTACTTTCTTTTTTGGAGACAGGGAAAGGGAGGGAGAAAGAGAGAGAGGGATACATCAGAGTGCAGGAGATACATCAATTGGTTGCCCCTCACACACCCCTAACCGGGAACCTGGCCTGCAACCCAGGCATGTGCCATGACTGGGAACCGAACTGGCGACCTTTTGGTTCGCAGGCCAGCATTCAACCCACTGAACCTCAGTGCCTTAGTTTAAATTTAGAAACCTAAACTAAGCTATGCAAACGTTAGCTAATTACAGGGCCTGTTCCAGAGTGGGGTACAAACTCAAATGCCTAAAGGGGCCTGGCGGTGGCATAAATGATCGTGTTCTGGGTGCTATGTGGTAGGGACCAATGGGGACTTGGTAAACTGGAGACTTATCTGCCAGTCTGAGTTTCCAAAACCAAACTGGACAAGTCAATCAGGTCTCCAGGAAAATTTGGTCTATGACCCACTATTTGGAGTCCCTTGGCCTAATAGGAGAACTTCAGTCCCTTTTTATTTTAGAAGTTACTAGTCAAAATGTGCACATGAGTCACTGGAGATCTTATTAAAATGCAAAATCTGATTCAGTGGATTTGGGGCAGAGTCTGAATATTCTGCAGGTCTCATAGACTCCCAGATGCTGCTCTTGCTGCTGCTGATCTGAGCCACTCTTTGAGTAACAAGATAATAGGGGACAATATGGGGCAGACCATTATCCCACGTGACAAATGAGGAAACTAAATTAAACAGAGCTGTTAGGTAACAGAAGTGGGATTAGGTCTGATTCTAAGAGCTGTGTTCTCAGCCACAATGTTGTACTGCAGACTTGGAGAAAGTGATATTGAAGGTTCCTTAGTTCACTGTTGGAGGCTGAATGAGATCCCGGAATAAAGGGTGGGAGGTGCTATCAGTGGGTTTTATAGCAGATGGGGGAGGTGTGCCCCGCCCATATCCCCTCTAGCTTACCACTTCGGTGCAGACTGGCCAAATTTTACAAGTGCCACCCCTGTGTCTTTCTGCCTGAAGGCTCTCTCACTTGGCATCAGTACCTGCTTTGCCACCCTTCAGTGCTGGAGGATTAACACATATAGGGAGCAGCTCTCAACCAATGACTGGTGAATACACTCCCGTATCCCTCGCCCAGTAGGCATGTGCCACTCTGGCTCCCAGGGCCCAGCAGGACTGAGCTTCCGGTTGCTCACAGTGGTCACTTGCTTGATAACACCCCTTTCCTTGTCTCCCTTCCTCCTGCCCCTACCGGAGCTTCCTGGGGCTATGTCCCATAAACCACTTTTACACAAATCCTTGTCTTGGGGTCTGCTACTGGGGGAACCCAAGCTAAAATTGGCCTCTGGTGTAGCAGGTTGAGAGAAAGTATAACATGGTGGTTGGGGACATAGGCTTTGTAGCCAGAGTCTGGGCTCAGCTCTGGTTTTGCTGTTTCCTAAAGCGAGTGATTAATCCATTCTGTGCCTGTGATTCATCCTGTGTAAAGTAGGCATTCTATTGGGTGATCTGGAGGATTAAATGATATGACACACATAAAATAAGCACTTAATAAATGTTTGCTGTTATTTCTAATGGCATCCAAATGTAGGAGGACGCATGGTCCTGAGAACTGAGTATACCCAGTTTTTAGCCTGTCCTACCCCCCAGCTGAAGGTAATGCCTCGGCTGCCTGCCCTCCCCATGCTCCCCCACTGCCACTGGGGGTTGGCTGCCTCCACCACTCACTGTCTCTGCTCTCTAAGAATAGGTTTCCCTCACAGATGGCATCTCTCTGGAACCTGCCAGAGCATCTGGTGCCTCCAACTGCTCACTCCAGGGAGGAAGGCAGTGTGGTCCTTGCCGAGGAGCGGAGTGCTGGCTTCCAGCAGACCTGAGAGGAGTTCCCACTCGGCTGCCCCCTAGCTGAGCCCCCATTTCCTAAGATCAGTAAAAGTCATTGCCAAAGGGCCCTTGGCACACAGTAGGCAATCCGTAAATACTAGTTCCTTAAACAGCACCATAGTTTAACATGTTTGTTTATTAAGCACCTGCTACATTCTTATAAAGCCTCCGACATGCAAGACTGTAAATACCTTTTTCATTAATAATACATATGCAGAATATAAAACTTAAATGGTACAAAAGGTGTGTAACAGAAAAGTCAGGTTCCCTCCTACACTCAAGCTGCTCCCTTGCCAGGGGCACTCACTGTTAGCATTTTCCAGTAGAGCCTTGCGGAGATGCTCTGTGCACAGCCACCTATCTTTGTCTCAGAAGAACCTTTTACATTACATTGTCATCTCGACAACTCTGGGATTCCTCCCTGTCCTCCGCATGTTTAGTTGCTCTGTGATAATAGTCTGGTATGTAAGTGAGTCTTTTCTTTGAGCTAGTTCCCCCTCCAACTTCACCTACCTCCAACTCTCCTTCCCCCAATGCCTTGGGAAGATTCTTACTATGATGAGCATGAAGGTGAACCACCCTAGATACCCTGAACCTTATCATAGATGACACCCAACACTCAGGCCCATGGAACTCCAAGTGAAAGGGGAAGGACAAAACCAAAGTTAATCTGGGGCCCTCCTGTTGCTCTGCTCCCAAATTAGAGACCATTCAATGAACCCATGTGAGAATGATGATTCATAGGCTGAGATGCCAGGAAACTGCCTCACGATGCTTGCGGTTCCTGCCTTCCACGGGCTCTGGAAACGATCTTGGAGATCGTGTTTCTTTCTATATTGTTCATTTCTCCCACCCCCATGAGCGCATTTTGGGTTTAAAAGAATCAGGCTTTAAACCTAAACCAGAACACTGTGCTGTGCTCTGCCTCCTGGAATGAACCCCACGTATCCACAATCAGGTTGTTTCTTTAATGGATTAGAGAGTATTTATAAAAAGAAATGTCATCTCCCCCCTTCCCTTTGTCTAGTTCCAGATTCGTAGGGAGAGAGTGTGTCTTACTTCACCCTTGAATAACATTTTGGGTGAGAAGTTTAATTTTAACCAGAGGACTCACTTTTGTGAGCTGGAGATCACATGGTCCCAGGCAGAGGATGGAGGGAAAGTTGGGTGCTCTTCTGAGTACTGTTTTTAGGGAGGGCTTTAAACAGGGCTCCCCATTGCCTATATCGGGTCTCTGCTCAAAGCTTCTGCAGGTGTCATAATTTTATAAATAGGACAGGAAATGTAGGCCATGGCGTCTCTGTTGGAAGCCTTGTTCTCACTGCTCTTCTGGGCTTCTCCCTTCAGCCCCTTGTCATGGGCTGCACGTCAGCGGGGAGAAGGGTCAGGGATAGACCACATCACTCCTTTTTAGGGTATCTTTTATATATGTGTCATGAACCCCTTTGGCACCTGGTGAAGCCTATGGACCCTTCTCAGAATGCTGTTTTAAAAACCCATGAAACAAAATACATAGGATTAAAAAAGACAGCCACCACAGTGAATATTGAAACAATTATCAAAATATTTTTAAAATTTGCGATTTAGTAGCATATATTTATTTTTTTCACATGTTAAATAACAGTGATCCAAAACCACCATGCTTTCACAGGTGCAATAAGCATAAACAATATCTCAAGATACTGCAACCGCTGTGACAGGATATGGAAATCGCTGTGATGTTTATTAGTGCTAAAGTCCCAACTACTGCTAACAGGCCTCTGGTTTGTTGCTGACGTTTAAAATTGATGGAAAAAGTCTACGGCCATCCCACCCTGAACGCGCCCGATCTCGTCTAAAATTGATGGAAATGTTCTGTTTCACTCAGAGGCTAGTGCAAATACAGGTGGAATTTTTTTTTTCCCCATCCAGGTTCATGGCACTTGGGTTCATAGATTGCAGGTTCAGAATTCCAGCTTGAGAGTGACCTTCCCAGCCTGACCACATGGCAGGTGTTATTGTTTACCAAGCCCTGAGCACGGAAAAATGAAAGTAATGGCTAATGTTGGCTGATCCCTTACTGAGTACCCAGTGATATTGGAGACTAGGATTCATCAGTGAAAGAAGCCAGTTCCTGCCCACCTGGGGCTTACAGTCTAAGGAGGGAAGACAAATGAATACATAAATAAGATTATTCCAGAGTGGTAGGCATGCCCTGGTCTGTGTGGTTCAGTTGCCTGGAGCTCGTTGCAGTGTCATCCTGTAAACCGGAAGGTCGAGGGCTCCATTCCCAGTAGGGCATGTGTCCAGGTCCCCAGTCAGGGTACGTACGGAAGGCAACCCAATCAATGTTTCTCTCTCACAGTGACATTTCTCTCCCTCTCGCTCTCCCTCCGCCTCTCTAAAAATCAATATCCATGTCCTCAGGTGAGGATAAAAAAAATTAATAACAAAGTGGTAGGCAACATGAAGTCAATAGTACAGGACAGTAGGACAGTGTGATAGAATGTACTGGAAGGGAGAACAAAAGGGTCTGTTTTCCTGAAAAGCCTTCTCTGAGGAGGTGACGTTTGCTCTGAGTCCTGAATGATGAGAGTCGGGCAAAGATGTGGAGGAAGGGTGTTCTGTTATGTTCAGTATTTTAGCTATAGGCATCTTTGCCTCAAGCATTTTTACCGCATTTCTGCTGCATAACTAATTGACCATAAGGCTGTTTTGATATATAAAAGATAAAATAACTGGTTGGCAGTTTGATTTATTTGTTTGTTTGGTTTCATTTCTTCATTGGTTTCAGACTTAGTAAATTTCATTTTTTCATTGGTTTCAGACAATATATTTAAGCTAGTTACCAGTTTGGTTTCATTTCTCCATTGACAAAGTTCTTGCAGTTACTCCCAAGGGAGATATGTTCTAAGACCCCCAGTGCATGTCTGAAACTGAGGACGGTACTGAACCATATGTGTGTGTGTACAAACACACACACACACACACACACACACACACACACACACACACACACACACGAGGTCTGTCTGGAAAAAGTCCAGCTATTGTTAATATAACAAGAACAGTTTGTGTGACATTGATATAACCTGGCAGCCAAGGAGAGTGGACTGGAATGTGCACGTGTGAACAATGATGACATCACTGCACTAGTCAATGGGGACAGTAGACGCTGTTGAACGAGCATGTTTACTGTGTGGCTGTTGCATTCAAAATGACTGAGTGAGTGAAGTAATGAACCTGTATCAAATTTTGTGTTAAGCTGGAACATTCCTTTGCGGAAACTATTCGGATGATTCAGAAGGCTTTTGGGGATGATTCAGTGAGTGCAGAGCAAATAAAAGTGTGTCACAAACACTTTGAAGATGGTTGAGAGTGTGCTGAAAGTGATCCACGTTCTGGAAGGCCTGCAACAAGCAGAACACCTGAGAATGTTGAATGTGTACAGGCTGCAGTCAACAAAGATCAGCAATTGACAGTGCGAGAACTAGAAGCTGATCTGGGTATTCCAAAAACTACCGTGTCTGAGATTTTGATGCAGGATCGTGGCATAAAACGTGTCATGGCAAAATTCGTTCCACAGCTTCTGCTACCAGAGCAGAAGGAACATTGTGCTGCAGTTGCTAATGACTTGATTCACACTGCTACCAATGAACCAGACTTCCTCAAGAAGGTCATACTGGAGATGAATCATTGGTCTATGACTATGATCCAGAAACAAAGGCCTAGTTGTCCCAATAGAAGTTGCCTGGTTTTCCGTGCCTGAAGAAGACGCAGCAAAGTCACAGCAAGATCAAGACCACGTTAACTGTGTTTTTTGATTGGGAAGGTATCGTCATCATGAGTACGCCCCTCCAGGTCAAACAATTGGTAAGGAGTACCACCTCAATGTTCTTTGTTAGTCGAGAGATGCAATATAACAAAAACAGCTGTAGCTGTGGGCAACTGGTGATTGGCAGCTTCGACATGACAGTGTGCCCGCCTGTTCGTGCATCATATCTCATGCAGAGTTTTTTTGCGAAACATCAAACTACCCAGCCCTCTACAGCCCAGATTTGGTGCTCTGCAACCTCTAGCTTTTCCCAATACCTAAAATCACCTTTGAAAGGGAAGAGATTTGAGACCATTGATGAGATTCAGGAAAATACGACAGGGCAGCTGATGGCGATTCCAGCAAAGGATTTTGCAGAGTGTTTTGAACCGTGGAAGAGATGCTGGGAGAACTGTGTGATGTCCCAGGTGCCTACTTTGAAGGGGACTGGGCGTTGTCCTATGTACAATATTTCTTGTATCTTTTTTTTAAAAGATTTTTTAAAATTTATTTTTAGAGAAAGAGAAAGGGAGGGAGAAAGAGAGGGAGAGAAAAACTGATGTGTTGCATGCACCCAACTGAGGACCTGGCCCACAACCCAGGCCTGTGCCCTGACTGGGAATCAAACAAGTGATCTTTCAGTTCACGGGCCAGCGCTCAATCCACTGAGCCACACCAGCCAAGGCTGTTTGTTGTATCTTGTGTCTTCTTCAATAAATCTCTATTTTTCATAATGCATGGCTGTATACTTTCTGGACCAACCTCTTCTATGTATGTGTATATATAATGTCTTTCCCAATACATACATGTTTATAATCAAGTTTAATTTCTCAGTTATACACAGTAAGAGATTAACAATAACTTATAAGATAGAACAATTTTAATAATATACTGCAATAAAAGATATCTCAATATGGTTCTCTCCAATAATTTTTATATTTTTTTATTCCAAGTCTATTCCTGAATCTGTGTAACCATCCCTTACCTGCAGTAAATGGTTTGGTGTCAGGCATTTCAGGAAATCCCCTCTGAAGTCTGCAGATAGGCTTCAAGCTTTCTGGTGCAACACATTGTCATCAGTTGGAACACGTTTTCCATTCATGTCTTCCACCCACAAATTTAATACCTTTTACAACTTAACAAAGCGTTTAAGCACAGTGGCCATAACTTTTGCAGTCTGAGGTGCAACAGCAGAACAGAAACAAATTTCTTTTTCCTTCTTCACAACTTTTTGGATAGAAGATTCATTCTTACCATAGATCTTGGCAACCTCAGCATATGATTTTTTTCCTTTTTAAGTTGAGAACTTTCATGCTTTCACTTAAAGGAAGCACTATACAGCTTCTCTTTGGCATGTCCATATTGCCAGTATCACTACTCTTGCACTATGGGGCCATTCCTAAGTAAAATAAGGGTTCCCTGATCACAGGTGTTGTGATACCGTGACAGCCTCTGATAGTTGAGATGGCTGTTAGGTGACTGACAGGCAGGAGTGTCTACGGCATGGAGACGCTGAACAAAGAGGTGGTTGACGTCCCAGGTGGGACAGAGAAGGACGGCATGGGATTTTATTCACTACTCAGAACGCACACACAATTTAAAATGTATGAGTTGTTTATTTCTGGAATTTTCTATTTAATATTTTGGACCAGAGTTGACCACAGGTCACTGAAACTGGGAAGCAAAACCATGGATAAGGAAGATGACTGTATATACAGGGTCCGGCAGAGGTAACAGCATTGAGTGTGGCTGGTAGGGTACATGAATGTCTCACACAAGATGGACAGCAATTTGAACATTTCACCTAAAATGTCATACGGTGTGCTTGAGTGTGATATTGTTATGTTACAGAACTACATGCTTATCATTTTGTTATAAAAGATTTTTATGTAATAAAAAAAGGGTGTTATTTATGCTGGACCCTGTATATTTCAGCTAGAGCTCTCATAATGCAGTGACAAGTAGACGTGGTGCTAGTCTTAAAATAGTTACCATTTCTTCCAGATGATGATGATTTGCCCCATGACTTGGTGTCTTATTTCTTATTTTGAAAGACACTACATTGGAGGGAGAAAGAGAAGCCAAGGGCCCTCTTTGAGGCAGCAGAATTAAATCCACATTTCCCATGGAACAAAGACAAGTGCTTAGGTACAATCCACAAAACAAAATCAGTTTATTTGTGCAGTATTGTGGTGCATCTACACACATTTTAAATTTTGTGACACATTTTTTCATGTGTTCTTTTAAAAACTTTTTATTGTCATTATGTCCTTTTTAATGTCCCTCTTATTTGTTGTGATTTTATCTTTTTTTATGGTAAAATTGCGTTATGGTCAATGAGTTACACAGTGAGAATGTTTGCTGCAGAAATGCTTGCCACAAATATGCTACAGTGAAAGTACCTGTAACTGTTTACAGCATAGGATCTGCGAAGTGCACAAGCCTGGAGGAGGGAAGGAGCTGCAAGCATGGAGGGCCTGGCAGGAGGCCTGAGTGGCTGGGACAGTGCTCGGTGGGGCTTGTTGGAGCATTGGAGGCGGAGTCCCAGAGGCTGGTGGGCCCCTCTGGCAGGCTTTGTGGGCCAGAGTAAGGGGTTTGGGTTTTCTTCTAAGTATGCCGGGCAGCCTTTGGCAGGTTTAAGCAGAGGAGTGATGTGATATGATTTACATTTTAGAAAGACCCTTCCAGCTACTTGTGGAGAAGAGAGTAGGGGCCAGGCTGGCAGCAAGGCTCTGTTGAGGAAGCCGCGGAGTGGTCCAGGTGCGAGACCACGACAGCCTGGACCGCAGGGGTGCCATGAGATGGAGAGAAGTGGCCAGATTTGGGGTATAATTCGGAGAGATTCAGCAGCCAGAGCTGTGGGGGTGAGGGAGGAGGGGGTAGCGAATTACCCTCATGTTTCCCCTCCGTAGGCCTACCCTGCCAACCCTGTTCCCGCCTTGCCTCCTCAGCCCCCTACAGCCCTCCGTGGCCCCCGTGGGGCCTGCCACCCGTCCACCAGGCCCCTGGCAATCGGGGCTTTCCAGCTGGCCCCGATTGTTGTCACTCCCCAGGGAGTCATGGGAACATACTCCCTCTACCCCCCCTCAACCCCCCTCTTCCCAGACAAGGCCAGGCCCTAACAATGCCCCCTCAGCCAGCCAGTGGCCTGGACACAAGGCCCCTGTTTCGGTTCATTGCCAGCTCCAGGAGGCCTGCTGGGTTTCCTGGCCTGTTTGGCATATATATAACTCTGGCTTCCAGCAGAGATTTTTTGTTGTTGTTTAAAAAAAGAAATCTCTGCCTCCTTGTCTCTGAATCTCAATATATTATAAAAAGCCTTTCTCTTCCCATCCTGAGCCCTCCCTACTCCCCTTCCTGGCCACATTTGCCATGAGCCTGTCAACCCAGGGACAAAATGCAGGTCAGCAGGTGTCAGTGAGAAAATGAGAAAAAAAGAAAAGCTGTTTGCTCCACCATGGCCAACCTCGACTGTGCTGGTGATGCTGGAGATCAGGAGAATAATCTGGGGGGCGTTGACATGGCAGGCACTGTGCCTGGCACGTTTTGTACACCATGTCTCATTATTTCTGAGACGTCATCAAAGATGAGGTACGATATTATTTTGAGCCCCTAAGAAAGAAAAGAGCTACTGAGCTGAAATGCCAGTGATTGTATGGTGCACCTCAATTTCAGAGATGTTGAAATATGAAGAGAAAAAAGTCTGAGAGTCAATGGAATATGGGACTGTGTCTTCTACACACCTCGTTGCCCTTCAGTGGATTTTGTGCCTTGTCTCTGCGTTTGGGAGGCAGTGCAGGATTGCTTCAGAACTCTCCTCTTCTGCAGCCTCATGAGAACAGTTTTTCTTGCCTCTTGGAAAAATTGAGAGTTGCAGCCTAGTTGTTTCAATAATTTGTCTTTCATTCTTAATAACAACTGACATATATGTGCCAGGTACTGTAGTAAACACTTTAATTTCTCAACAACCCAATCAAATAGACACTTACCATTTTTATCACCCACATTTTATAGATGAAAAAGCAGAGCCCCTCTGCTCTAAGGGCCCCCTGCTACCTTACTGCACCCCTGTTCAGGGCAGGAATAGCTACTATGTCTGTTCCCCAGACCCCTTGGAAAAACATCACCCCTCCTCAGACGTTGAGGTGATATAAAGAAAGGAAGTGGCACTGGATGAACCTTGGAGAGGAGAGAGGTCCGCCGAGCATGAACTCAGGGAGTAAAGGGGGTGGGGGGTAGGCTTGCTTATAGACCTAAGACCTCTGTGCTTACATTGGACCTTAGATGTTCTGGCACACACCCCACTGAACATAAGGACCGAACGCATGGCCAAGGCCACACAGCCAGGCATCCGTTGGCTGGCACTAAGCCCTCTCTCTTCTGTTTCACCATGAATGGCCACTTTCCTTCCTCTTCCATGCCCACATCTCTCTAGTTACCTGCAAAGGAGAGAAGCTGTGCTGGTGCCGGTGGTTCCTTGGCAGTAATAATATCATCAATAGTAGTTAACATTTAATAAGTGTTCACTCTGTGCTGGGCACAGGCATCGTGGGTTGCAAACTCAGATACCTGGAATGCAAGTAAGGTTACAGAGTGATCCAAGCCAGGCAGGGACTGTGGTGGCCTGGAGGGTCAAGGCTCTGGCTAAACGGGGGACAGCACCTGCTCAGCTCCAGGACAGCCTGGCTGATACTGCCATTTATTAACTTATTTTTTTTAATGGGACACTTGCAGGATGTACCAATTTTTTTTAAAGATTTTATTTATTTTTAAAGAGAGGGGAAGAGTGGGAGAAAGAGAGGGAAAGAAGCATCCATGTGTGGTTGCCTCTCGCATGCCTCCAACTGGGGACCCAGCCTGTGACCCAGGCATGTGCCCCAACTGGGAATTGAACTGGTGACCCTTTGGTCCACAGGCCAGCACTCAGTCCACTGAGCCACACCAGCCAGGGCAATTACTGTTTTTTAAAAGTTATTTTTATTTTTTATTTTTTTATCACCATTTATCCTCCCATACCTTCTTCCACCTCCACCCACCCTCCTGCACAGGTATTACTGTTTTAAAGGAAAGCCAGGTATTTGAATTTTTATATAGCATTTCCGAATATTTTAAAATTAAACATTCTAATTCAGAAAAAGTACCCTGTAGACAAGTTAAATCACACCTGTTGACCGTTTTGCACACTCTGCTTGTCATCTTCTCACATAACTCTGACACCCATCCTGTAAAGGACCCTTTGCCCCTTGTTCTGCTGATGGAGCAAGCAAAGCTCTTCAAGAGGGAAAGTCACTTACTTAAGGTCATCTAGCCAAGCCACACAGTTGGGGTCTGCATTATTCCCAAGGTTTGATCCTATGATAGATGGCCTTTTGGATGCGTAAGGGGTCTGTGTTCAGACCCAGCCAGGACTGGCACTGTGCCAAAACATGCCTAGGGACAGTAAACTGGCAGTCATAGAGAACTCAGTGTAGCAACGAAGGATCTTTCACTAAATACTAATGTGATGTTGCAGACTAAAATGCCCCACCTCCTTCTGCCAGAACTCGACAATGGATGCCTCTGTGGCCTTATAAAATTAAGTCACCACAGTCCTGGCTGGATAGCTCTGTTGGTTAGAGTGTCTTCCTGATATGCCAAGGTTGCAGGTTCAATCCCTGGTCAGGGCACATACAAGAAGCAACCAGTGAGTAAATGAATAAGTGGAACAGCAAATTGATTTCTATTTCTACCTCTTTCTAAAATCAATAAAAAAATAAGTCATTGTATGTTTAGGGGAGGTGGTATATGTGAAATAAATAGTTTTGACTTATTTGTGTCTTTCGTGAAACTTCTTAACAAACATATCATGCAGGTCCATAGGAATCATTCTGACTATCCCACTGGAAGATGAGCCCCAGGTGTCAGAGATGGGTCTCTTTTGCTTCCAGCTGTCTCCCCAGCACCTAGCACAATGTCTGACACACAATAGGTATTCAATAAAATATTTGTAGAATGAATGAGCGAGGGTAAGAGGAAGTGAATTGACTTGTCGTGGTCACACAGACCAAGGTTCCTGTTTACAACCACCGGATTTAGAAGCTCATGCTATCACATCTATACCATCCTCCCTCTTGGAGGAATCAAGGGAAAGGTGTCTCCAGGTCAAGGATGATGGGCCCAGGAGCTTCCACTTCTTTGGACTCTGGTAGAGTAGGAGCTGGTGGCAGTGGTGATAGGGGTAAGAACTTACTAATTAAGCCATTATTGACTGTAATACCTTTAGGAAACCACACATTATAATCTTGACAGCCCTGAGCCTGGCTCTTAGAGTATTTACAGAGGGTGGTGGGTTTGAAGGACAGGCTCTAGGTTTTCCATTGGCTAAGTTCCCATTTCAGTTGTGCTCCGTGACCTTGACCTTTGAGTGCTCTTTTCTGAGCCTCCTTCCTCCTGCACCCTGGGGATAAAAAAGCTTCATTTATGGGATTATCAGGTTGAAATGAGATAATCAATGGAAGTGGCTGCCCAGTAATGAGGGATTTTTTGGAAGCCTACCAGCCTGAGGAAAGCTGTTGACATTGAGAACAGCCTCATCAGGATCAGCCAGGCTTAGGGCCAACGGGCCCATCTATCAGGACTTTGCTGCGCTCAAGTGGGTATTAATAGATACAGAAGGCCCTTATCTCTTCCTTACTTTCACACTAGGAATTCTGGTCTTCACTCCTTTCTGCTGAGCAGGAGAAGAGGGACTGTGGGAAGGAGTGCACCTGCGGTCTACCTGGGAAGGTGTGTACTTGAATACTTTGGGGGAAGGTAGGGCTTTGGAAGACCCCTGGCTTTAGCCTACCGAACCTGAATAATAGACTTTTCACCTGCTAGGTAAGCTCATGTCCTCTGGGCCTCAGTTCCCTCATCATAAAATGGGCCAATAAAAACTATTCCATCGCCAGCAACCAGTACAATGCTTGACACATGACAGGTGATCAGTAAGTTTGTTGAATTACTGTTGGACATGAGACAGCTTTATAAAGTGAATATTATTATCATTGAGACATTTTGGGAAGATGTGAAGAAAGACAACTTCATCTGGAATGGGAATGTTGCTGGATTCTCTCACCCTCTGTCAGGTTCTAGTTTGTGGGTTATTTTTTGGTTTTGGTTTTGCTTTTTCTTAATAGGACATTATTCTAATGGTAGCTTCTCTTGCTGGGGAGGAAAAAGGGGGCATGCTGACCCCATAGCTGGGAATCCAGTGTAGGCCAGATTCTATCACAGGCAGGCTTCACAGGTCCCTACCCCGAGTGGGCCTCAATTTTCTCATCTGTATAGCCTGTATAGAGGCTGCATAGTCTCTATGGACTGTTCTCATGCTGACACAGTCTAAGATTTGCAATGAATAATTTCACAAACTGCTTAGGAAACTCCTACTGTTTTCCTAAACCACTTCGTAGTTTACAAAACACTTTCAGATCCCGTATGCCTTTCATCCTCATGGCAAGCCTGGAAGGGCCAGAGCAATTTGCCCATCTTACAGATGGGAGGTGTCCTCAAAGGACTGTAATCTGAGACTGCACCACACATTTTGGATTGACAGGTATACCAGTTTATTCTCACATGCAATCGTGCATAAAAATCACTTGGGGGCGGGATTGTTTGTGCAAATGTGGATTCCTAAGTATTTAGAGATTCTACATTGGCAGGGGCTGGGATGGACCCAAAGTAATCAAGTGCCTAGGTGATACTGAAGCCAAGGGCCTAAGGACTACTCTTGGAGAACCAGGGCCTCCTGTTGCTTTCTAGACAGCCTCTAGCGTCAGCGTGTTTCCCTTCGTAACTCCTCTCAGCATCTGCTCTGAGCTGTGCTCACACCAGTGTTGGGAGGAATCTGGTAGGGGAGGCAGATGGAAAAACAGTGTGTGATCAGTGCTGGAACAGAGGCAACATCAGACAATGGAAGAAGTAACTCTGGAAGGCTCTCTGGAGGAAGTGATGTTTATACTGAGCCTAGGGATTTTATTTTATTTTTTTAATTCCTCTCTCCCTCACTCCCTTCCCAAGGGATTTGATTCTTGTTTGTCTTTTAAGTTGTTATTTTTTTTCTTTTTGTGGGGCATCCCCACCAGATGGCAGGCAAGTTCATAGAAATTATCAAGTCTTTCCTATCTCTACCCTCAGTGCTGGCACAGAGGAAAGAACGATATTGGTCAAATCGGCTGATGTGAGCAATGAAAATGGCTGATGGAGAGGTCCCAGGGCCTCTGAATTAAATGCGTTTTCATGTTCAGCATCTTCACCTCCTTCCTTTGTGAGAACTGACATGGAGTTGGATTAATGGTGTAAGTTCCTCATTATATTGTAAACATTTGTTATTTCTGATTCCCCCCATCCCTTTATCATTAGACTAAGCTCCTTAAGGTCTGAACTGAGAGTGGGGCACAATGTACGCTCTCAGAACGTTTGTTGAATGAATGAGTGAGTCATGAGTTCAATCAGCTGTGCATTGGCTATTGAAGATAAAAGGGGTCTGGCAGGAAAACCCCAAGCTGTATTAGGATAGACATCCTCCGCGTTTTCTGGTACCCATCTTCTGCTTGGACTCTGGGTGAGAGGGATAGGGTGGGTGCAGGATTTTAAACGGCATTCGTGGGCCAAGGAGGGGGCATGTGCGTGGGGCTTAGGAGGTGGGCCTGAGAACCAAGAAAAGAGGAGGGGCAGTTCTAGAGATCTGGGCTGGAAGCACTGGGGCTACAGGTGTATGTGGGGGTGTCTAGGGTTCAATGGGGTTTGCTGGCGGTGAGATGTACAAACTGGACGTTCCGACCTTAAGGCCCCCGCCTAGAGGGATAGATATCGTGAGAGGTGTCGAAGCTCCAGCGGGCCACCACGCCTCGGGGACGCCCCGGCTGGGGGCGGGGATTTGCGAACGCGCCTGGCACCGCCCTGACAAAGCCTGCGCGCGGCTGGTTCCGCGATTGGCCGTGCCTCCTCCCACCGTCGCCCCTTTCCGCCCTCCGCTGCCGGTCCGGCGAACTGCAGCCAATGGGCGCCGTCGCCGTCGCCGCCGTCACTGCCTGGGCAGCCAATGGTGGCAGCTCTCGGCGGCTCGTGGCTCTTTCGCGGCAAAAAGGATTTGGCGCGCAAAAGTGGCCGGGACTTTGCAGGCAGCGGCGGCCGGGGGCGGAGCGGGATCCGGAGTGGGATCGAGCCCTCGCCGCGGCCTGCTGCCATGGGCCCGCGCCGCCGCCGCCGCCTGCCACCCGGGCCGCGTGGGCCGTGAGCGCCATGGCCGTGGCCCCCGCGGGCGGCCCATGCGCGCCGGCGCTGGAGGCCCTGCTCGGGGCCGGCGCGCTGCGGCTGCTTGACTCCTCGCAGATCGTCATCATCTCCACGGCGCAGGAGGCCAGCGCCCCACCGGCTCCTGCCGGCCCCTCCGTGCCTGCAGCGGGCCCCCGCGACCCTGACTTGCTGCTCTTCGCCACGCCGCAGGCACCCCGGCCCACACCCAGTGCGCCGCGCCCCGCTCTCGGCCGCCCGCCGGTACGGACACCAGGGACACTGGGCCGAGTGTGCTTCCTGGACCCCCCGCGCGGACCCTGGCGGGGTGCGGTTTTGGGCCCAGAGGCAGCGACGGGGGTTGCGGGGTGGGAGGGTGGGGGTGGGCTGAGGCGCCGGGACTGGGTTGGGCCTCCGAGCCCCGCCCCAGAGTTCGGGGTGACCTCGGGCCAGTCCCTGTTTGCTCCCCTGTGCTGTGGGTCTCAGCTTCCTCACTGGAGCCGGTCAGACTAAGTAATAATAATGGCCCACGTGTATTCAACTGGCGCTGCCTGCATGCCAGGCCTCTGGCCGACTTCAAGCCAGCTGAAACTCACAGCCAGGGCTGTGAGCTCGTTGTTGTCACTGTGGCCATCTAAACTGAGGCCCAGAGAGGGGAAGTGACTTGCTCTGGGTCACACGGCTGCAAGTGTTGGGAATGGGATTTGAACTGAGGCCTGCTGGCTTCAGACCAGGACTTATGACTGGGTAGTGGGCATGGCTGCTTGGGGAGGTGAAGGAGGGCATCCTGGGGCCAGACTGTTGAAGAGCCATTGAGGAAACCCTCCTTCCTGCCTTGGTGCTAGACTGCCAGGTGCAGGCCTGGGCCTCTGGGGCTCTGGGGACAGGCCTGGCTGGGAGGCCTTCTCTGCAGGGCGAGGTGGCTGGGCCAGCTGCTGATTCTCCTCCTTCTGCCTGTCCTTCCATCTGCTACCCTCCACCCTCCCAGGCTCTGGTTGCCATGGAACCTCATTAATCAGGCAAGCAGACCCCTGGGCCCCTTGGAAGTCCGGGGTGGGCTGGGCCTGTGGGAGCTGGAGAGGAAGGAGGCTCTCAGTGTCAGGAGAGAGTAAACATCCCAAGAAGATGTCTTGATAAAGTGCTCCCTGAGCAACAGGAGGCTCAAATCAGTTCCGATTGGGGGCCCAAGAAGAGATGGCTGAATTGCATGGGGGGAAGGGAGTGGAGGCCTGGAGCTTGGACCTGTGGGCTGCAGGACAGGGCGTGGAGACCAGTTTGACTGGCGCAGCCTGTGGGTGAAGGTGGGGCACAGACTGGCAGGCAGGGACTACTTGCCAGGCAGAATAGGGTCTCAGCAGGGGGCTTGGAGCAAGTGGGAGGGATGAGGCAAGGCCCCGGGCAAGGAGGTGGAAGCTGCTCAACTGCATGGAGGCCCAGGTGGCAGCTGGTCCCTGAGGCATCCCCTAACCCCCTTGGCCCTGTGCCCAGTGCTGCCTTCCTTCCGGAATCACCGAGATGCTAATAATAATAGTAGCACCATTGTTTTGAGACGGTTTTGTTTGTCAGGCTCTGTGCCAAGCACTCTACCCAGTTAACTCATTTAACTCTCTCAACAACCTTCCCCTTTTACAGAGGGGGAAGCTGAGGCTGAGAGATGTTGGGACCTTCCCTAGTCATTCAGCTAATGAATGGTAAGGCCAGTCCAAATTTCCTGAGTGGTTAAGCTAACCACTGGGTGCCTTGCCTCCTGGAGATGCTAATAGAGATTGAAGGAAGCCCAGGGGCCCTTCCTCTTAATGAGTGAGGGTTTGGGGGCAGGTATATCTGGGGCAGGTACTCTGGCTTGTCTCCTGTAAACCCAAGTGGCTTGTGCCTGCTAGTACCAGCTCGGGGCCTAGAAAATAACTTTACCATTTAGCTTACTTGACAAGGACTCAACAGGTTCAGGGACTGGGCCAATGAAACATGCCTTCTGGTCCGCCCCTAGTGGTGCCCAGGGTAGCCTCAGTGGGCCTGAGCATTCCACTCATTCAACAGTTGTTGAGTTAGTGAGGCCTCTGCCCTCACAGTGCTTAGGGCCAGTAGGCATTTTCTGCTTGTGGGCAGGAGTGGGGGCTGGCAGTGGGCCCAGCTTTTCCCCACCAACACTCCCCAACTCATATTTGTGGGTTGCCGCTGGCCATATGATCTGTGGCCTCCACCGACCCACTGCATTGGTGTTTTTTGGGGGACAGTTCTTGAAACAAGCTACAGGCTCAGCTTCTGCATCCGGGAGCATCCATCGGGTACCTCCTGCATACAGGGCTCTGCAGTTCAGCCCTTTCTCCTGGCCCTTCCTTTGTACCTCAGCCTGTTGTCATGGCTTAAAGAAAAACCACACTAAATAAACTATAATACACATTACCTTTAGAAAAAGATTTAAGAGACTAAAAAGTTGAAGGGGCCAGGATCCCAGCTCTATCCATTTTTCTTTCTGTTTTCCTAAGCCTATATTTATTTTTAGGTGGTTAGGATAGCTTTCTAAAATTTTAAAAATTGTAGTTTTTATTTCCATAATCAAACAGTGCACCATCCGCACTTTACAGATAAGGTAACAATCCCCCATGGCCCTGCCCTCATACATAGGCTACCCCTGAAATGCATTCTGTAATAATAGAAACTAAAACAAGGAAAAAAGGTTTCAGGGTTTTTTTTTTTAAATCCAAGAAGGGACTATATACATGCATTGTTCTACAACTGTGTTTTTCTTGTCAGTGGCTTTGAGATGATTCCATGTTGCCTGGCCTTGGTCTTTCACAGTTGTGTGGCATCTGGAGCCTGGGGGAACCATAGTGTCTGTAGCCTCCTCTCAGGGATGGGTATTTGAGCCGCCCAGATTTTTTCACCAGTGTTCTGTGCTTTTCAGGGCTCCTGTGCCAGGACCTCTGGAGAGTATTGGCAGAAATGGGCATCCATCTGCTTGAGCCCTTGTTGCGTGGCATTGACCTGCCTTCAGGGTCGACAAGGGCCTGGAGAACAGGGAGAAGGCAAGGGGATGCGCTTGTCAGGAGCCTGCTAGGGTTCAGGCCATAGGGGAAAGGCTAGAGAGGGCGGACATTCTGGTTGGCTTTTAGGGGTCTGACTTCCGGGCTAGGTTTAGGGAGGCAAGGACCTGTGGAGGATATTAATGTGGGCTCTGCCGGCCCATTCAGGTCCAGATCCTGCCTCCACCTCTCACTCTTGTGTGGCCTCTGAGGTGCAGGTGCCTCATGAAGTGGGGGTCATGATAGCAGCTGCTGCAAGGTCTGGCTGGAGGTGTGGTAAGTGTGGGTGCAGCAGTCAATGGGTTGGCCAAAAAGTCCGTATGGGTTTTTGTTGTTGTTGTTGTTTTCCATAAAATAAATAGAAGACATTTTTCATTTTCATGAATAACTTGATTTGGATAGTTCGAGTATGTCAGCTATCTCCTGCGTGGTATAATGTTGATTGTTCTCAGTTAATATCTCAATTTGATTGCTGTCAGCTTCAGCTGGTCTACCCGACTGTGGAGCATCATCCAGCGAGAAATCTCCAGCACGAAACTTTGCAAACCACTTTTGACATGTTCAATTAGTCACAGCATCTTCTCCATACACTGCACAAATCTTTTCTTTTTATTTGCATTTCAGTTGCGTTTTTACCTTTCTTGAAATAATAAAGCATAATATGCCGAAAATGTTGCGTATTTTCTTCCATCTTCAGTATTTAAATGGCTACACAAAAATTCACCAACTCTGTTTTTTCTTTAATGCATACTGATATGACGTCTGTCACAATACAATCTAACGAAGTTGTTTCAAATGAAGTAAAAGACAACCAAGCGCTACTAGAGCCATCATATGGAAAAAACCAAACGGACTTTTTGACCACCCCAGTACTTAGCAGCGTTCAGTGCACAGAAAGCACCCAGCAAGTGTTACCTCTTCTACCCCTGGGACACCTGAGGGAATCCATGAATGTGTGTGAGAGGACGTACCTGGTTCTGTCAGCATGTGGGGAGGTTCATTCAGCAAACATTTGTTAATGCCCAGGCCATGTATACAGACAGTATTTAGACCCAATGCCTTCCTCTGAGGGGCTCCCTTTCTTGGCAAGACAAACATACCTGCAGAAATTTGTAGCGAGAGACAATATGGGAAAAGGTTGGATTCAGGGCAGTTCAGGGGGTGGGGGGAAGGCACAGTCTCTATTGCATTGTCAGACATAAGGCGCCTGCCCACAGGAGTGAAAGAAGTAGGTGTGAAGAGTAGGAAGGGAGGAGTCAGGCAACCTGGGAGAGAACCAGCATGGGCTAAGGCTTGTGAAGAACAGGTTTGTGAAAAACCTCTCAGCAGAGGTTCATGTGAAGTGACTGCTGAGGATACTAAGGTAGAGGGGCAGGTGGAGGTGGGGAGACCAGTGGGAAGATGCCTGAAAGGTTCAGATGGGAGGTGGTAGTGGCTCCGGTGATGGGGTTTCTGGGCAAGTAGACGCGATAAGGTCGGCGGCAGGGCTGAGTGAGGTTCTACCTTGGGAAACCCTGTGGAAGAGGGAGGGGAGGTACGCCTGGTTTTGGATGTGTTTGAGATGCCTGTGAGACAGGGCAATCTCCATCCTTCCATGTGTGTGTAAGTAAATCAGGGACACCTGGCTTTGCTGCTTCCTGGCTGTATGACCTTGGGCCTTGGTTGCTTTTTCTGTAAAGTGGTGTCAAATACTATACTTTGAAGGATCATTTCTGTAGTTCGTAAAATTAGGCCAGTCTTGTATTGCTTAGTTCATAGGATGGAATGAGCTAGTCTATGCAAAGCTCATGGTGAGTGCTAGCTGTTGCCATGTTCTCAGAAGCCAGAGAGAGCTGGTGACATGCCCGGGGGTCCTGTATCCAAATGGCTTAAAACATCACATAGTTTCTGCGGGTCAGAAATTCAGAGGAGACTTAGCTGGGTGCTTCTTGCTTAGGGTGCCTACTTAGGTTGCATCTAAAATGTTGGACTCGGCTACTGTCGTCAGAAGGCAGGACTAGGGTTGGGGACTTTGTTTCTAAGCTCACCCATGTTGTTGGGAAGAGGCCTCAGTCCTTGCCACTTGGTCCTGTCCTTAGGGCTGCTTGGGGACCTGCATGACACAGCAGCTGCCCGAGTGGTCCAAAATAGCAAGGAGGAAGCTCCAGTGGGTCTTGGATCCAGTCTCAGAAGAGACAGTGTGTCACTTCTGTTGTGCTCAGTTCATTAGAAGTAAGCTACCAGATCTGGCCCATGTTTAAGGGGAAGGCTCCATCTTTTGAAAGAAGTATCAAAAAATTGACAGGCATATTTTAAAACCACCACAAGCCCCCGGGTAGGTAGAGGTAGAGCTATGACTTGCACAAGTCTTCTGCCTTGCAGTTGAGTGATCCATCCTGTATGGTAGGGTTGTGTCCCTTAGGGGTCTCGCCTCACACACATGGGCATCCTAGGAGAAAAACTGAGGCAGGGTGTCCCAGGAGCCTCAGCTAGGTCTCTGGTGGCCTCACTCTCTTGGTTGCTGAGTATCCTCCCATTGTTTTCGCCACAGGTGAAGCGGAGGCTGGACCTGGAAACTGACCATCAGTACCTGGCGGAGAGCAGCGGGCCAACCCGGGGGAGAGGCCGTCATCCAGGAAAAGGTACCCGCAGAGCTCAGGCTAGAGCAGTCTCCCTGATTGGGCCCAGGTTGGGGGTGTGGACAGGCAAACGTGCTTCTAAACTGTGCTCTGGTCTCAGGCCTGGGCCTGAGCCAGGCCTCGGGGGGTCCCAAAGGGCAGCTGGAGTGGCTGCCTGGCGTGGCTTCCCCAGGCCCCGGGGGTGGGGAGTTCCCCGGCCGGAAGAGAAATGCTGTGGTTGGCAGGCAGCAGCCACAGGGCCTCCTTGGGTGGCCTCACCAAGGGAAGAAGCCATCTGCCCACCCCGCCCCCCATCCTCCTGCCCTGCATTGCCAGGGGGGCTAGCCTAACTGGGGGCAGGGGTGGTATGGAGGGAGCCTGCCCTACCTGTCTCCTCCCCCAGGTGTGAAATCTCCAGGAGAGAAGTCACGCTATGAGACATCCCTGAATCTGACCACCAAACGCTTCCTGGAGCTGCTGAGCCACTCGGCTGATGGTGTTGTTGACCTAAACTGGGCAGCTGAGGTGCTGAAGGTGCAGAAACGGCGCATCTACGACATCACCAATGTCCTTGAGGGCATCCATCTCATTGCCAAGAAGTCCAAGAACCATATCCAATGGCTGTAGGTACCCGCCAAACAGGAGGGCGGGCAGAGGCCCGGGCCAGGTCAACCTGGAGGAGCTGACAGCAGGACCCACTGTGGCGCTGCATCCTCATCTTGTAACTGGGGAAACCGAGGCTTAAAGAGGAGAGGTGTCTTTCCTGAGGTGACAGATGCAGGAAAGGACACACATCTTATATCCAGCTCAGTGCAGCTTTGCTCATTTCTTCACCTGGGTACCACCGTCCGGATCAGGATAAAGAGCATTTTCAGCACCCTAGAAAGTCTCCTTGTGTCTTTCCCAGTTGTTGCCCACCGATCATACCACCAGGTGACCACTATTCTGGCTTCTGTTGCCAGAAATGAGATTGTCTAACACAGATGTTTCTATTTATTTATTTTTAAAGATCTTATTTATTTTTAGAGAGGAGAAGGGAGGGAGGAAGAGAGGGAGAGAAACATTAATGTGTGATTGCCTCTCACACACCCGCTATGGGTACATGGCCCACAACGCAGGCATGTGCCCTGACTGGGAATGGAACAAGCGACCCCTTGGTTTGCAGGCCAGCACCCAATCCACTGAGCCACACCAGCAAGGGAAGGTGGTGTATTCTTGTTAATTCTTGTTTTATTTTTTCCTTCTCACCTCTTTCCCTGGTCTTTCTATTTCCCTGTCCTTGATGCGTTTACCTTTTCTTTTTCAATTACAGTTTGCACTCCGAAGTATTTTGTATCAGTTTCATGTATACATCATAGTGGTTAGACAATCATACTTTATAGTGTTCCCCCCGATATTTCCAGTACCCAGCTGGCACCATGCATAGTTATCACAGTATTACTAATTGTATTCCTTATGCTGTACTTTACATCTCTGTGATTATTTCATTACTTCCAATTTGTACTTCTCAATTCCTTCATCTTTTTCACCGAGTTCCCCAATCCCCTTCCCCTCTGGCAACCATCAGCCTGTTCTCTGTATCAATGGATCTGTTTCTGTTTTGTTTATATTGTTTAGATTCCACATAGTATTTGTGAAATCACATGGTATTTGTCTTTCTCTTACTGACTTACTTCACTTAGCATACTACCCTCTAGGTCCATCCATGCTGTCGCAAATGGTAAGATTTCATTCTTTTTTTGTGGCTGAGTAATAATTGCATTTTATATATGTGTACCACAGCTTTTTTATCCACTTGTCTATTGATGGGCACTTGGGTTGCTTCCATATTTTGGCTATTGTAAATAATGCTACAGTGAACATAGGGGCGCGTATATTCTTTTGAATTACTGTTTTGGATTTCTTCAGATATATCCCTGGAAGTAGAATCACTGGATTATCTGCCTTTTCAGTTTTTGATAGATCGTTCCATTCTGCATCTTTTCTTTCTTTTTACTGGACAGCATCTTAGAACTGCTTTGGTGTCTATATAGCTAAGGCATTGCCATCCTTTTATACAGCTATGTAGTATTTCATGGCATGTCTGTGCCATCACTTACTTATCCAGCTCCCTCTAAGGGACAGGTGGATGTTTACAGAAATTCAGGGCCGATTGTTAAACCCATGCCAGTCAGACTGGGTGCAGAGGGTCAGGGCTCCTGGGCAAAGGGCCCAGGAGCTGTTAACCCTCCCTCGATGTCTCCACACAGAGGCAACCATGCAGCGGTGGGGATTGGTGGGCGGCTTGAAGGACTGACCCAGGACCTCCAGCAACTGCAGGAGAATGAGCAGCAGCTGGACCACCTGATCCATGTCTGTACCACTCAACTTCGGCTGCTCTCTGAGGATGCTGACAGCCAACGATATCCTTGTACTACATGGAGGGCAGGCCTGGCAGGCTGGGCCCTACCCAAGTGAGACTAGAGAGGCTACCCCAGACCTGGGTTCAGGAGAGGGCTCTGGCTGTACATGCAAGTCCTGGCTCAGCAGTCACTCACTGATGTTGAACAAGTTACATAACCTCTCTGAGTCTCATCTGTAAAAGGAGGAAAAAAACCCCAATTGCAAAATTGCTAAATTAAAATGAGAAAAGCTAGTACCAGCAATAACAAACATTTAGTACTGTGATTCAGTACATGGTTGTAGCTTCACAGAGATAGAAGTTTTTATCATTTACAAAAATAGAAACTTTAAAATAAGCCTTTTTTTAAGTGAATACCCAAATTATGTTTATACATTTTTTAAAAGCTTTTATTTATTTATTTTAAGTGAGGGGGGAGAGAGAAACATCAGCTGGTCGCCTCTCGCCTGTGCCCCCACCCAGGGACCTGACCTGCAACCCAGGCATGTGCCCTGACCAGGAATCAAACCAGAGACCTTCTGGTTCACAGGCTGATGCTCAGTCCACTGAGTCACACCAGCTAGGGCTGTTTATAAATTTTGGACAACCACTAAGTGACACCAACATCATGAGTCAGAATAAATTCTCAGCACTGGGCCTTACTGTGGGCAGCCATCATTACCTTGAGATTAGGTGGGTACTAAGTGGAGGATGGGAAGGACAGGAGTAACTAAGCAAGCGTGGGCTCTGTCTTAGCTAAGTGGGTGGCCTCCCAGAGATGAAACATCATATGGCTCTTGACTCCACCAACCCTGGCCTACGTGACTTGCCAGGACCTTCGTAGCATTGCAGACCCTGCAGAGCAGATGGTCATGGTAATCAAGGCCCCTCCTGAGACCCAGCTTCAAGCCGTGGACTCCTCAGAGGTGAGGCACGGGACCCTAGGCCCAACCAAGATAGGCTGGGCTGGGATGGTGGTCAGCAGAGTCTCACTTTCCCCTTCCTGCTACCTCTACCCAGACCTTTCAGATCTCCCTTAAGAGCAAACAAGGCCCCATCGATGTTTTCCTGTGCCCTGAGGAGAGTGCAGGCGGGATCAGCCCTGGGAAGACCCTGTCCCAGGGGGCAGCTTCTGGGGAGGAGGACAGTGTGGCTGATCCTACCACCACAGTGCCACCGCCATCATCATCTCCCCCCTCAACCCCCGACACGGATCCCAGCAGGTCCCTGCTCAGCCTGGAGCAAGGTAAGTGAAGGGTGAGTGGGTGAAAGGTGGGTGGGCGGCATCGCAGTCCCTCTGCCCTCCCTGCTGGGCATCCCCGGCCTGTGATGCTCCCCCATCTCCCCAGAATCTCTGCTTTCCCGGATGGGCGGCCTGCGGGCCCCCATGGACGAGGACCACCTGTCCCCGCTGGTGGCGGCCGACTCACTCCTGGAGCATGTGCGGGAAGACTTCTCCAACCTCCTCCCTGAGGAGTTCATCAGCCTGTCTCCCCCCCACGGGGCCCTCGACTACCACTTTGGCCTTGAGGAGGGCGAGGGCATCAGAGACCTCTTTGACTGTGACTTTGGGGACATCACCCCCCTGGATTTCTGATGGGGCCTACAGAGACCGGGGCCCCCTGAGATGCCTACCCTGCTTCTGCAGTCCTGGAGCCCCCTGCCCCTGGCCATCCTCCTAGCCTGATTGGAAATGTTTAATTTATACCCCTCTCCCTTATCTCCAGAAGCTTTTAGCTCTGGAGTCTGGCTACTGCCAAGAGGCTGAGCAAGCCAGGAAGGGGAGGATTCTGTTTGTGGTGTGTATGTGCATGCACCCAGCACCCAATGTGTGTATGCACAGGGGGAGTGGTGCGTAAGCATGTGTGTGTGCATGAACCGGGGAATGAAGGTGAACACATCTGTGTGTGCACTGAAAACACGCCCCAGTGTGTCCACATGTGTGTGCATGAGTCCATGTGTGCGTGTGGTGGGGGCTCTAACTGCACTTTTGGTCTCCTTGCTCCAGGGGCCCCACAAGGCCCAGGGGGGCCACCTGCCCCCAGAATCCTGCATGCGGACCAGGCCACGTGGTGAGGCCTTGGCTTGCTGTTTGCAGGACTGCGAGAGCACTTCTGTTGTCTTAAAGGTTTTTCTGATTGAAGCTTTAATGGAGCGTTATTTATTTATCAAGGCCTCTTTGGCAAGCCTGGGGCACCAGCAAAGGGTAGGAGGGATGTGAGGCTGATGTCCTAACTTCCTATACCCCTGAGTGAGGGCAGGGGTCTCTGAATGGTTCTTTGCCCCACTCTGAAGGAGCTGAGGCCTGAGCGGTTTTATTTATTGGAATAGTGAGGGAGGGAGACAGACTGACTGGACTGACCGACAGCCTTGGGTGGATCAAGGGGGTGGTCCCTCCCCAGGGGATCATTGCAGGGCTCCAGCTGCCCACCAGGACGGATGGGAGAGGTGAGTGGGGGACCTTCACTGACAGGGTGGGCAGGAGGGGTGGGCGAAGGACCTCCCCCAGGAGCCCAGCCCACAGGGGCCCCTCCTGTGGCATTTGAAGTGCCCCCCTCCTCTCCACTTGCTCTGCCCCACCCTCCAATCTGCACTTTGATTTGCCTTCCTAACAGCTCTGTTCCCTCCTGCTTTGGTTTTAATAAATGTTTTGATGGTGTTTTGTGTGGGTTTTGGGACTGCACTGGGAGCAAATCAAGGGGTGGGAAAGGTCCAGATTGCTGGGGAAGTGCCCGTTCCCTACTCCCCTTCTCCCTGTCTGCTTGGTTGTCTCTTTTGAGCCTCACAGCCCCTAGAAGGAAGGTAGGCTTCATCACCATTTTTGTCCTAACTTAAAAACTGATCTAATAAAGTAATATGGGAACTCGCCTTTCCCCAGCACCAGACAGGCTGCTCCACGATGTTCCTTCCAGGTGTTTCTGGGCATTTGTAGACATCCAACAAATAATTACAACTGGCCAATTCTGTCAGTATCTTTCAAGTTCCTTCCCATCACAGGGCCCTAAGGGCCCTGAGGAGACACAAAAAACTTAGGGAGGGCTTCCTGAAAGTGCTTGAGCTAAGAGCTGTAGATAGTTAACTGAGGAGGAAGACAGGAACACTGAACAGGGCCGTGTGGGCGAAGGCCCTGGGCCAGGAGGAAGCATGGGGCAGAGCCTGAGGTGAGAGCCAGAGGGGGGTTCTGGTGAGCTTTCTTCAGGGGACAAGGACTTCCTGATGAGCATGGGAAAGTGACATCTTGCTTTGTATTTTAAAAGCTTCCTCTGGCTGCTCTGAAGGATAGATGGAAGTGGGGAGCGTAGCCCGGGGGGTTGTCTGCACAGACCTGTTTAACAAACCCTCAGATGGGCTTTGAGCCAGTCCCGGTTTTTGAGCCCCATTAATTACCCCCACTCTGAAGAGGACCTGTGGTTAGCCCACCAGGTGTCACAGTATTGAGCGGCAGTGTGCTGACTACAGTGGTGTGGGACGTAGCCCTTGGTGGGCCTGTGCAGCCCCTCACGTTTGTTTCTGGCTGTGTAGTACTCCCAAGCTGCCAGTCAGTGCAGGCCAGTCCCGCGTGGTGAAGACTCCCTGCGTGGCTCCTTTGCAGTGGCCACCCGTCCAGGATCCTCTGATGGCAGAGCTTGAAGATGAACGGTGTTCGGCGTCTGCATCGTGCAGCTCTTTATAATCTACAGGCCGGAGTTGGCTCCTCTTTGCCAAGCTGGGAAACGGGCCCTGCAGGGGCTTTGCGGAGGGCTCCGGGCTCCGGGCCAGCGGGGAGGAGGCTAGGCTGCTGCCAGCAGTGGGCGGGGCCGTGGGGTCTGCGCCGGCGTCGATAGGCCGGGCGCCCCTCCCAAGCTCCCCAGTCCCTGGCAGCGGCGCGGTGGCGTCCACATCGCGGATTCTCAGCCCAGCTGGAGCCTAGCGGTGGCGGCGCCATGGCGTGCGCGGGGCTTCTGACCGTGTGCCTCATCCAGCAGCCAGCGCCCCAGCCCCCGCGGCCCCCTACGCCAGCCGCTGGTTCTGCTGGACACGCGCTGTTCCAGGATGTGAGTGAGGAGCGGGAAGGGGGCGTCAGCTCTCCTGGCCCTGGGGGTTCGCAGTGTCTTGGGGTCGTTCTCCAGGTCTACCTCTCCCTGTGTCTCGCCGAGCTCTCTGTCTCTCACCGTCTCTACTTGCTCCCGCCTCCGTGTCTCTCACTGTGTTTTCCCCGTCTCTGTCAGTGTCACTCCCTCCAGGTCTGTTTGGGGCCCTGTCTCTCTCACTATCTTTCTCTGACTCCGCTGTCCCTGTTCCCATGTCTCCCTTCTTTATCCTGTTGCCTTTGTGTCTCGTTCTGTCTCTCTTTCTCACTTCCTTGTCTTTGGTTCAGTGTCACTGCCCCTGTGCCCCTGCCCCCAAAACCCACTCCCTCTACGTGTCTGGTTGGGAGGAGGCGGTCACCACTTGATCACAGGAGCAGCTGCGGTACTCCTCTGTGGCGGCCCCTGGCTGGGCTGATCCAGCCAGGGAGCCTGGAAGAGTAAGACCCAGTGCTGACCCCAGAGCCTCTTAGACCTGACCCAGGGGCTGCGGGGTCCCACAGTTGGTCAAGGCTGCCCACAGGCATCCTCTGTGGTCTGTACACTCTTGTGGCAGGCGGCCTAAAGGCCCCATGGGCACTAGGGTAGAGCAGCCTGGCCTGGCTTAGTCCCTGCCCTGAGCCCCTTTCCCACCTTTCACCCCAGTGCTCAGTCCCAACCTGGCCCTCTCATACTCCTCCTGTCCCCTCCCCACTGCCCCCCAGTGACTCAGCACCTTGATTTGACCACAGTCCTGGCTGGAAAGGGACCCGGCTCTCCCATTTCATAGATGGAAAAACTGCCCCTGTTGTCCTCGTGCCCAGCCCAGCACCCCCAGTATCTTCATCTGCCCCAGCCTGGCTACGCTGGGCTGCTGTCCGACCTCAAGCCAGTGGCAGACCTCTGAGTCAGGCTTCTGGTTAGTAGCTAGATTCATCCCTGAGCCTCACCGGCACTGAGAAGACAGCCAGAGGGCAGCGGCATTTAGAGCCTGGAGCTGACAGGGGCTCTCTGTCCAGGCTTTGGCCTGCCCATCCTTGCAGGGCTGCTGGTCTCCTTTGCTGGGCTGCTTTCGGTGCCCTGGGAATCTTTTGTCCCTGGTAGAGGCAGAACCATGTCTTGACTCTCCCTCTCTGTTTACCTTCATCTCTGCTTCTCCATAAACACAATTCATCTACCCTTGCCTACCGCCACCCTCACTATCGCCAGCACGCACAGATGCGCACACCCTTGCACCGAGTCAGCCTCATGGCAAGCCCCAGCCCTGGAAGGCTTAATCCCAGCCTGCTCTCCCGTGTCCTAGGCTAAAAACTGAGGCACCCACAAAGGAAGGGCAAGCACGCGAGGATGGGCAGAGTCTGGGATGGACCATGGCCGCACAGCAGAGTTGAGGGCTCAGGTCTGGGAGAGGTGCCCAGGATTCTCAGGCCACATCTTGGCCCATCTCCCTACCTTCCTCAAACTGGGACTATGCCAAGGGCTGATGCATCAGACAGAAATCAGGATAGACTCTGGGGGAGGTGGGGGGACAGGGAGCTGGCCTAGAGTACCCCCCGTGAGGCCAGGCCCTGCGGGAGAAGTGAGCAAGCAGTTGGACCTGCTGTGTGCTCTTCCTCTGCTCCCCTCATGGGAAAAGCTCCCGCAGGGCAGAGCTGGGCAGGCGGAAAGCCTAGGCAGGGGCCAGGCTGGCCAGCTGGAGCCCTGTTGACCAGGTGGGGGTCTCTTACCTCCCAGACCCCACTCAGCTCCCATCCTTGGCCCCTTTGTCCTCTAGGTTTTTCGAAGAGCAGACAAAAATGGTGAGTATGGCTTCCCCTGAGTCCCGTGTTGGGTACGGGGGAGGTTGGGGACATGAAGGCTGGGTGGGGGTTTGGAGGTACAGTCTAGAATGGAGAAGAGTCTTAGGGGACCCAAATCAAGAGAATCAGTCAAGGCATCCTTCCCAGAGAAGTGCTGTTTTGAGCCAAGTTTGGCAGGACGGAGAATGGGGGGAATGTGGTTTAGCCAGAGACTGAGAATAGAGGCTTCTTTCAGGCACTGCCCTGGCACAGTGGTGGGCACCTTCTTGTATATGACTTCGTGTTCTTCACCCCATTTCACAGATGAAGGAGTAGGGGCCAGGAGAGGTGAAGCTGGTTGCCTTAGGTAGCACAGCCTTTAAGTGGTGGACCTTGGACCCAGGTCTATGTGATGCTTGTCCCAGGCTCCCTGTGTGAGAGGCAGGAAGTATGGGCTAATAGAGATGAGGCCCTGCGGGGGATTTTACTCCTAGATTTTTAGAGGGTTCCGTAACTCTCCATGTGACCACCCGTCTGACCCAGGGAGGGCTTAGGCATGATAAAGCTGGCTCTGAGGATCAGCTCGCTCTGCCCTGGGTCCTGAGCAGTCTTAGACCCAGGTCTGGGAGAACCTTGAAAGCAGGGCACTGTGCAGGCAAGCAGGTTACTGCCCATTGATGACCCAGAACAGCCCAGTGTACCCTGAGAGGCCAGCTGAGGATCTGAGCTGAGGCCTTCTATCTGGGGTCTTCAGACCCTCTTGTGATTCAGCCTCCTTGAGATAGGACTATGTCCCCACCCTTCGGCCCTTCTCCTTGGGTCTCTTCAAATTGGAGGAGACCATTGTCCCAACCCATTGGCCAGGATGCATAGTTTCATTTGGATCAGAACTTTCTGTCCACTCTCCCTGCTTAGAGACCTTACAGGCCAGATCTCCATTGTCCTTAGCCACCCCCCGTAAGTGCTGTCTGCTACATGCCTGCATAACAGGGAGGTCATCCCCTCCGGGGCCAGCCTGCTGCTTTTCTTTTCTTCCTTTCATTATTTTTTAGAGAAAGGGGGAGGGAGGGAGAAAGAGAGGGAGAAAAACATCAATTTGTTGCTTCTCGCATGCATCCTAACCAGGTACCAAACCCGCAACCCAGGCATGTGCCCTGACTGGGAATCGAACTGGTGACCTTTTGCTTTGCAGGATGATGCCCAACCAACTGAGCCGCACCGGTCAGGGCAACCTGCTGCTTCTTACAGGGGCCCCAGTCCTAGGGAAGGTCTCATCAGCCTCCCTGTGGCTTAGTGAAGGGCCTGGGTCCATAGCGCAAAGGTTCCGTCTACCCTGGGGCCAGGCTGGCCAGCATGTGGGGCAGAGTCTCAGCCCCCTGCAGTGATCTGGCTGTGCCCCATGCTGTTGTTTTGTTTCCTCATTTGGCAAATTTTTATTGAGTCCCTACCCAATGCCACGTGTGTCCTTGGGTGCATGCAAAGTGGTCCCTGTTGCCTTAAGTGGGAGCCTCTGGGGGCTCCAGCCCTTTTATGCCCAGCAGCCAGGTCCCCCACCAAGCTCAGGATCCCATTCTGCCTGGCTGGGTGGGTGTGAAATGATGCTATGAGGCCTTTGGGGGACCTGGACCTGGTGGCTGGGGTGCAGCCAGGGGTCAGGGATATCGACTCTGCTTCCTGTCCACCCGTCAGATGATGGTAAGCTCTCATTTGAGGAATTCCAGAATTACTTTGCTGATGGGGTTCTCAGCCCTGGGGAGCTGCGAGAGCTGTTCAGCGGCATTGATGGGCATTCCACTGAGTGAGTACAAGAGGGAGAAAGAAGAGCCATGGAAAGATTAGGTCCAGGTTGTCTGTACCCCACTGGGTCCCCTGCTGCTCTGGTTCCTTATGGAGGACAGGGGAAGGGGGGAGGTAGGGAGAGGGGTGCCAGGGCCTAGTGCCAAGTTTTTCCCACCCACTCACCACCTCCCTGGCTCCAGCCTTGCCCATCACACTGCTTCCAACTGGGACCCTAAAATAGCCAGGCCTGAGTCACCACCCATGGTTCAGCCCACAGGTGCCCCCGCCCAATCCTGCTTCCTGCAGGGATCAGAGGATGCCTGGGGACAGCTGGGCCCTGCCTGCTTCCACCCATGGATGCAGGTGCATCAACACGCATAGCCCTCCCCACGTGCACCCCCACATCTCTAGGCCTTAGCATGAGTTTGCATGCTTCCCTCCCCATGCTTCCTCACGTGGGTACAGCACGTACACAGCTGTCCCGCCTTCTCACTTCCCTTCCTCCCTCATCTCCTTAGAGTAAATTTGAGACCCTGGGTGGACATTCAAGGCTCCCATGCACCCAAGCCCCCATCCTGAGTCTTGGGCTGGACCCTTTGCACCCACCCCCTCCCCCAACAGGATAGTCCAAACTCCTTGTCCTTCAAGGCCTGGCATAGGCAGCCACTCCTCCAGGAAGCCCTCCCTGACCTACCAAGTAATACCCCATGCCTTCTCTGGGCTTTCCCAGCCCTGGCTTTCCCTTCCCAGCTCTGACTGCTCCTCTCTAGCCTGTATCCACATCTGTTTCTCTTGACCTGAAATTTCGTTGGAGGCCAAGAGCATTTGCCCTCAGAGAGTGTTTGATGGGGCAGTAGAATCCTTGCTCCCCTCCTCCCCACAACACCTGCCCACCGAGCAACTTAACCCCAGGGGGGAAGCAGGAGCTGCCACCTTGTCAGACTCAGTTGGGTGGGAAGGGGAGAGGAACATTGGCTTTAAAGTCCCAGTTCACCAAATGTGAGGGTCTGAAGAGCACCTTCTCTTTTCCCTGCAGCAATTTGGAAACGGAGAAACTGTGTGGTGAGTAGGCCCCTCTGGAGCTCTTGTCTCCTGGGACCTCTGGGCAGGTGGGTGCGATGAGGGTCTGTTGCTGGTCTCCTGATGGAGTAGGATGGCTGGGGTCACAACCTGAGGCCTGGCTGGCTGTGGGGGAGTTCTGGGCTGGGTGGACGACGGGGCGGGCCAGAGCCTTGGAGCGCCCCCTCTGCCCACAGACTACTTCTCAGAACACCTGGGCGTCTACCGGCCCGTGCTTGCTGCACTGGAGTCCCTGAACCGTGCGGTGCTCACTGCCATGGACACCACCAAGCTGGTGAGTCAAACGGCTGGTATGATGGGGGGGCCCCAAAAGGAGCACGGGGGTGTCTGCTGCGCTGTGGGAGCCTCCACTGTCTTGGGGCTATGGAGCTAGAGGGATGGGTTCAAATCCTGGCTCTCCTGCTCTGTGCACTTTCCCCTCTCTGGGCCTCAGTTCCCTCAGATCGGTAAACGGGGGATAAAAATACAGCCTGCCTCCATACACTTGTCGTGACAATTAAATGAGAACAAAGGCAGGGATTTTGTCTGTCTTGTTCTCTAGCCTCAACATCCAGAACTATGCCTGGCACACAGAAGGTGTTTAATACCTGGAGGTACTACTCTACTGTTTTTATTATTGGCCAGACCTACTATTACGGGATATCAAGCCTAGGACCCAGCAGGGGTGGGCTGGGGTGTGGTGTGCTGGCACACGTGTCCACAGGCCCATGCCTGGCCTTAGGCCACTCGGGAGTGGGCAGGCGTGTGTGCACCCATGTTGGTGTGCACGTGTGGACATGTGTGCGCAAGCAAGCATAAGCAGTGCCCACAACCAGGGCTGCAGGCCTTTGTATGGTGACTTCAAAACACTCACAAGCCGCCCTTGCCTTTGTGTGTTGTTTTTAAGAGATGTCTCCACTTTCCTTTGTCCCGTGGTTCTTAATAAGGGGACAGAGAGGGAGCAGTGAGCAAGCCTGCAGTTATGCCTGACCCTTTTATAGAAGGGGAAACTGATGCGCTCAGCCCGTGGACGATCAGCTGAGACAAGTGCTACCCCTCTGGTTGCTTTCACATGGGATCTAGTAGCTTTTCAGAGGGGCGCCCCTTGGGGTCTGGCGTGGGATGGGAATCCAAAAGGCACAGTATGAGGGGCTGGCATGTTGCAGCAACTTCTGTATCTGTGGCCTATACACAAGCATGGTCATCGCCTTCCTTATTGCCATGGAAACAGGGCCCTGGGCCAGGACAGCTGGAGTGACATTCTCTGAGCTGGCACTGGTTAGGGGGAATTCAGACTGCAGGTCACAGTGAGGGCCCCAGACCACCTCCTTCTGGCTCAGAAAGGGACAGGGGGTGGCCCATCACCACACGATGACTGCCAACTCCAATCATCTGACTTTTATCTGGCGCTCTCTGCCTCTGGTAGAGCTTCAGCTCAGTCCGCCAAGCCTCTGCCTCTGCAGCCCCCCGGTAGCACCACTTCTTGAAGTCTAATGTGACTCAGTCGAAGACTTTATGCACCAGCCTGGAGCCACACTCCTGGTACATGGCCCGAGTCATCCAGTGGCGTTGGAAGTTGTGCAGCGAGGCCACCATGGAGCCTCCCGTCCACACTGCTGTACCGCGCGCAGGCTTGGCCACTACGTGTGGCTGCAGTGCCTCACAGCCATGCTGCCGGCACTGGGCTTCCAGCTCCATCTCCAGGCGCTCAGTGAAACCAGGGAAAAGTGTGGAGCCACCGGCCAGCACCACAGTGCTAGCCAGCCTCCTCCGCAGTGTTCCAGGCACCCGCTGCAGTGCCCAGAAGGCCAGAGTGGGCAGTCCGGGCTCAGCGTGGCCTAGCAGACCAGGCTGGAAGATGGGTTCAGGGCAGCGGAAGCGCTCGCTGCTGAGGCAGACAGAGCATCCATTGCCTAAGCAGAAACTGGTTGGATGGTGACGGGCAGGGTTTTGCAGGTCACCCTCAAAGTCCAGTGACACATAGCAGCAGCGCTTCTTGAGCTGTGTGATGGTCTTTCGGGGTAGAGTCTGCGGCAGTAGATCTGGACACGCAGTCACCAGCAGATCCCGTAGGTAGCGCGACAGGGTGGTGCCTGCCACCTCCAGCCGGAAGGTGGCCTTGTACCAAGAGTGGCCCGCATAGACGGGCGTGGCGTGGCACACGCCCGCACCTGCCTCCACAGCCAGCCCGCTGAACGCGCCGGTGGAGCAGAGGGCCAACAGCGCAGTGCTTGCCATGTGGCACGCGGGCACTGCCAGGGCCTCGAACAGCAGTTCGGCCACCCTCTCGCGGTTTGAGGGCGGCGCCGACGGCGAATCGCTCACCAGCACAGGCCACTGCTCCGGGCACACCCGCAGACCACCTACCAGCAGGCGCTCCCAAAGCCCCTCCAGCGCCTCCCAGTCTACTACCACGCCATGCTTGATGGGGTGCGCGCGAGCCACGCCGCCCGCCAGCTCACAGCCCGGCGCCCCGGGGAGCACGGGCCGGTCCCAGCTGGGCACTAGGCTGGAGCTCTTCAGCACCAGACGTGGCTGGTTCTCACCCGCGAAGCCCGCCTTGGTGAAGCCTGAGCCCTGGTCCACCACCACGGCGATGTGGCCCAGCGAGGGCGGCCGGCGGACCCGGCGGCTCCCGGACACCGACGCCGATGCCGACGACGCCACCTTCAGGGCTCAGCTCCGCCCTCAGAGGCTCCTATCTGCCCCCGGGCCTAGATGGAGGCCCGCCTTTCAGCTCTTGGTTCTACCCCTTGGGCCTAAATCCCTACTTTGCTGGACTAGATAAGTACTCTCTCAATTCTTGGCTCCGCTCGGTGGTCCTGAGGTTGGCTATCTCTGGCCAGAGTAGAGGTCTCTTTTTCAGCTTTGGCTCTGGCCGTTGGGTCTGAGGACCCGCCTCTGGTTCAAGTGTCAGTTTCTGCTCTCGCCGGGCTCCCAGTTACTTGCCCTCTTGGTCCACCCCTGGCTCAAGGCTTAAGGTTCCACCTTGCACTGGGCCCCACCCTCTGAGGACTGACTGGACTCTTCTCCGTGGCTCTGCTCCCTCAGCCCTTGCAGAGGTGGACTATGAGAGGGCCGGGCCAAACCCTTTTAGATATCGAGAAGCCGTCAGGAGAATGACGGAGTCTTTGAGAATGAAGGGGTCTTGTGGCAATGTCATCCGGACATATATGAACCCCCCTGGGGACCCAGGCGTCCAGCCCAGTCCTTGAGCCCAGGCGGTGTCTTGGACCACTCACCAAAGCTTGAGGGAAGTAGTTCCTGGTTGTGGCCGTGGGAGGGGGTCCTCAGACAAAGAAGGAATAGAACTTGGATCTGACCTATTGTGACCTCAGTCCTCAGCATGTGCTGTGCTTCCGCAGCCCTCTTCTCCAATGGGAAACACCCGAGACCGTCCACTCTCCTGGGACCGGGGCCTGGCTGCAGCTGCCCAGTGCAACCGGTCTGACTCCTTCCCCAAACCACTTCAGATCATCTCGTACTCTGGCCAAATGTGGGGCTGCCCCACATTTGAAGAGAAAGCTCTTAATCACAGATCTACAGCCACTCTGGGTATCTGTGTGCTCATCTTTGAGGGGCCCAGGCCACCCACAGATGTACTCTAACTTCAGGGGCTTCCACCTATGGACCCACCATAGGGTTTGTGGGCCTGGGTTTGTGACTCAGTTCTGAAGCTGACTCACTGGGCAAGCAAGTCCTAATCTCAGCTCGGTTCCTTCCTCCGCAAGGGAGTAATACACACACACGCACACACACAGAAAAGAGGCTACTCTTGGTCTCTACAGGGTTTCATTATTCTCTCAGGACCATTTTGGCTGCAAGTTGAAAACCCACTGACGTGAGTGTAAGCTAAAATAGGGATTTTATTACAAGGATTTTGTGTGTAGTGTGAACACCAAAGGCAAGGGGGAAAGCAGGTTTCCGGAGCAGACTGGAGGCAGGGCCTGGCTGCAGGGCTGTGGGGACCCCGGGATGTGCGGGGGCTCTGCACTGTGTTTTTATTCTTCTGAAGACTGGCTTCATTCAGCCTGTGCATGTGCATCTAGAGAACAGTCCCTTACAGCTCCTGAACTGTGCTGGCCCAGGGAAGGCGCGGACAGCAGCTTGGGCCAGCGGCTTATGGCCAGGAGGTGTGGCCACATTGGGGGACATGGTTACCCTGATTGTAATAATGTGGATGGGAGGGAAGTATCAGTTCTCACAAGCATCAGGGGAGATACTATGGGTCGTCCACCTGCCAGTGTGATGTAGGCAGTGTGGACGTTGATGGTGACGAAAGTGCATCTTTAGCAGGAGTTGGACTTGTGGCTTTGGTGAGCTGGGGCATTCACCTGCTGCATCTGCCACCAAAAGGGACTTTCTAAGGTTGGTCACCACTGGAAAGCGGGCTGCAGATTGGGAAGGACAGGGGAAGCTCTAGGTTTGGGACCCAGGACAGTGAAGAGAAGCACCTGCGCACAGGAAATGTGCTGGGCCTCTCGTGGGTGAATTAGGGAGGTGAGCCTCAAGTTGGAGACCACAGTGACAATATGGCCAGAGCAGGGGTGAGGGTATACGTCACTGAGGAGACCCAGAGAGGAAGACAGGTTGGGGGCTGGGACTGCACATCCCAGTTACAGGTTTGGGGGTTTCCCGGGGGGCAGTGGAGAGCCAGTGCTAGCTTACAAGCAGGGTGAGCTGTCCTACAGATAGCTAAGTGGTTTGGAAGAAGCTTTTGGCTGCAAGGTATAGGAGATGGGACAGGGGAGGTTGGGAGACGAGTGACCAAGTTGCCTTGTGGGTTGCCAAGCGGAGTGGGATGTCAGTGAGAAGTCAAGGGGCCCCGGAACCTGGCTTCCTCCTGGGTGCTCTCACAAGCAGGTGAGTCTCAGGTCCTACCCCTGCTGACAGTGAGGACCCTCACAAAAGGTGGTGGCTGTTTGCCTGGGACCCTTCCTCTGCCTGAGGAGGATTTGTGATTGCTGGGGATTCTTGGAGATGCCATGCTTCTGCTGAAGCAGGCCCATCCTCCCATTATGACCCAGACTGGGTTCTGTCAAGCTCACCTACAGGCCTGGCAAGGTCAGACCTAGGCCTGGAGTTGTGGGGGAACGCCCTCCGCCCCACGGGCAGTCGTTCTGACCCTTGGGTCACAAGGAGAAATCAGTTAGCTCCAGACCCTGGACGTTGCTCAGTCCTCAATCCGCCTGTTCATCCCTGTTTTGCGCTCGCACCCAGACGCCTCAGACAGAAGTAGCAGGAGCCAAAGTTGCTATGCACTCTTTATTGGGCAGGGGCTGGGGTTTTGGGGTCGCGGGACTGGGGGACCGGGCCAGGCCCTGAGGGCTGGGGGTGAGGGCAGCGGTGCCGCTTGTGCGTACGCTCCTAAATAGAGTCGGCCTCGTTCTTGGTCACCAGGTACATGCAGAGCCACTGCCAGCCCCGCGTGGCACTGGCCTCGCCCCTGGTCCCACCCGCTGCGTGGTGCCCCGCCTCCTGCAGCGGCGGGTGCTGTAACAGCAGCAGGACCAGGATCTTTGTCTTTTGCGCACGCGCGCTCTGGCAGCTCGGCGCCGTCGCCTGCTCCTCTCATCACGGGTGGCGCCGCCCGGGAAGCCGCCCGGGAAACCCCCCGGGCGCCCACCGCATCCTCGCTGTGCTGTCTGTGCCGCCTGCCTGGGCCCGCCGCCAAATCAGCCAGATGCTGCCGCTTGGAGGAGCGGGGTGTGGGGGAGAAAGAAGTACAGTCTTGGTCTGTGTTAGGGCAATGGTGCGAGGGAAAGGAGCGCGCCCTGCCTTCTTCCCGGGAACACTCACCCACCCTGGTCCTACCGCCCTAGACTCTGCCCTCTACGTTAACAGAACTCCCGCCATCTTTATGTGCCCGGTAGGGGGTGGGGTGGGAATTCCCACCCTGCCCCACCACCAGGGCCCCCTGTCTCTCCTGGAAACCCTCACCCATCCGGCCTGACCTGAGCCCTCACTCTGTCCGTGGTTACGGGATCCCTGCCCGCCCTCCCAAACTTGATGCTGGAACCCTCACCCAGAGAGCCCGCCCACTTGAAGAGGGGAAAAGTAGCATGTTTGGAGGCTGGAGGCTGGAAAGGGAGCATAAGGAAACTCCTGGTGCTCATAGCCACGTGATAGCAGCCATGCTGGGAGCTATACCCGATCGCCCAGATGGTGAGACTCCCCTCCTGCCCACCCTTCTGACTCCCAAGTCTCATCCACCTCCTAGTTTTGGAACCCCTTCCTGCCTTTTGGGCTTTTAGGACCCCATCCAGACCCACGTGGGTTTCTGGGACCCTCATCCTCAGGAGGGATTCTCTGACCCCACTGTCCATGTCCCTAGGACTTAGGCCCCAGAGGCCTAGACTCTCACTCAGCATCCCCTCCTGCCCACCTGTCTATTCTCCCCTGACCCCTGCCTGCCCCTCGCCCCCTGGCACTTAGGCCTGGCTTCTGCCTAAGGCGGCTGAAGAACTGTTGTTTCCCATGGGCCTTGTTCATATCCATCGGCCTCTTCTTGCCAACCTGCTTGGACGCTTGGGTCCTCTTGTGGGAACTGCTGTTTCCCATGGCAGGGCTGCTCAGCACTGGGGTGCGCAGCCCATGCTGCTCTGCGCTGCCCTCTGGCTCGGGTTCCCTGCTCTAGCAGTGTCAGAGAGGCCGCATTGTGACCTCATCAGTCAACCTCACCGGCTCTAGGCGCTGAGCGTCTCCCAGAACCCACAGGTGACTCTTGGCTCTACTTCCCTCTGACTTCTGGCCTGGGTTTCTCGGCTGTAGAAGGCCGAGGGGTCATACATGAGGTGCTGTGTCATTATTGGGCCAGGTGCAATAATGACGGTGCTTAGCGATGAGTACGGAGGAACTTCTGTGGCCTGCCTTTCGGTTCTGGCTCTGTCACTAACCAGTTGCATGACCTTGGCCAAGGTGTCAACTGCTCTAAGAAGAGAAACATTCATCGGTTGTCTCTCACATGCCCCCACTGGGGACCTGGCCCACAACCCAGGCATGTGCCCTGACGGGGAATTGAACCAGTGACCTTTCAATTCACAGACCGGTGTTCAATCCACCGCGCCACACTAGCCATGGCTCACCATTCATTTGAAGTGCCCAAAAGGGAATTTACTCTAAAAGGGATTTTAGAGAGCTCATCATGTGGCCAGGAAGACTGGAGTAGGACAGAAGTCTAGACAGAGGACAGAAACCACTGGCCTGTTTGAGAATGAGAGGGCCCATCCTCCTCTCTGTCCTTATTTCCCTCAAGCCTTCTTACAAGCCTGCCAACAGCAGAGTCCATCTGGTGGCTGAGCTGAGGCAGGTCATGGGCAGGGGACCAAGCCCCTGATGAGTGGTGCCTCTGGGGCCCCTTGTAGACCGAGGCCAGGCACCCACACCACAGCTCCTGAGGGCCTGGTGCCTGCTCTGCCTCCCTCTCTCTCTTCCCTTGGGAGGGGGTAGCAGAGGCTGGTTATGTAGGCTGGGGGGTGGGTGTGTTATGCCAGTAACTGGGCTGTCTCATGTTTGCAGCTCCTAGTAAAATCTCAGTACACGTCTGTTACATTGATGAGTGAATGAATGCATGCGTGCAACATAGACTGTGTATTTGTGGTCAGCCGGTGGGTATGGGGCACATCACACCATCATTTTGCCTCATATGTCAAAATAGGTCTTTGGATGTCCTGTGACCTGTCCTAACCCCCACCCCCCACCAGCCTAACTGTGCAGGGGCCTCACTGGCTGAAGGTGGAGGCCCCAATATGGAAGTGGCCTTGGGGCCCAGAGAATGACAGATGCCTCCCTGTAAGTTGGCCTCATACTTCCCAGGAAGGGAGGCCAGGCCCTGCTCCCAGTCCCTGTGCCCTCTTGCTTCTGCCAGGTCTGCAGGCCACTCTCGCTCTGATGGGGAGGGGGTGGAGGAACAGGGGAGTGGCTCCCCATTCAGAAAAATATGCTTGGGGCCCAGCTGTGCTGACCACGCCCCCTTTGCCCCCAGGAGTACGAGCAGGCATCCAAGGTGGACCAGTTTATGACGCGCTTCCTACTGCGGGAGACGGTGAGCCAGCTGCAAGCCCTGCAGAGCTCTCTGGAGGGGGCGTCAGATACACTGGAGGCCCAGGCCCAGGCCCGCGGGCCACGGTATGTGAGGAGCCCTGCCGCCCTCGGGTCCGTTTCACGAATGCCCATCATCTCCGCGTTCCCGGTCCCTTAGCTCTGATCGCCTTCGGTGGTTTCGGTAGCCTGGAGCCCAAATTCATTCCTTTTCTTTTTTATAAAAAAGATTTTATTTATTTATTTTTAGAGAAGGGGGAAAGGAGGGAGAAAGAGAAAGAGAGAGAAACATCAATTGGTTGCCTCTCTCATGCCCCGACCTGGGACCTGGCCCGCAACCCAGGCATGTGCCCTGACGAGGAATCAAACCAGCGACCTTTTGGTTTGCGGGACAACACCCAACCCACTGAGCCACACCAGTCAGGGCATGGGGCCCACATTCTTGTTCTGGGGCAGGGAGGCCAAGAATGTGTGAGAGGGTGGCTGGCATGTCCCTGGAAGCCTGTCTTGCCCCACCCTGGCCTCGCCCTGTTCTGAGGCCCCGAGGGCCTGCCGGCAGTGGACTGAGCCTCCACTTCCCTCAGGTCAGATGAAGAGAGAGTGGAGGTGCAGAGCAGGCCACGTGGCAGCCGGCGGGCAGGGCGCAGGAGCTTGCGGAGCATCAGCCGGTCACCCACCTGGTCTCCTGGCTCCTCTGACACAGGTGTGCCTGTGGTGGGGTGGGAGGGCTGGCTGAGGAGGGTCCAGGGCAGTGCCCCCAATGCCTGCTCCTTCACTGCCCCTCAGTCCATCCTGAGAGACCTCCCAGCCTAACTGCCCCCGCCGGCCCCACCCCCAGGGCGGAGTTCAGAGGCTGAGAGGCAGTGGCGGCTCCAGGTCAACCGCCTCCAGGAGCTCATTGACCAGCTCGAGTGCAAGGTGGGTGTCCAAGTGGCCAGTGCCCCGTCGGGGTGGACCTTCCTGGAATCTGTGCAAGACAGGCATGTGCCGGGGGCCTGGCCCACACTCTGTGTCCCTCACAGGCCCCCCGGCTGGAACCCCTACGTGAAGAGGAACTTACCAAGGGGCTTGACTCGGTGAGTCCAGGAAAGAGATAGGCAGCTGGGTACCAGGGGTTGGGTGTCATGAAGTGAGGGGCTCAGGGGGCCGGCCGCCGACCTGGCCTCGGCCCTGCACGCTGCCACCTTTCCCAGCACTGGCCCAGCCCTCAGCCCCCAGGCCTGGCAGGCAGGGGCCGGGTAGTGGTCCTTGCCCTGGGACCCTGCAGGAATGACTGCCTTTCTCTGGGCATCAGTTTCTCTTATGTACACTTCTGAAAGCTGGGTCTGGGGCAGTGCGGACGGAGGCTGGAGGGGTCAGTAAGAAGTGGCGGCATACTTCAGGAGAGAGGGACAATGACAGGATCGAGGTGGCGACCTTGGCGATGGGGAGAGCAAGATGGAGTCAGGGGTGTTGGGGCAGGAGCCGAGCCTCAAGGTAGGCCAGGTCTGGTGCAAGTCCAGCAGGGCGGGGTCCTCCCGGAGGCTCCAGCCAGGCCCTCACCGTGTCCTGCCCTCCCCGAGCTCACTGGGCCGCCTCTCCTGCCAGCATATCCTCGTGGCTCAGAGGCAGGTGCAGGTGGCAGAAGAAGCCCTGCAGGACTTCCACCGTGCCCTGAGCTGCTACGTGGACGTCACGGAGGCCCAGAGCCATTGCTTGCAGTGAGTTCACCACCTGGTGGGCCGGCCACGGCCAGGGGGTGGACAGGGAGGAACACTGGGGCTGGGCGTCTTGGGCCAGGGCCCCCGTTCGATATCCCTGACTGGGCGGGCAGCGGTGGTGGCAGCCCAGGCCTGGCCTGGCATGGCCATCTCTTTGGCTCTGCAGTGTGTCTGCCCAGAAGATGCTGGACAATGCCTCCTTCACCCTGTACGAGTTCTGGCAGGATGAGGCCTCCTGGAGAAGGTATGAATGGTGGCCTAACAGCTCATGTGTATAGAGTATGGGCCCTGGAGCGAGCCAGGCCTGCGTTCAAGTCCTCCGCTCCTATTCATTGGCTGTGTGACCTCAGGAGAGGTGCTTAACCCCTCTGCGCCCTCGTGGCCTCCTTTTCAAAATGGGAGTGATGACAGTTCCATCCTGGTTTGAGCTGTATGAGATGATGTGTAAAGAACTGAACGCAGAGCCAGGGACACAGTAGGTGCTCAGTGAATATGCGCTCTCACCATTGCGTCCCTCCTACGCCAAGTACTTGGGGGTCGCTTCATGTAATCCACGCAGTATCTCCGGGCAGTAGACACTCTCGTCCCATTTCACAGAGGACAAAACCGAGGCTCAGAGACAGTGTGAGGAAGAATTGGGATCTGAATCCAGGCAGCAGGACTGGGGAGGGAGCGGGGAACTCTTAGCCAGGGGGTCCTGACCCTCGGGGGACCAGCTGAAGCCCGGTCCACGGCCCTCCCCAGGCACCAGCAGTCTGCCTGCAGCAAGGCCTTCCAGCGCATCCTCATTGACCACCTGCGGGCTCCGGACACCCTCACCACTGTGTTCTTCCCAGGTGCGCTGAAGCCCCCGACCCTCTCCATAGCCCTGGGTCCTGAGCAGGGTCCGTGGGGCCCTGATGGCCTCTGACCCCAGGCCTCTGACCCCCAGCCTCCTGGTGGATTATGAATAATAATTGAGCCTGACCTGCATTAGCCAAGGACCTGGGGCCCTGCCTGCCTCCTTCTGGAGCTTCTGGACCGGTCAATTCAGCACCAAGACCAAGGACGCTGCTGCTCCTGACCTGGGGACCTGGCTCTCGGAGACCTCCCAGACCAGCCAGTGGAGAGTCTCTCAGCCCAGGGATCAGGGACCGGGCTGCTTGCTTTCTGTTTCTATATTTATCAGTGTATTTTATTTGTAGCTTTGGTCTCTGACGCACTCTGGCCTCTGCCTGGCTCAGGAGGCCTGGATTCCGGCTCCGTCTGCCTGCCTTGCTCTATGGCCCAGGACAGAGCTGGCCCCTCTCTGGGTGGGCCTCAGGCTGTCTGGCTGCCTAGTGGGTGCCCTGCTTTCTTCCTGCTGTCTTGGGGCCAAGCTTCTGCTCTTCCTCAACCAGCAGCAGAACTAGGACTGATGCTCAGGGACCCCCAACCCTACCCTGGACTTCGACCCCTCTGGTTGGGCTGGATCTGTCTGCAGTGTGGGGTAAGGACCTGGGTGTCCCCATCACCTTCCTGGGCTGGCAGGCTTCTGACTCTCCCAGCACCCTCCACTGCACCAGAGACATCTGGAAGATCCTGGGTTGGTTGCATGTCATTTGCATATCATTTGCATGTTCATGCCCACCCGTACTCGGCACACTATGGGAAGACCCAAGGTGACCTTGGCCAAGTAGCAATAATTTGGGTCTAGAGTCACCTGTTGTCCCCAGATACCTCTGAACCCAGCCCACACCCCCAGCAGAGAGACAATAAAGTCAGTGGTCACCTCTGGTGTTGTGTCCTGTCTCTCCCTTGGCAAGAAGGCCAGGTTGTGGGGCTGGTTTGCATCTCAGACCACAGGCTCAGGGCAGGAAGCCTCTCTTCAGAAATCAGTCTGTTCCCATCTCAAGCCGCCTGCCTGCGGGTGGTGGGAACTTCATCACCGCTGACCCAATTTTTCTTTTTTCTTTTTTTTCAATTTTTCTCAATTCAGGGCCCTCTCACCCCCACAAGCCCTGGTTATGGGGGTGAACACAGCCTGTGCTTTCAACATACCCCAACTGTTGACTGGGGGTTCTAGCTTCACCTCCCCATCTTTGCTGAAAGGGTGTGCGGTGGTGTTGGGGACTAAGCACAGAGCCTTTCCTGGGTTCCGGGGAGCATGGTTGGTCCTCCCCAGACAGAAGCTCCCCCTCTGCCCCTTCTCGCCCCCTTCCAGGCCACCCCGCCACCTGACAGAGAGCAGTTCCGGGGGAGTAAAGGCCCACTCGGTCTGTCCAGCCTCTGGGGGGAAGGGACTGGGGGCATGGAGGGCAGCGGCGGACACAGGAGAGCACAGGATGTCCTCTGCCCTTAGGCCCTCTGTCCTCTTACTGGGGGGTCTTGGGTCAGGAGTTTTTCAGGCTTTGAGGGGAAAGAACGTGCCTCATCGGACGGAAGGAAGCCCCACGCTGGGCTGTGGCTGGGATGACGGGAAAGCAGCCGGCGCCAAGGTGGGGAGGTGTCAGGGCCGCTGAAGCGCTTCGTCCTGAGGGAGCCGTGGCAGGTTTTAAGACGGCGGCGACCAGCCCGTGGGCTGAGTGACATTTCACCAATGTTCTTGAGTGGTCAGTAGTGCCAGGCCTGTGCCGGGCACTGGGGTGTGGCCAGGAATGCAGCTCCGATGGTAGCAGCGCAGGCCGACGTCCTTGTCTGGGACTCCAGGCAGGGTCTTCCCTGAGGTTTTTTCCCCCAGTGACCCCTGTGGGGATTGAGACTTGTAGAGACTCACGGAGCAGCTCCCATTGGCATGGCCACCCAAAGAACCAGCGCAGAGCTCCCTGGTGGCTCCTTGGCCAGCACTGTGCCAGGCTGCCCTCCTGCCACCCCGCCACCCAGCCTCCTGGCGGTTCCTGCAAGCAAAGGACTGCCAGCACCTGGGCCACAAGGCTCTGGGTGGGCTTGAGGAGCTTTCCGCGTCTGTCCTTGTTAGAGAAGAAGCTCACCCAGGAGAAATATTCATGCTCTCTGTTCTGTATTCTGATTCCTTTGTTTTCTCCACAAACACAGCAACAGCCAATCTTCAAAACTAAAAAACTCCCCATTGCCATCTTTGAACAAAGATGCTGAAATCCTCAAGCTGACACCTCTGGAGTGTCTCCTTAAATGCTGCCCCTTTGCCTGCCTCACTCTGCCATGGAGCTGTAACAGTTTAATACCTTTAAAAAAATAAATGGAGGGAGGGGATAACAGGAGGCGGAGCTCGGGCAACCTTTGCTTGTGTCCTGGCTCCTAACAGGCCACACACTGGACCCCTGGGTTAGAATGTTGTCCCAATGCCAAGGCTGTAGGTTCGATCCCTGGTCAGGGCACATACAAGTATCAGCCTATGAATGCATAAATGAATGGAACAGCAAATTGATCTCTCTCTCAAAAAATCAATAAAATAAATAAGATGGGCTGTGTCCTCCCTCCCTTGCCAAAGGCTTGGAGGTGCTGGGGAGGGTCCTGCAGAGTCAGGGAAGGCCTCTTGGAGATGGTGATGTTTGCTTTGAACTGTGAAAGATGAGTAGGGGTGTCCAGACAGATGTGAGGGGCTGACAGGCAGCGAAAATACTGCAAAGGGAGCAGAAGGTGGAACCTCTGAGTGTAAGGAATTGGAGGCGAGCCTGGGAGGCCAGGCCAGAGGGAGTTTTAATGATACCTTGCAGGTAAGGGAGAGCCAGGAGGTTGCCAGACAGGAGTTTCTGGGTGGGCGTGGGGGCGCGACTGCAGACAGGAGGCTGGAGTTAGAGCTGCAGGAGGAACAAAGTCCTCAGCTGGAGCTGTCGGGGCACAGAGTGGGTTCCCCAGGCCCGTACACTGTGTTTAATCTCACAAGCAAGCCCCCCTTCATCTGCATCTTGCCATCCTTCTACCCCCCAGGCCTTGGCCACCGTCACCTCTGGCTTGGAAGTCTATGGTGACCCCTTGTTTGGGCTGCTTGTCCCCACCTTCCTCAACAGTCCATTCCTTGTAATGGAACAGCCAGAGAGGGCTTTCAAAACATTGTCATGGTTACCACATCCCTTTTGTTTAAGACCCTTCAATGCCCATCCCCCACCCCGAGAACTGCCTTCAGTATCAAAATCAAGTTTGATTGGGCCCTGGCCAGGTAGCTCAGTTGGATACAGCGTGGTCCCGATACACCAAGGCTGCAGGTTTGAGCCCCAGTCAGGGCCCATGAAAGAAACAACCAGTGAATGTTTAAATAAGTGCAATAACAAATTGATACTTCTCTCTCCCTTTCTCTAAAATCAATAAATGACCTTTGAAAAAAAAAAATCAAGTTTGATTTCTTGCCTAGACATTCAAGGCCCTCAGCAATCAGCCCCCACTCCAGTATGTGCAGGCTCCTCTCCACAAAACACACCCTAGATGAGCTGGGCTACTTATGACCTTAGTCACCTCCACTCTTGGCCTGTGCTCTCCCCCCACCCCTACTCACTACAAAAACCCCTCCTCAGCCTTTATATATCAGGTCAAAACCATCAGGTCTGGGTTACCTTTCCCAATCCTTGCCCTTGATACCCTGCTCTTGCTGGCTCTTCAGCTCACTTCAGCAGCCACTGGCCATCTGCTTTGTGGAAGGTGCTGGGGATGGGGAAATGTCCCGGGCTGGTCATAGTACCCAGGTCAAGGGGAGGCAGAGTACTGAGGCTGCTAGAGCTCCCGGCTACTTCCAGGAGCTCTCATTCCCCACCCTTTCACCCATTCCCTGCACCTGCCTCCTCACCTTCCTCCCACCTGTGCCAGTGACTCACCTGCACACATTCAAACCTATCCTAGGGACTGGCCAAGTGCCAGGCCAGGTGTTACAGAGAGTCTAGTTTGCTGCCAATGGCCTCCAGCCCTTAATGAGAAACACGTACACCAAGTGCATTTAACAGCCTCTGATGGAGTAAAACAAAGGGGCTGAGAATCAGGTGGGCCTTCACGAAGTTATTCTAAAAAAAAAACAAACCCCACTGGAGTAAGACACCAGGCTCCAGACAGAATGCTGGAACAAAAATGAATCCTCAGGGAAATCCTATAGAGGCAGAGAGAGAAGCAGGTTGTGATGGCAGCCTCTGATTACAGGGGCTTCCTGGGTGCTAGGGTGATCCCCATAGGATCACATTTTGCCTCACAACAATCCAATGATGTAGGCATCATTCGCACCCCCAGTTTACAGGTGGAGAACACAGAAGCTCTGCGAGCAAGGGTCACACAGCTGGACCTGCTCCCTGGCACCAATAGCTACGTGCTGTCAAGCGTGAACAGTGCTGAGGGAGATCTCGGGCATCCTCTGATAACGGAAACCAGCTCAGCTGGAGACAAGTGCCAACTATAACAAAGGAAGGAGTACGGTTAAACTTTGGGGCTGCAGGATGGCAGATGCGGCAGCAAGAAAGAGCCACAGGAGCATAGCACAAAGCACAAGGTGGAGCGTGCTCTGGTGTGGGCTCCCCGGGGCTTTCTAGGGCTACCCTCCTCAGAAGGTAGGTGGTGACGGAGCCAAGTCCTGCTCACTTCTGAAACTTCCTAGGAAACACCCAGAGAATGTTAACTAAACTCGTGGGGCAGAAAGGCAGGCTCAGAAAAGGTTGGTGCAAAGAAGGCAAAAGTTGCTGGAGGTTGTGCCCTTGATAGGAACCTGGCTTATGGATGGAGGCTGCAGAGGTAGCATGCCTAACTTTGTCCACAAGAGGACACCCAACACCAGGCAATGAAGCCGTCCTGGAGCGTGGGGGATAGTGGTTTGTGGTTGGTTTTCTCAGCCCTCCAGAGGGAGGATCTGGATACACCCATCTCACAAGCCTGAAATTCCAGCAGTTAGAAACAAGCACAGACGGGCAAGATGCGTTCATAGATCGATGTTTGTTTGCTCATTCTGAGAGTATATCATCAGCGGAGACCAAATATTTCACTTTCTACTGAGAAACAAGTCAACAGGCTCCTTGACTCCATGCTAGGTAAAATTTGAAAGATTTCTTCCTTAGCAATTACCTTCCAGAAGGAAAAACCTATTTTCCATCCTTTCCTATGAAAAAGAATCATGTAGTAATGCTTCATTCATTTTCAGGTTCATTGAATCTGCTGTATTTATTTCAATGATTGTCATTTCTAGAATTTTTTTCAAGTCAGCCTAATTTTATTTATATTTTTTAAGCTTGATTATTGTTTGTTTTTTTTTTCCTTCCCAGATTAGAGGCCCTGGGAGGGCTGTCTGCATAGTTA